AGCATATTATTTGCACACCTTTTTGTCGTCTGAAAGCAAAAATGTGTTGTAGCGCCAAAGGAGAAACCTTACAGATGAACTATTGTAACTTTTGTACAAAAGTATTTCTGATTTCTAAACGCCTGCTGTTGCCTTCAGTGTTTCACGTTATTCGGCCACTGCTGTGGTCAAATCAATGACAAGCTGCTGTTTCAGGTCGCTGTCCAGTTGAATGACACCCATCCGGCCATGGCCATCCCCGAGCTGATGAGGATCTTTGTTGACATTGAGAAACTCGACTGGGACACGGTGGGTGAGAGAGTCAGATTTGGTAGATTTGAACTTTTTTTTATTTTTTATTATCAGTGCGAGTCAACTGCAGCCGGAATAAACAAGGAAGTCCTAGCAGGTACCACAAAGGATGTGAAGCCCACAGAGCAGGACGAGGGAAACCGATGTCCATGTGCAATGGGGGAAGAGGAGCAGTCGGGCAGGTTGAGAAGGGAAACCCAAGTAGTTTATTCATGCAACATTTGTGGTGTAAAATCGCTCAGACAAGGGATGGGAGGTTATATCGGGTAACCGCTAGATTAGGCTGCAAGTAGTCAAACTGTGATGTTGTGTAATCAGATCAAAATAAAACTTCCTCCTCTTCTGCAAGGCCTGGGACCTCACCAGGCGCACCTTCGCCTACACCAACCACACTGTCCTCCCCGAGGCTCTGGAGCGCTGGCCTGTGGCGCTTCTGGAGAAGCTGCTGCCCAGACACCTGCAGATCATCTACCACATCAACCAGGTCCACCTTGATGTACGTGCAGCTCTGGCGACCAAGACCGTTTTTATCCGTCTAACACACCGGTGAGGCATCGCTTTTTTTATTTTTTAGTCTGATCTCCAGTCTGCTTTTGTTACTGCAGAGGATTGCAGCTCTCTTTCCAAAAGACATGGAGAAGTTGAGGAAAATGTCTCTGATAGAAGAGGACGGCTGCAAGAGGGTGAACATGGCGCACCTGTGCATCGTGGGATCTCACGCTGTCAACGGAGTCGCCGAGATACACTCCAACATCATCAAGACAGACGTGTAAGTTATTACACACACACACCACTTCTCAACATACATCTGTGTACAATGCAGCAACTTAAGGAACCAGAGGTCGCTCCGATAGACCGAGTGACTCGCACGCGAGTGTGGCCTCATAGATAATCACAGCATGAAGTGAACAAGGGAGCCGGAAATGCAGGATCTTTGTTGGGAAACCAAGACATAGCAGATAACTCCCACACCTGCGAAATGTAGAAATATTGCTTGATGATTTGGTCATCGTCACAAACCAAATTAAAGGTTTTATTGTGCGAAATACTCAAACGAAAGATTCACAAAGATTTCTATGCAGTTGTGATGTCAGAAATGTACAGTACATACGCCATTTCAGCTGTAAAGTAAACGTTCTATATTCATCTCCGTTTGTACCTAGTAACAGGGAATGTGAATGACATCCACTGACCGTAATTAAACATGGGGCCCAAGCTGTTTCCTAGCAACGCAATTGCCTTGAAACGCTCCAAAAAGAAGTAATTCAAACTGGGGTGAATACGGGTATATTCAGACTGACCTGGGGAAAAATTGAGTTTTTAAAACGCGTTTCTAGACTTTTTTTTTTTTTTTTTTTTATCATTTTATTCTTCAAGAACATTTCGCTTCCTTGTTCTCCTACAGATTCCGTGATTTCAGTGAACTAGAACCGGAGAAGTTTCAGAACAAAACCAACGGCATCACTCCCAGACGCTGGCTGCTGCTGTGCAACCCCGGACTGGCTGAGCTCATAGCTGAGGTCTGTTTGAGCTGCTGGCGCCAAGAGATGCTGCCGCAAATCCTCAATGATGCATGCTGCAGCTGTCGTGTGCTTGAGTCCTGGCTGATCTTTCACAGTCAACTTTCCATACATCTATCTTCGTATATACAACGCATATCTAGTGTTGTAAACATTGTCAGTTTGTTTTGCCCACATTTTTGCAACCTTTAATGTCCCTGTCAGGTCATCGGGGAGGATTATGTGAAGGACCTCGGCCAGCTGAAGAAGCTGAACGACTTTGTTGACGATGCCGCCCTCATCCGAGATGTCTCCAGAGTGAAACAGGTGTGTTGCATAGGGGTTCCTGTTTTTACAGAGCTAATTATTGCACAATGCTGTCATGCATGCATAGTGGAGGCTTTGTCTTAAATGTCCTGTCACACTGTGAATCCACACAATTCAACAGGAATAATCTGGGGCCATTTCCGTGTGCAGTACACCCATTCACATGATTGTTTGTCAGTCCTGCTTGTTGTTGCATGCAAAGGGATTACAATCTGATTCATTTTTGCAGAGCAGCTTTTGCGTGGGCGCGTGTTCGCACAGGCTCCACCTCGTAAATCAGCAGCTTCCCCTCAGTGAACAGCCTATTTTGTTGTCAAGTCACATATTTCTGATCTTTCTCTCAGGACAACAAGGTGAAATTTGCCCAGTACCTGGAGAGGGAGTACAGGGTGAAAATAAACCCGTCCTCCATGTTCGACGTACACGTGAAGAGAATCCACGAGTACAAGCGGCAGGTCCTCAACTGCCTGCACATCATCACCATGTACAACCGTACGTGGATGATTCATTCCTAAGAAACCCTGCGCTAAATTACATGACACATTCTGACATGTCCTGATGTGGGAGAAATGGTTATAGGAAAACAGTCGATGTATCACTGCACACACGGCCTCACCGTGGCAATGCTCACATGCTGATGTGAGGCAGGAATTCTTTGCCACATTTACATCCAAGTTTAGCATGCTAACAATTGATGGATGATGATGACAATGCAGTTAGTTTATCTGGTTACAAAAAAGTTTTAACTTGGATCACATTCCTAAATTAAATCACCAAAACCCAAATGTCAAACTGCTGGTGGTGAAAAGTGAGTAGGATTCATCTGTAGACCATGAACGCCTGCACAAAGTGCCACTTCCTGGTGTTCTGTATCCCCCAAAATGAATTTGAGAAATGGCAAATATGTCAAAATCAATCCCCTGACACATATGTAGTCCATGCAGAGACCTATCACTGTGTGAATATTTCCCTTTTTTTTTTGTTTTTGTTTCCCAAGGCATCAGAATGAACCCCACCGCACCTTTTGTCCCGCGGACAGTGATCATCGGGGGAAAGGTACCGGCTCAGGAACAGAACATTCCAGTCACGTGAGAGTGGTGTGATTGTTCAGTTTTTCCAGTAAGTCCGTCTCCTGTCGCCCCCTGCAGGCGGCTCCTGGGTATCACATGGCCAAGATGATCATCCGGCTCATCACCTCAGTGGCTGATGTGGTGAACAATGACCCTGTGGTGGGAAACAAGCTGAAGGTCATCTTCCTGGAAAACTACAGAGTCTCTCTAGCAGAGAAAGGTACATTTATTTACACCTGCAAGAACTGTACAATTCTGCTCGATGGAAGGTATTTATTTAAAAAAACAGGGATAGTTCACCGCAACGCTTGATGATCTGCTCTCCCTCAGTGATTCCTGCCACGGATCTGTCAGAGCAGATCTCCACTGCCGGCACCGAAGCTTCGGGAACCGGAAACATGAAGTTCATGCTGAACGGGGCTCTGACCATCGGCACCATGGACGGCGCCAACGTGGAGATGGCCGAGGAGGCCGGGGAGGAGAACCTGTTCATCTTCGGCATGAGAGTGGCGGATGTGGCTGAACTGGATAAATCTGGGTGACCGTCTGTTTTTGTGCATTCTATGACTCCTTTTTTTTTTTTTGTTGCCAAAATGATATTGACTAGTGTCCATTTTTTAGATATGATGCCATGTTGTACTACAAGAGGATCCCAGAGCTGAAACATGTGATGGATCAGATCACAAGTGGATTTTTCAGCCCCAAGAATCCAGACCTTTTCAAAGAACTCACTGACATGCTCTTCAAATTTGACCGGTGAGCACTTTATATATTCTTCACTTTCCCCTCCAGTTGGAGCAGTTCCACGTTTAGAATGCATTTTATATGTGAGGTAAGAGTTCAAGTCGCCAGATACATTTATTCTCCCTTGTCTGTCCTCAGTTTCAAAGTGTTTGCAGACTTTGAGGATTACATCAAATGTCAGGAGAAAGTCAGCAAGCTCTATCAGGTAATATTTCCCTCTGGCAGACCGGTTTGTCAAAGCTGGATTAACGGGTTGGCCGGCTCACTTTAAACTGGGGTTACTCGCCATGGTAACCTAACGTGTATGGACACAAGTACTGAATTCACATAAGGTCACAAGTAGTGAGCAGACTTTGTATAGGTCAGCAAAAACAATTGCTTGTTTCACTTTGAAATGAAATACAGAATCCTGATTAGTTATAACTTGGTCCTCTAAAATGAGGTAAGCAACTTCAAGCGGAATATTTACTTCGTGTAACATTTAGTCCTTTTCCTTTTCCCTTTTTTTTTTTTTTTTTTTTTTTTTGTGTTTTCGTTGCCAATCCTTGTATCTAAAAAGTTTTTTTTTTTTTTTTTATGCGGCCTTTCATAGTTGTATCAGAAGAAAATTATTAACTTAAAGTAACAAACCTGCAGAAGAAATATAACATTAAAACCTCTGGTTAAAAATGTTCTACATTTTCCTAAAAGAATCCAAAGGAGTGGACGAAGATGGTGATCCGGAACATCGCTGCCACGGGGAAGTTCTCCAGCGACCGGACCATCACGCAGTACGCCACCGAGGTTTGGGGCGTCAAGCCCACCGACCTGAAGATCCCGCCTCCGAACGAGCCGAGAGAGGCCATCGAAAAAACCGCCCGGGCGCTGAAGAAAATGTGAGGCTGTTGCCTTCATGTTTACCCGTCATTTAGTCTCCTTCCTCTCTGGCTCTTCACCTACAAGTCACATCACTGAACCTTCTTTCCTAGAACACCTTTTTTTTTGTCAAAACACCCGAGTCAAATTACTTGTATTATAAAAAATGTCTGTTACAGTTCAGCATCGACACAAAGAGAACCAAGAGTCAGTGTGGAGGTTTAATCATTCCTTTATATTTGACATCTCATGAATTGTGGGCTGCCAGTAACACAGCAGCTGACTAAACCGATTAATAATGACATTTCATGCTGCAGAGGGACGGTCTGTGCTGCAGGCAGACTGACGCCGTGTACGTGAGTCTATCTGCACAACTTGAGTAATGAAGGGGACAAACAAACCTAATTTGTGATCTGCAGTATTCCGTTCCAGTGTTTTAATTAAAGCATATTGTGACATAGGATATGTGAATCAGTGCTTTTTGATTTAGATCACACGCAGGCATTTTGTGACATCTGAAATCTATTATTTACTTCTTCGGGGGCGGGAGAGATGATCTACTGTCTCAGGTTTTGAAGGAATTTCCTGCAACCAAAACACAATGTGGCTTTCATTTCCTGGTGTGGGATGTTTGTTAATGTGAAAGGTTTACAAGAAATAAAAACAGTAAAAGTTAATGGAAGACTCATTGTTTCGTACTTTTTCACACCAGCATAACTAATGCAAGACACTCACCTGACCACATTTGACAGATTTGGATCCAAGTAGATGTTGTTGTGGGAGAATCCAAGATTTGCATTGTAGGAGATCATTTCAACCTGAACATCTGTGTTGTATTCTTTCTTTGCCTGGAGCGAGAGCTCGTGCAGCTGTAAGCAGGAATGGGGGGGGAGAAAGTAACTAAAGGAAGCAGCAACACCCACTAGGAAATGACGTAGTTAGTCAAAGGAAGCATCCGTAAGGAGCTGGTGTACCTTCTGACCCATGTGATAAGGTACAATATCATCGTCCTCTGAGTGCAGGATGAGTAGCGGGCCGGTCAGGGTCTTTACACTGGGGACATGTCGGGGTTAAATGAGCATTCAGTCAGATTGTCTTATCTGAATAAAATCTGGTGCGCTTTTCAGGCTGCTCTCTATTTAATAAAAAAAAAAGCCAAATATTGGAAACCCTAAACAAAGCAATTCCAGGCTTTTAATTTTCTCTAAAGTGGACTTACTTTTCATCGCTTGCAAACACAATGTTGTTCATTTCCACGATGCTCCTGAGCAAGCTCTCAAATCCTGGAAGGAACATGTAAATCTGGAGCAACACGGGGTACAAAGTGGGTAGAAGCATTTAGCAATTTCCTGTGTACTGTAATAACGAACACCTGCACCACAGCGATAGTTCCGTACTTTAACAGTCAACTTTATGGCTGTAGATAAACTGTATCATTTCAAATAGGTGATCACATTGTAAACATATTGGTATCTAAATTTTACCTATAAATCAAACTTCAAATCCAGCCCTCTGACTTCTCTAATTACAAAAGCCTCGGAAACGAGATTGTGTGTTTTCGTGGAGTCGTAGACGCTGAGCGGCTCACCTTAGTGAGCGGGTAGTTGACTACAACGTCTCCCATCGTTGTGAACGGAGCTTCAAGGATTAAAGCATCAACAGCAGACCCTGGCGTGTTTAAGAAAGAGACACAAATGATCAGTAACCTGATAAAATAAAGATATGCAATAAATTCAAAACTGCGAGGCTTGCAAAGTCAATTTTCCTCAGCTTCCTCAGACAATATTTACACATGAAATGTAGTGTACGGTTTGTGACTCATATCCTGGCCCAGATGGACCGCAGATGTCTAATCAGTGAGAACAATTCAAATCCCCCGTGTGGGTCCACTGTGACCTTTGAAGTCTTTAACCCACCTTCTTCTTGGATTTTCACTGCAGTATTGGTTGCCACCCTTCAAAAGAAAAGAACATTTCTTTCACATTTCTATTCTTTTCAGGTGACGGACCGGCGACGTTGCTCAACGGCTACTGACCCGGTGCCAAGTGAGTGTCCCCACAGGCAGACAGGCCCCCCTCGGCCGTGTTTCTTCACCCAGTTGAACAGGAAGAGGGCGTCACTGGTCAAGCCAGCTTCACTGGGCTCCCCAGTGGAGTCTCCAAAACCTTTATTGTCAGAGATAAAACTTTCAGAATCAGGAGGACAAGACATCGATACCGCCCCGTGTCATTTGATTCAGACCTAAATGAACTATTGTGTACTAATAGGACTGCATTTCTCTCTCTCTTTTTCTCCTGGTAACCATGTTATGGTTGGGTTACCCATTTGGTGAAGGTGAAAACATACAGAAATTAATCCATAGTGGTGTTATTACACCCAGAAAGGAAATAATATAAATACTATAACATATTTATCAATTTATGTTTGTAAAGTATGTAAGTAAACATAAAGTATGTTTGGTGTCAGTTCCTCCCTTTTAGGAATCTTATGATCAAACTGTTATAAAAACATAAAAATGTGCTCTAATTTGGGATTTGGGAGGGATAATCCTGCATAGAAAACCATGTCAGTACCAATCAGATGTATAATATGAAGAAGGATAATCGTGTTTTAAAGCTGAAAGTAATGAGTCAATCATGTTCTTGTTTGTTATTGAGCAAAAACACAACCGTGTGAGGAGCAACGATCAGCACTCACCTCTGTAGTCTAAAGATAGGACATGATACCCTGCAGCACTTAAAATCTGCAACACACAAAAATCAGAATTTGATCCAAACTGGAGAGTCGAAAGGGATCAAAACTGAAAAAGCAACCGCACCTTCACCAGTTCCACTCTGTGATGTATGGCCCTGCAGAAATGACACGAGAGCAGTGAATACAAACAAACGAGTGGCTTTGGGACTCATTTCTGCGTTGTGTTTATTGTGCCTGAGGAGGAGCCCGGGGGCCCGGGCGGTCATGTGACACCCACTAAACCCATTAGGATCCCTTCAAGGGTCCCTATGCTGCCGTTCTCATCCCACCTGGTCCCCAGGTTGCCATGGAGATAGATAATAACAGGGCGGCCGTCTCCCAGAGTTTCCTGGTACCACTCAGGGCCTCTCCCCATGGCCTCGTCCCATTGGCTGGCAGGGAGTGTATGCCTGTGAGACAAAGGTGGAGAGCGAGGGAGGAGATTGAAAAACAAAAACGCTCGTGCTTTCAAACACACGGCCTCTTGTTGTATTTCCAGTTGTCTTGTGCAGATTAATGAGTGGATTGTCGTTCCATTCACTCGGGAGCCACCTGTACCAAAATATGCACATGCTCGTGGTATTCTCCAGTACTGGCGGACTTCAAAGGATAAAACCGGAATCCTCAAATGACCTACCAGACACCCACTGAGACGCCCGCCTCCGTGTCCAGGTAGAAGTTGCATGTGTGGTTGAGCACGGCTTCGGGTCGGCCAAGGTCCACAAAGAATGGAAACCTCACTGCAGCAGGCAAGAGCACACAAGGTCAGTAGGGTTTTTGTACCCAGGTGGTATTTTGTCATATCCCATCGAAGTGTATCGCGTAAACGTGCATTGTGTTATCATTCTAGCGATGTTGTTTTGTATTGTGTTGCATTGTATATTATCACATTGCATCAGATTGTATCAGATTGAATCGCATTGATTCATGTCGTACCAAACCATATGAGATTGTAGTGTTTCTTTGTATTGAATTATTACGTTTTTTTATTGGGTCGTATTGAATCACGTTGTATCGAATAGTTTCAGATTGTATTGTATCGGATCGTGTATTAACGCATAGTATCACATTCCATTGGATGAAATGAAGTCATGTCATATTGCATTGTGCATTATTGTATCACATTTTATTAGTCATACATTTGACCAATCAGGCCACCCCTTTGTCTAGCTATGTTTAAAATATAAATTTGTGACTGCGGTGTAATATAGAAAATCAAAAAGTGAACATGTGTATGTTTACTGTCTATTGAACCGTGACACATTATTATTAGTACAATTTCCATGAGCATAGTAAATGGACTTTAGCACACACACACACACACACACACACACACACACACACACAATGGCGTGCAGTAGTGTGTGAGTGACCTCATTTACACTGCAACCAAAACACATAACTTTAATCCCTTCCAGTTGAACACACTGTGTGTACGTAAGAATAATAACAACCGTGTCTGACCCATATTGTTCTACGCAGCATTGCGGCGCTCCAGCACGAGGCTTTTTGTTTCTATTGATCACGCGGAGACCCAAAACACGCACTACTCACACAAGTGCGAATAGATGATATGGCCCAGTATCCACGGGAAGAGGTAGAGGAGGACGGGCGCTGATGCGTAGGCAGCGACCACGAACAGCGCAGCTCTCTTCATTCCTGCGTCGGGAGGAAGTGCGCGCTCGCCGCAGCAGCGAGGTCAGCGCGCGTGCTCGTCCTCGTGCCCGCGGGGGTCCGGACTGAGGGGTTCGGTCCCGCGGAGGGTTCGGTCCCGCACGCTGAGAGCTGCGGGGGGGAGGACGAGGAGGACACGCCGTTCAATTGAAGCTAAAACATTTGCGTCTGATGCTAAAGCTTCACGTTTGACACATTGGGTGTCAAAACGGAACACGCCCACTTGACAGGGTCAGAGCCGCGCTGCAAGGCATTGTGGGTGTTGCAGTTCTCTGAACACAGTGTCGCAGTGATAGCGGATGTAAAAATGCGCTGTTGTCCTCCTGTAACAGAAACACCGAAAATTAAAAAAATGAAGGTATTCTTAATTCAGAGTGGCCCTTTATTGTGTTATGTTATATTTGATGCTATCGTTAATAACATGTTAATATATCCTTTATTTATATTTCTTCTGATCTTTCTAATGAGCAATTTAATCCATGTAATTTTTATCCATGTCATGGCAGATTATGAAGCAGTGACGAGGGGCATAAACTTTAAAGAGGTTGAGGTTAGTTATAAGTTGTTAAAACCTTTTCAAAGATATGTCAGCACTATCCCAAAATATGTGCATTGAGTAATGGTTTGAGTCTTCAGGTTTCTTTGACAGACTTGTTAAAAGAGTAAACAGTGTTTTCTTGGGACCACGTAATTTCCCCCCTCTTCTTGTTTATCAAAGTGCAAAACGGGAAACTATCAGTGGTGGAATTGTTCAAATACTCAAGTAGTGTACAGTTAATTTCCAGTTTTAGGTACTTTTAAAAATCATTTCTTTTTTTGAGTCTTTTCATCGCTAATTATTGCTCATTCAAAAATGTTCCATGAATCCAGTTCTATGTGAATGTTGCTGCTTTACCTTTTAATTACGCAAATGCAGATATGGTTTGACAAAACCAGCATTGTTAAAGGTCTCCCTTTGAACTTTCTTATTAGTCTTTCCTATTTTGTCAATGTTTTCAAACCAATCATTAGTTGCACTCCGATTCAAACACCTTCATACTACTTTTGACACTTTAAGACACGTTTCTTTAATCCACATGCGCAATGCGTAGTTTTTAAAAAGAGAACACAGTACTCGTTCCTCTGCTGAAGCTACTTCTTGTTATCGACGGACGGAGTTTGAATTTAACCAGGGGTCGGGAGCGTGGGGGCGGGGCTTGCCGTGGTGACCGCCCCTTCCTCTTCGGACGCTTTTCAAACCCCGCCACCGGGCGGAGGAGGATGTCACTCCGCCGAGCTCACAAAGCCGCCGCTTCACCCTCCTGCGCCCGTCTCCAACGGGAAGCTAAAGGCTCCTTCATCTTTCTGGATATATATATATGTGTATATATATATAATAATATATTGTATCTCACCTGAGAGGACACGGCGACACGACGGTGGAAACGCCGTAAAAGTTGCATCTTCTACCAGCGCGAGTTGATTAACTGTTTGAGTGAGAGAAAAGGGGAACAACTGTCCTTTAAGTCCGGAGAGCTCGGTGAGTGCGTGTTTCTTACCGGTTGCTTCTTCTCCGGCCTTCTCTCACACCTAAAAACAAACTTTGGGCTTCGAATGTTGGAGCCGTCCCCCCCACCCGCGTGCCGGCCTGTGCACGCGCCCCATGTGCACGAGCACTTCACACTATCGACTTTAACGCAATGACGCTATCGCTAAGCGGTTGTCAGTCTGTCCCTTCGCTGATGCCAAATGGACATTTAGTTTAGTTAGTTAAGTAACTGGTTGTATGTGTGCACGTTGTAACTCGAGGTTTAGCTACGTGTCAGTTTCCTGGTCCAAGCTGCTTTTGAAAACCCTAAAAAGTTAGTGAAAACACTGAAAGTGGTTTATTTGAAACTTTTGGACTTTCTTGGTTCCCAGTTTGTGTCCATTCTTCTGAAAAATGTCTGCTCCGTGTTTGCTTGTGCAAAAATTGTGCAGCGCTATGGTGGTTTTGGTGACACAATGCATATGAAAAATATGTGCCAAATGAATTATATTCTTAAATATTTCCAAATCATTCCCTTGATAACCTCCTTTGCCAAGATAACTCTTTATTCATCAGCCGGCGCTAACTGCTGAAGCTGATATATCTCCATGATTGGATTTTCTCTGCACAGAGACAATAGGTGACTTATTGTGCCCCGTGACCTGGTCTTGAGGGATTCTCGGCCATCGTCGGCCCCTGTGGCCGAGTAGGGTGGCCCCGGGGGCAGCTTGTGACAACACAAGCGACGTGTGTTATTTCTGTTAGGAATATACAAGACGCCACAGTTCAAGGCGAGCTGCCGTACTGCCGAGCAGTGCTTTTCTCTCTCTCATAAGCAGCTCAATTGTGCAGATGCAGAATACTGATTTTTTTTGTCTCTTTTGTGTGCGCTGAATGGCCCCGAGTCCGGGCTTTAGGGGACACCTGGCAGAGCTCTTGATGAGCAGCTGGAAAGTCGGGGGTCAGAAGGGATTTCTTTGTGCAGACATTGAGGCACAAACTGGGAAGTTTCAACTTATTGGATTCGAAGCGTGCTCTTCATTTTATAGTGTGCAAAACTTCACGATAAAGCAACCGAAGGGCAGTTAAATGTGCAGGAATATTCCGGTTGATTTGGTGCTAGTCGACTTGCTTACATCTCACGTTGAAATGAATTAACCGCTTCCTAAATAATTACTCAAGAGCCACTGTTTGCATTTCTATTATTTCATAAGGCAGGCATGGTTCAATCATTCCGAACTGAACCCCAGACTCTTGTATGGGTGCACAAGCAGGACGTCTGTGGCCTTGTCGGTTCTGATTGTTCTGTCATTTGATTACGAAGTAAAACTTCTTTGTCACTGTCTGCGTAATGATGCTCCTCAGTAAACGTTTGAGAGAAGTCAGAAGGCTTTTACTGTAACCTTCCCGGTTGGTTCAGAGCCACTCTGCTGCTTTTGTCCTTCATCTTTATCACCAGTTTGAAGTATTTTGAAGAAGTATTTAGTCCTTAAAAACGTAAAACGTGCTGCTTCTAATACGTAACATTTGTGGAAGTCATTTCTAAAGAGTAGATTTATATTTTACTCTGATCGGCGCTGCATTGCTATTATTAATCCTGTTAACTGTCATTTACCTCCATCAAGGCCTCAGGTCATGACCTGGTCTGTTAGGTCTATGATTTATGTAGTTGCTCTAATCAAAAGAAACATCACATCAACTATTATTAACTTTATGGTTTTTAGTTTGTTTCAGCTCTCGCAAAATCAGACCCCCTTACATGTTGATACCAGGTCACCATCACAACACTGCTTGTGTTTAAACGTTATTCAATCGTGTCTTCAAGGGGCTTTGCCCATTAGGTCGAAATACACGAGTCACGAAACAGCTCGGCCCGACGGTTATGGAAGAGCCGCGTCGGACTTGGCCCGCGTCCATTGATTTACCTGATTGTCTGATCAGTCTAATTGGATTGGCCAAAGCCTCCGCCACAAAGGGCGCGGCGCGTGCAGCTAGCTCAGTCGCTCAGCGGCCTTCTGGGAGGAAGGCGCCGCCGGGAACGCTTGCTGTAACGATCCGCCCTGTTTGTGGGTATCTGTGATGGGATGTAAAGTGCTGCTGGTTCCTTCCTCTTCTCTCAGGGCCGGGTGCTGTCCTGTGGGATGGATGACACCCAGGAGCAGGACCAGTACGAGGAGCGCCTAAAAGAAGTCTTTAACAGTTTTGATGCCAGCGGCTCCGGCTCTCTGAGCCCGGAGGAGCTCGCCGACCTCTGCCTGTCGCTGCAGCTGGATGATGCAACTCCTGCTCTTCTCCACACGTTGCTGCAGAGCCAGGACCGCCTCGCTGCCCGGGTACGTTCATGCCTCTTCTGTGGACTTTTGATGTCTTACAAGTCATTGGTTCAGAGAGGTCGTATCTTCAGTACTAATACGGTTCCTTTGGGATGCACCTGTGGCTCTCGGCCTTTGGGCTCATGTGTTGAGCCCTCCAGGTCTTTGTGTCACCAGGCTTTTTCTGGTGCTTTTGTTAGCTGTCTCGTTGAGGAGAAAGTGCCCCCCCCCCCATCGGCCCCTTATTCCAGGTGCCGGTCGCCAGGACAACAACCAAGCTGGTTAATCAACATTGACAAATGCGTTTCTTAAAGAGGGCCTCCATGTGAAAATGTATGAAATCTCTGTAATTGACCTTTAGTTTGCATGTCCTCCACCCTGAAGTAGCAGAATACAATTTCATTGATTATTGTTTATTGCTAACGTCCGCACCATCAGGTCGTGTTTGTATATAAGCGTGTGGACAGACTGGTGTCTATTGTCTTGCATGTTTTGGTGACAGGGGAGAAGAGAGGAGGGGGCAGCAAGTGGCTTGAATTCTTACCCATTGGCATCCAAACAATAAAGTCCAGAGAAGAAAAGAAGAAAAATGTAAAGCAGGCAGCCGCCAGGCCCGAAGCATAAAGAAAATCAACATATTCAGGGTCAGCAGCTGTTGAAGTGTGACCTCGCCGCTCCTGCTCAGCAAACCCTGCCTCCACCCAGACACCCAGGGACATCCAGCCTCCACCAGCGCACCATTACATCCAGTCTGAGGAATTCCATGCACTTTTGCTTCTGTATTTAATGCGCTTCACATACCGAGCATTGCTGGCGTTCTCTCGCTTTTATGCGACGGTAACTTTTCCCTTTTTTCAGGTTGACTTTGACCAGTTCAAGGATGCACTGATTTTGGTGTTGTCATCGACTCTTGAGCCCCGACAAGAAGAACAGGAGACCGTGTCAAAACCAGGTAACTGCTACATCGCGGTATGAGAAGTCTCCATCTCCAAATACCACGTCTTTTTCGAATGTAGTTTGCCTGCCGCGTCCGTCTAAAAAGAAAGGGCAGGTTTGTCTGTGTCGCAGGAGGTCGACCCTTCGATCCGAACGAGCCGGCCCTGCACGGCAGCTCGGCGCAGGAATGTTGCTGCACATATAAATCATTGATCCTCCTCTTTTTTTTATTTTATTGTGACCCCCCCCCCGTAGAATCTCCTGAGATCAAACCGAAGTTTGTGAAGGGCAGCAAACGTTACGGCCGCCGCTCCACGCCGGAGTTCACAGAGCCCATCGCGGGCTTCTCTGAGGTCACGGACGCAAACACGGCGGCGGAGGAAGATCCGGAGGACAAATATGACTCGGCGGTTCCCCGGAAGCGTGAGGTAACGATGTTCCCTGAGCAGCACTCTGAAGCGCCGGCCGCTCCGACCTCGTCCTCTCGCCTTCTGCCCTCGCACGTGCTTTGTTCCTTGGCAGCCGCGGGCCGCCGGCCAGCGCGTTATTCTTAGCTAATCAGCTTAGCGGCATGCTGGGCAGATCCTGAAATGTAACATGGACAAACTAAACGCAGGGCACACGAGCTCTGACTGTAAATAAGACTGTGATCATAATCGTTGCTCAAACCGCCTCCCGCGGTCGAGATTTAACTGCGATGTCATTCAGCGTGGTCAGTCTGATGTGTCGTGATGAGAGTCGGTGAGGGGTGAACTTTGCCCCGAGTGTGTGTGTGCAGGATGGGATTTGGTTGTCAGGGCAGCGTCTCCAAACACATCGCCATAAGAGACGGGAGCCGTTCGTTGGCTTTTTATGTTTCTTCTACATCTCCTGTCGAGACCCTTTTCATTATTTAAGATCTATTGTCCGCGCACGCGGCCGTGGTGGCTTGAATGCGACATGCGTCCGCGTCAGTCGGGTCACGCACAGCTGAGCGCGCTGAAGATCTGGCCGAGCTTCTAGATCCTTTTCGTGGATTATCCAGCTTCCTCTGCTGACAGTTGTTGGACATTTGTACGCAGGTCACAACTTGCACTTAGTATGTCCAAGGCCTGTTTTATAACCTGAACCTTTAGTCTATGTAATTTATCAAAGAGGCTGCTAAATATCAACAGTGCCAGCTTCTCAAGTGTAAAAAAAGAATGCAGTTGTCTTTGTTTTTATTCAATATCTTTGAACTTGGAACTATTTGGTTGCATAAAACAAACAAACCGGAGACTCCACCATGAGCTGTTAGACACTCATCATTATTCTCTGACATCTTACAGACCAAATGATGATGGGATCGTTTGAAGAATGTATCCAGACATTTAATCAATCCAAAATCATGGTTCGATGCAGCCATACGTCTACGTGTCTACTAACTGCCGTGACCTTTGACATCAGGTTGATCTCCCATTCTAATGTTTAAGCGTGGATGTGCTGCAGCAGAATAAACGGCCCACAAGGAAAAGCACCCGACCGGTTACCAGGATGCTCTAATGAGAGCCTGTCCAGCTGGCGCCGCGATGCTTGTGTCCGTATTCTGCGTGTTGTCGGCGTTCCTGACTCCACCCCAGACGCCTGCCGCCGCCGCCAAAATCCCCGTTGGAGACACCGGACGGAAGCGCGTCTTTGCTTTAATCTGCGCTGCTACAGTGTCCGTCATGGGGACCAGCAGATGGGGACGGGTCACGGGGGCTCTGCACAGAGCCTGCAGGCCGGGGGAGGAGGACGAGGAGGGTGTAGGACTGGGACAGAGGAACAATGAGCGCCCGCCCCCCCCCGTGGATGCCTATACACCATGTATCAAAACGCCACTGGCAGAACCCCATCTGCTCTTCGTTTCCTCGCTGGTTGCTCCTCAGACAATAGATGGTCACGCTCGGCTCCTCCCACATGAAGCCCTCCTCCCTCCACGCAGATTCCCCAACAACCACAAAAAGAGGCAAATGTGTTTTTGTGATCGTGTTTAAGAGGAAAAGTCCTTTTGGAGTTCAAACTGTGAAGTGTGCTGATTTTTTGCTTGAGTCAGCACTTTCAGTTTCAGAAACCTTTTCACAATCAGCTGATTCAAACATTTTAAATGTGGTGAACTGGCATGATAAACACACTGTTAACATGTACAAAGAATAGTGGGCATCACATCTGTTACTACTACTATTCCCTATTTGCACAATGACCATCGCGGATTCCTTCGTTCCTTCACAAAAGCTCCTTTATAGGTTCTCCCAGCAGCCAGACCTCCTAATTTAGAAACATGTTTGTACTTATAAAGGGCTGATTGTCACAGCACACAATCTGCCAGAACTTCTTTGGTCTATTTTTTGTGGTAGTATAAAAAGTAGATTTTGTGATATTAATCCCATTTTCTGTGTGTTTTTGTCTCTTAACAGCGCTGGAATGCTCACGAAACAAGCACAGAGGAGTACGAGGCAGAAGGTTCGACAAAGACGCAGCATCTTGGAGAACTCGATCCAAAAGATGTCGTCCCCAAGTGACCGCGGCCTCTTGTGCCTTGTTTTCAGGCCAGATGCATCTCTGGAACCCCGATGAGCCGAGCACGCCTCGGGGGGCCGTCCAGCCTCGGTCCCCCGGTTTAGAGGAGAGACTGCGCGACGCCTGCGACGAGCTGCAGATACCGTGGGACGGATGTGCCGGTTACTCGGAACTCCATGCGCTCTGTGAGCACCTGAGGCTGGAGGTGAGATTTCTCTATAAATGCAAAACAAAATGGTTATTAACACAGGACGGTGAGTCTCGCCTATACTTAAATCCCCCTCTGCCCAGAGGATTCCTTTCTCAATCCACGATGCTTGAATTTTTTGCTGATTATTAATTATGAGATAGTTGTAAACTATTTGGCTTGAGTGCGTTTTCTCATAGGAAATTAACCAGAGAAAATCAAAGGATAAAATAAACACAAATTTTCACACCGTGTCAACAAAATGCGTTTTTATTATTTGTTTATCAAGTGTTGCAACAAAGGAACATGCATTTATTTTTCAGCCACATTTGGATGTGCTCCAGAATCTAACCAGCGACGGAGTGATGGATGTTCAGGAGTTTGTCTCCAGAGTTTTGAACCCCAACAAACCCCCCACGCCGGCCTCCTCCACGCCCTACAGACAGCTCAAACGACACCACTCCACCCAGGTTAGTCGAGCACTATGAGGCTTATTCCCTTGTCGTCAATTCATCTGTTTTGTCATTTGTCTTGTGTCATCTTCCTCGCCTTTTGTTAAAGAAAATAGCTATAATGCATGATGAAGAGGAAATTGTTAGTTGACAACATTTTTCCTTTATGTTTCCTCTTTAATTGAGTCATTTAAAGCTAGATCTTGTGTTTGGAGTTTTTAAAATGCATAAAGTGGAATTTTGGGGTTGATTTTGTACAGCCCTTTGACGAGGGAGGTCGGAGGACCACCACTTCTTCTGCTCTGACTAGCACCATCGGCATGCGTCTCTTCTCCACCCTTGATGACGGTACCGGTTTCACTCCAGTGGAATACATTTTGGATGCCTGGATGGATGAGGGAATAGAAAACAGCACTGAAATCCTGCAGGTACTTATTGGCCACGAGTCGTGTCCGACAACTAATGACGTGAAGTCAGACTAGTGTACGAATGTCGTATTGCTCTGTGATTTTATATCTTTAACAAAAATGCCATCTAACATATTCACAACAGGGTGTATGTATAATTATGAAATTATTTGTCAAGGCCTTGAACTTCAGCCTAGATGGCAAACTGAGCCTTTGCGATCTCACCATGGCACTTGAGAATGAGCTCCTCCTCACTAAGAACGGGATCCACCAGGCGGCACTGGCCAGCTTCAAAGCTGAGATCCGACATCTTCTGTGAGTAAAAGTCGGGACTATAATTCAGCTCATTCAGGACGTAATACTGGTCATATTCAATTAATACACTTTGAATATTTTGGTGTGATTTATTGATTGGTTTGTCTTTTCATGTCATTTGTGAATCTTTGTGCAGTTATTGTCCCTGTTGTTCTTCTCCTCTTCTCAGAGAGAGCGTAGACAGAGAACTCTGTGAGAAAGAGAAAATACGATCAGACTTGGAAAAAGCCGAGAAACTAAAGACTCAGCTCGCCACTGAGGTGGATGAACGTCACGCTGCGATTGAACATACGAACAACCTCAATCTCAGGTGGTTTATCTGTTTGATAAATGTTTCCTTGTTCAGAATAATTTGATTTAATGTTCAACTGTTTTTTTTCTTCACATTGGAATAAAATCGACAATGTTGCCACAGCGTTTGTTATAATGACAAAAATAGTTGATTGTATTTGTTTTAACCACGAAACCTAAATGTCCTCAGGAAGCTTGAACAGGAGCACAAAGAGAAGCTCGCAGCGGTACGATCTGAGCTGATGACGGAGATGGATCAGATGCAGGTGCAGGCCGGCCTGCAGCGCGAGGAACTGGAAGCAGAGGTGGACAAGATCAGGGAGGAGGAATCCTTTCTCCGAGACCACCTCTCCATCTCTGTGAAGGTACCCGCTTTTTTCTTTTCCAATGTGTTTTTTAAATTTATTAAGGCACAAACCACTAATTAATACAGGGGCTAACTAAGTTGTTCTGTGTTGTTTTTAGGAAAACAGACGCCTTGAAATGGAGTTGTTGGACAGTACTGAAAAACTAGTGGAGGCACAAAGCCAAAATACAAAACTCCAGACTTTTTTGGACAACGTTATGAAAGAAAAGGTACAGAAACGTGTCTGTGTTCTTGCTGTTTTTTGTGTGCCGTTTTGGTTATTTCAGGGTTTCTGAGCAGACAAACTTAACTTGTGATCTATTTTCTTTAGTTGGGAGACTTGGATCCCGGCAGTGCAGACATCTTACTCCACGAGGAGCGTATTAAAGAACTACGCAGAGGCTACGAAGCTCAGTACAGGGTAATTGCATCTGAATCACAAACTGCCTGCCTTTTTCCAAATTTCCAGTTCATGCAGATCCATGTAAGTGGTGTTGGTCATATTGCCTTCACCTCCATGTAGGCGTTTAACTTGTAGCTCTCTGACTTGGTAGGAGCTGCAGGATCGTATTGACGAGCTGCAGTCAGAGTTGCAGGAGTTCCACAGTCTTGGACGAGTTAATTTGACCTGCCACAAGCCCCTCTCTGAAGAGCTGGAGAGCAAAAGCCCCGGCATGGAGTCTGATCCAGGTAAAACATGTAGTCCCTGCAGAGCCACAACTACATCTGTCCATGGCAACAATCCAAACATGGACATTTTGCATAGAAACAAACAAAAAGAAACCCTGTGTCCGTCTTGACTTTTTGCAGGAATCGGTTCAGAGGATGTTCAGCCCTTCAGCGTGAGCCTTGAGGCAGAGATGATGTTGGAGCAGTTGAAGGAGAGACACCTCCAGGAAATGGGGGATTTGCAAAACCAGCTGGAAAGCAAGGTTAGTGTAGTGAACATCTTTTTATATTAGAGTGTATTATTGGCTTTGTAATAAAAATATAGCTGGGAAGAATTGAGAGATTTAGATGGTTTGAAAGTATTGTTATTGACCTATTCATTTAATTCTTCTTTTAATATCACCACAGATCAATGCATTTGACGAGTTGGAAGGAAAGCAGGGGAAGACCAACGAGGACCAGAGAGCTGCAGCCCTCCAGTACCAGCAGGAGGTCCAGGCCCTGAGGGAGGAGATGGCCAGCGTTCAGAGCCACAGGCAGGAACTCCAGAGCCAGCTGGAGCAGGCAGAGCTGGAGCGGACCTTTCTGCAGCAGAAGCAGGTCGAGGAGAGGGAAGAGCTGGATCTGCAGGAGGAGGAAGTGGGGAATCTCAGACAACAACTGCTCGAGTCTCACACCTACTCTGCAGACCTGGAGGAGCAGCTGAAGACCCTCAACGCCAAGCAGGCCGAGGCGGATGAACATCTTGTGAAAGGAATGGACGAGCTGAGGAAACAACACGCCGTTGAGATCAAGAAGCTGCTAGAGGAGCAGGATGAGCTTTTTGAAGCAAGACTGGAAGAGGAGGGAAAGAGAGTGCAGGAAGAACAGGCTGAGTTGGTTAAGAGATTGTTGGGTAATTGCGAAAGGGAAAAGGAGCTATCGCAGCAAAGACACGAGGAAGAGCTGAACGCCAGACTAGAGGAGGCAAAGGGGAGGTTTGAGGAAGAGCGCGAGGAGACTGTTCAGAGGCTGACGGAGCAGTGGCAGACACAGAGGGCTCAGCTGGACGAGCAGAATAATGAGTCTCTGCAGGTGCTGCTGGAAGAAGAGATGTTGAGACTTGTCAGGGAACAAGAGGAGAAGGAGGGCAACCTCAGGGAGCGGTGGGAGAGCGAACGGGCCCAGCTCGAGGAGCGTCAGGAGGAGGCCCTGCTCAACAGAATACTTCAAGAAAAGTCACAGGTGCAAGAGAAGTTTGAGCAGCGGGAGAAAAGGCTGAGGGAGGAGTGGGAGAGGCAGAGGCTGCAGCTGGAAGAGGATTACGAAGGGATGCTGCAGGAGAGGCTGAAGGAAGAGAGGGAGAAGTTTGAAACCGAGAAGCAGGAGGAGGAGCAGCGAGGCCAATGCTTAATGGCAGAGGAGAGGGCTCGTCTAGAGGAGAGCCACCGTGAGGCCATGAGGGAGCTGTCGGGTAAGCACACCGCAGAGAGGGACGCTCTCCACTGCATGCTGGATAAACTACGAGACGACATCGCTCAGGAGAGGTGAGATATCTGGCTTTTAGAGATTATAGTTACTGTAACGTCTTTATCAATGTCATTGGCTTTGCCCTCATTGTTGTAAATGATCTCAAATGCCAAGAACATGTTTGTGTTTTTAACTTGTGCTATAAAGAGGTGAACACAGTTGCTGTAACAATAATTACGTGACGCAGGAGGGAAATCGAGATCAGCTTCGGCCAGAGAATCGAGGAAGTGGAGAGTCGTTTCTCAGGTGATCAACAGTCGGCTGCAGAACGTTTTCAGGCTGATCTTTTGAAACTTGAACAGCACTACCAAAGTGAGCTGAAGGCTCTTTCTGAGAAGCATGTCGAGCAGAAGTCCCACTGGGAGGCACAAGTACACGAGGCGCTGGAGAACGCAGGGGAACAAATAAGAATGATGCAGGAGGCTGTGGAGCAAGAAAAGAAGACGCTGCACCAGGAGTGGACAGATGAACTACATGACCTAGAAAGTCTCCATGAAAAGGAAACGGAGGAACTTGTGATGACAACCCGGCGGCTGCAGAGTGAGCTAGATGACTTTGTCAGTTCAGCTCAGAGCAAAGAGATCGCGCTGAGCAGGCAGCTGAATGACCTCCACAACCGGCTTCAAGGGAGCCTGGAAACCAAAGACCAGCACGTGGCTCAGCTTGAGAGGAAAGCGCTGGAGGCTGAGCTCCTGCTGAGTCAAACCGTGGAGGATTTCAAACAGGAGAGGGAGGAACTCCTGAGCAGCCAGTCCGAACTTCAGGCAAAATACGCAGAGTTGCTTTCCATCTCCGAGGGGCAGATTACTGAGCGGATCGAACTGTTAACCGAGCGCGACGATTTGAGGATGGCGATCGAGGAGCTGGAGACGCTGCTCAGACAGGCGGCCGTGGACTTTGAGCTCGAGAGGAAGGAGCTGCAGGAACACGCGTCCATCCTTGAGGAAAAGTCGGAAAACAACCGAGAGGACGACAGAGAGGGGCTGCTTGCAGAAAGAGATGTGCTTAAAATCAGAATTAAAGAGCTAGAGTTGCTTTTCAATCAGGTCACATCTTCTGCAGGAAAGGCTAAGGAAGAAGCAATTAATGAATCAAACAAAAATGATGACGTTGATTTAGAGACCAGTGAAGCCCTCGATGGGGGGATCAAGACCGCTGGTCACAACGATGAAAACGATACCATTGATTATCGAGACCTGCCCGAAGTCCATCGAGCTCTTTCTGGAGATTCAAATCCCAGGGAAGCTGAAGGAGACCCTGAAGTAGACCGTTGCTGTGCAGGGATTGAACATGAAGGCCCTGAATCAATGTCTCGTACTGGCCTCCGCTCAGACGTTCACATAGGAAATCATTCAACGGTTGAATACAAGAACAAGGCCCCAGTTTCCCCGCAGATGCCTTGTGAGCTGATCTCCTCCCCCGAGGCGTTTGGAGGTGTCGATGCTCATGGAGACGGTGAGAATAAAGACGCGTGTGTTGTTGTTCCTACTTGGATCAGTGAAGACCCTCCCCGGGGAGACGAGCCGTGTCATGAGACCGCGGTGGATCCCTCGCCGCTGGAGGAGACGGCTGAGGGGTCGCCAGCGGACGCTGAGGTCAGGTGTTCAACAGATGACTCTCATCACGGCACACAGGAAATTGAACTCGTTTCAGACCCAGAATGGGAACATTTAACTGCTAAAGAAGAGGATCAATGCGCACATTATTGTCTGAATGAAGATGCCGATTGTGAGGACCTTAAAGTGAAAGCTTTGTATAACACCACCTGCCACGAGAACATCCTTCTGCATGAGAAGATTTCTCTGCTTCAACAGAAGACTGAGATACTAGAGAACCTTCTGGCTTATAACGCTGAAAAGATCAAAACTGCCCACCAGATACTGGAAGAAAACTATGGCCTCAAAGTCGAGATGCTACTTCTGATGGAGCACGTCAAGGAGCTGGAGGTCGAGGCCTCAAAGACGAGCGGCGTTCAGATCAGGTATGAAGACTGCCTGTGTGAGAATGCCAAACTGAAGGACCAAAACGGTGAACTTGCAAAGAGAGTTTGGAGCCTTGAAAGTCGAGTAAACATTATCCACGAATTCCAAGACCAGCAGATGGCGCTGGTGGACGAGATCAGCCGGATGAGAGCGGAGAACGCCGAGCTGTCCATGTTGTTCGGCGAGCTGGAGAGGCGCCGTGAGATCCTTTCGACGACCGTCCAATCGGCGGCGTCTCTCCCGCGGGACCTTCGGACTGTGACTAGTCTGGAGGACAGCTGCGAGGAGTTTGAGGACCAGAACACCAAACTTCGCAGAGCCATCGCGGCGCTGCAGGGCAAGTCGCAGTGGTTAAATGCAACGACGCAGGCTCATAGGTAACGTGGACAAGAACTAGGATCCCGTCCCTCCGTGGCTTCTCGATCCCTCGTCCCTGTGGTGGTTCGTTCCCTCCCGACCTAGACGCCGTCCTTTTTCCTCCATCCCGTGATGAGGCTCCTGGAAGATGGAACAGGTCCTCACCTCTAGTGCTGCTTTGATCCCTGTAGATCACAAGTGGAATAGAAACAAAAAAAGAATTGCAAGTTCAATGTGCGTGTTGTACAAACACATTGAACTGTAGAATGTGCATCCTGAAGTGCTAGAAAGCAGTTTGTTCACGTGGTTCTGTCTGTTCTGCCTGTAGTTCTGAGGCCAGTCGTCTAGCTGACGAGAACCACGTGCTCAGACAGAAGATTGCTGCCTTGAAGGAAGAAGACCTGAAAGCGGTCCAGGAGGAGCTGATGTAAGAAACAAATCATTTAATTGAAACACTAAGACACTAACCGTTGTTAATCTGACGTATAAACGAACACCGTCTGCTCATGTTTGACGTTTAGACGCACGCTGCAGCACGTGAAAAATGGGAAGATTGAGGATCAAAAGGCGGCAGAGAATTTTGAGAAACAGGTACGGAAGTAACTTGAATGCTGAGGGCAGCTGAGGCTCGTTGGTTCTGAGGGGGGCATCAGTGTCTTTACCCATTTCATAGCAATGCATCCAGTAGTTGTTGAGACATTTCTGTTTATAAAAAGGATCAACCAGAGGAATCACAAGTCATGAGGGTTTGTTTTACATTTGTTAATTATTTTAAGAGATGGACCAAGTCCAAACTATTTTTCTATCCTAAAAGCAGCCAATAATCTACGTTATCCCCATTTGCAGATTTCAAAGCTGCAGCTGCAAAGCCAGCGACTCGAGGATGAGAAAGTGATGCTGTTGGAGAAAAATGCCCAAAACATTTCTGACATTGAGAATCTCCGACAGCAGCTGGCAGAGCTGACAAAGGAGAACGAGAGCAGGGAGGTGCTCGCCACTAAGGAGAAGAACAAGGTAAGCGGAGTTCAGGGATGGATGATGATGATGCTGATGAAGATGGTCGTCGTAGCTGGTAGCTGATCAGTGGCTGTTATGTGTTAGCTGGCAGCGTGTGTGTTTGCTCTGGAGGCAGAGCTGACCAAAGCTCTGCAGGACTCTGCACAGCTGGAGCAGCGCAGCGTCCAGCTGTCACAGCAGCTCTCTGTCCTCAGAGGGAAGGTGAGCACCGGGCCGCCGACTCTTTGACGGGGTTAATGGGAGCCATTAAAGCGTGACACGGGCACAAAGTTAAAAAGCATGAAGACAACATGAAATGACTCAATGAGTGAATACAGCTAGAAGAATACTTTAAACAACAATACTTTAATGGACTAACTGTAGCGTTGACACAACGCATTGAGGGCCGTTTAATTACAGCGGCCGTTGTCTTTGGTTTGTCAGGCGGTCCAGGTGGACTCCATGGAGAGTGAGCTCAGCCACCTGGTGGAGGAGCGGATAAGTGTGGATAAGGAGACGCTGAGCCTCTGCAGCCAGCTGGCCGCCGCTCAAGAGAGGGTGAGAGTCCTCCGCATCAATTACTATTCATAGTAATGGAACGGATTTGGAGTCCGGTTTGTCCATGAAGACGTTGAACTCAGGAACTAATGCTCGCGTCTCCTCCAGGTGAGGACAGTGGATGAAACTCTTCAGGCTGTGAACCATCAAAGCGCTCGCCTCAAGTCAGACCTCCGTGTTTCGCAGCAGGAGAGGGATTCCCTTCAACACGAGGTGGACGTTGTGCACAAGAAGCTGCAGAATGTTAATGATAAAGTAAGATTTAGTTGTTGTTTTTTAATGTTTTATTCACTAGCTTGTGTTATTTTGTGACCATGGTAAGTGACACACTGACATAAACGAGCAAACTTTTCAATGAAGTTTTTTGACATCAATGACTGCTGACGTCAAAGGGCTCTCTGATTTATGAATATCGCTTAACTGATAACTGATATTGATTTGAATGTATCAACACAGATTTTTATGTCTATCTTAACTTCATTCTAAAACAATTAATGCAAAGATTATTCTGCTCATTTTGCGAGTGTTTGATTTTAAAACGCAGACTCCACACAACGCACATTTATTTAATATCTTCCAGTCGACTTCACCGTTTCTTTGTCCCAGAACCGCGTTTTGGAGATGGCCTTGCACTCGAGCGGCCTCCAGAGTAAGAGCAAGAAGCTGTACAGAGAGGAGATGTCCCGGCTGGTGGACCAGGAGCAGCAACTGCTGAGGCAGGAAAACGAAAGGCTTCACGCTGACGTCCTCAACGCCAAAGCAGACCTGGCTCATTGCAGAGAAAAGGTGAGCCTGGTCCCGTGCCACGCTGTCACGGGAGCCCAGTTTGCCGTCCAGTGGTGAAATCTATAATCCCTGTATATCCCACGTGTGCAGGTCCGCCAGCTTGACGCTTCCCTCGTGTCCCTGAAGCAGCACAAACACATTCAGGCCTCCCTGGTGACGGCCTTGGAGCAGGAGAACGCCTTGCTGAAGCACGAGCTCCAGGCACAAAAGGAGCTCGCCAAGGTAAACCGCAAGCATCCAACTACCTTTTTTTGGGGGGGGTTTTCCAAGCATGTTGATAAAGTCTTACGTTCTTCTTCTATGTGCGTTGTGTGTTTCAGGACGGCGGAGCAGGACTAGGACACTCGGGGCTGGAGGTCCTGCAACAGGAAAACGAGTCGCTCAAAGTCCGAACGTTTCAGCTGTCCACGCAGCTGATAGCGGTACCAACATTTCTATTATATATATATATATATATATTAATATGATATATTTCTATATACAAGGAGAACTTGTGCTTTGCTTTCTTAAATCCGTTTCTGGTTGCAACTTGTGTACTAGTTATTGTAGTTTGAAAAAGTCTTTGCTTACTGTTTTTGATTTAGGAGAAGTTGTATTTTTATTTTGAGAACTTTGCTGGTTTACGTTTAGTTTTAAAGCCGTGATTAGCAGTTGCTGTAAATGGTAGAATGTTAGAATACATGACATCAAAATGAATGTGGGTCGTCGCCTCGTGCTCCATGTGTCATGAAGAAGAGATGAATAACTGCAAACTGAGAGACCAAAACTAAAATGTAGTTTCAGTGTCTGTTCATTGTTGTTTTGCAAAGAGCCGTCATGTTTTATTTCACTTTCAGTCTCTCTGTTTTGGTTAAACAATTATAAAGGGCAGGTTTATTTTGGAAATATGGAGTTAGAGTTGTCGTTGGATTATCCTTGAATAAAATGACCCCCATACTGTTTTTGAAGTAACGTATTTCGGTTCTCAACCTGTTATCGTATTCTTCTACTTTGTTCAGGCGTATCACCTTCATTTGGGGGGACTTGTGCCTCCGTCCCCTCACAGGATGCCTCGGGGACAGCACCGAGGCGAAGAACCGGACAACATGCAGGTACGTTACAACGTGAACCTTCCTGGAAAGCAGACTGTTTACAAATGGATCTTTCCCAAACTACATTTCCCTAGAGTCTGCTTTCAGATTGTATGTATTTATGATGTTTAGCTCCTGAGGGTTTGGGGCCATTGCACGGTTTGGTTTTACATTTATCTCCTTTCTTTTCATTCCTTTTTGTCTGTCTGTCCCTTTACTGCCATCTGTTGCCGTTACCATACATGCATCATCATTAGCTGTAAGATGGGAGCTAAATCTCATGTGAGAGCTTTTTTGGATGTAATGGGAGTTAAATATAAACATAGCCATAGTATTATAATAGTATTTCTTTCTCTGTTACTTTGGTTTAGAAACTGCTCAAAGAAATCACTCAATTTGGGGGCCTTAAAATGTGTTCTATTTATTTGGCAGGAGATACACATTGATCTGTCGATGTTCAGCAGCACTTAAGAAACAGATATTAAGGTGTTAACCTGTGTTTTCGCTTTTAAAGTGTAATTTCACCTCAGTATCATCTGTTTTTCGTGACCTTTTTGTTTGCATTTCCCTTTCGATGCTTGTCACGGATCCATGTCAACACTTGTCTGTCTTCACCTCCCTGTGTCGTGTGTGTAGTGTTTACTTTTTGGGTTTGGTGTTTAGCCCGTGGCGTTTGTGTGTGTGTCGTTTATTTAATTCTCCATTTGGGGACTTGAGGAGCTGCAGTGGTTCTGAACATCTGGGTGTGGTCCTAGTGGCTTTTTTTTTTCATTTGTCTTATTGCACAATCCGTCGTCTCACCCCGACCAGATAGATGTAGCTGGTTACAGTTCATCTGTAGGAGGTGTCATCTCACAGATGGTGTGTTTTAATAGCATTTGATATTTTGTTGTAATTGTTATGTTATCAGTGGCTAGAAAAGAGGAACCATCTAATACAGTTGTGTACACTATTTATTTATTTATTTATTTATTTATGAGGTTAAGTTTCAACTCAGTTTCTTAGTTGTATTGTAATATCTGGTTTCATACATAATTTATTAATCGTATATACATATTGACAAATTTGAACAGCTGACATGATGATCAATACTATCGCACAAACATACCAATACTGTATAAACACATTTCATTTGTCTGATTCAGTTCATTTCATTCAGTATTGGAAAAAGTCAGTTCTGAAAATGTAAAATCAATAAAAGGGTTTGTACCGCATGGTTTGTTATGAATAAGTCTCCAATCCTACAGAAGACTTAAAACAATATGTATGAATAGTTTACACAACTGTTACATGAAGTTGGATTGTTAGTGTTCATGGTGCTTTGTGAGGATCATAGTTTACTCTCCTCTCTGAGTCACTGGCTGGAGTAACGATGGGAGACATTTGTATCCGTATTGGGTAACTAAGATTGATTAAATAGTGATATAACCAGTAAATTGAGTCTGCTCATATATGAAAGCGACTTTGAAACTTATTGGATATAGTTTTTGTGTGTGAAAAGAAGCGTTTTTTTACTTTTCTACGGTTGTATTTAGTGTGTTCAGTGGCCCGCGTGCGGTCGGAGCCGAGGGTGCAGCCGTGGTGAAGTGTACCTGCCTTCTCTCTCCAGGGGCCGATGCCGGAGCAGCGGGCGGCTCATGCAGACAGCTACCGGCGGATCGGTGGACTCTAACGCCGGCGTCTTTCCCCCGCTCTCCACTTTAACATCTCCTCTCACCTCAAAGAGCGCTCCTGCTTTCCTAACCCCGCTGCCCTTCCTCTGCTATGTTTGGATCCAAAGTCTGACTGTGGTTCCCGATGCCAGCGCCCCCCCCCTTCCTCTCTTATAGGAGATCTGTGAACAAATGCGGTGCCTGAGTGTAAAGGCGTGAATGTGTAACTGTGTTTCCCCGCTGCCAGGGGGCAGGAAAGCAGAGTTTCTCCCAATGGGATGTTTTTTAAGACATGAATTTGAAGGCTTGTCAGACACGCCATATCCAATGTAACGACGACAAACGCAGAGCTGTTTGTTGACCGTATTTGACTTTTATAAGGGTCCAATCCTTTTGTGCATTAAAAAGTGTATTGTGGTTTTGATACAGGGAGTCTTTTTAACGCACGATGGGTTTTCTTGGAATGTTTTGTTGTTCACTTGTTCCATTTGCTGTTGTCTGAGACGGGGAGTACACGTCCTTAGAGGCTGAATATTGCCTTATGATCATCGAGGACTGTTGAGGTCAGATTGGTGCCTTTTTCTGGGCCTTTTTTTCAACAATCAGTGGTGTAATTTGCCGGGCGGCGGCGCGGTCTGAGTCCAGTATGAGATTTCCTGATTCTGCGCTTTCACTCTTTGTCTTTTGATGTTGACGTCTGTATTTCTTATTTAACACATTGTTGAATGTTTCTTCAACCTACGTGTGTGTGTCTGCACAACCAAAGTGAATAACATCTTTGTTTTTCTGTTGTTTATTTCCTAAACAATGACACATCACTTTTAGGGGGTTATTATTCTTATTATAAACCAATCATTGTTTGTCCTCAGTAGTGAAATAATTAAATGCATTTTAATGTCTTTTAATGTCTTTTAGTGGGTCTTTCTGCTTTGCACCATGTACAGACTCAAATGTGTTTTATTTATTTTGATAGGAAGAATTATTTTATTTATGTATTAAATTATTTTTGTAGCGGTATCTGGAATACACGGCGTAATTTTATTTATTTTATTTTTATTTTTTTAGTGTATCGTAGTTTCTTTTTTAAAAATGTACCCAAAATCTTTCAATGCTGAATTAAGATAAAATAAAGGTTCCGACTCTTAAGAATGTGGTCTGATTTTTTGATTTATTTTTATTTTACATCAGCTCAGTAAGGCAAATCTAAATCTGCTCAACGCGTTTACGGAAAATGTGTTTCCATCCCTCACTGTCTTCTCACCAGGACGAAAGGGAGAGGAAGATGAAGACTATGGAGGCGCGTATGAGGGAAATTGAACTGTCGCTGCGCAACGTCAAGATGCTGCTAAAAGAGAAGGTTGTTCAGCTGAAAGACCAGGTAAGTTCAAAAAGCTCCATCAATCACCGCGGGTGTTGTCTCAATGTTTTTAAGAGGGCAAAAATCAGCTTCTGAAAAATGGATTTCACAAATGTCCACAAGTCTGTTTTATTCTTAAAATAGACAAAAAGCAAGTTGTGTTTTAGGGCTTTTTAGGGGGATATTTTCTTTTTTAATCTGATGAGATCTAAACTATTAACTTTTAATGAAACATTTAAAAAAAAAAATCTCAAACGCACTGTATTCAGAGTTCATTAAAGGCACGACATCTCACGGACCTCCGTCCTGCATCAAATTCCCCGAGTAGACTAAAGATTTCTTTGTTCTAATGCCACCGGTTGTAAAAACCAAGGAGAAATAATTAAAATAAAACCGTTAAATAAACAATGCGTTGAAATATCAAACCGAAATAAAAATATTTTGAAAGTTAAATTTAACTTTTAACTCAAAGAATACAATATTTGAAAGTGTGTCTTTAAAGAGGAAATAAAATTTGATTACCCCACAAAGAATCCCAATAATTAGAATGGTGTTCGGAGTAAAACGTGGATCTAGAAAGTTTCCCGTCTGAGAAGTACGTTATCGTGATCGTCTTCTATTCCAAATTATTCAAATAAACCTCACTGGCATGAGTTACATTTATATCTTAATTAACAATTCCACCCATAAAGGAAAATGGTTATTCACAAGACAACCAATTCCCATTAAACACTGAAACTTATTAGAATGTGTGTATACAGACGAAATATCATTGAGCAAAACATTTTTCTAATGCGACGAGCAGGAGGAACTTTTCTATAGCCAGAGAAAACTGCACAATACTTCCATTGACAAAGATTTGTGAGATTTTTTTTTCCGTGGTGGTGACATTGTTTCTGAATTACTGGTGACACATCTTTGGCCTTTTGTATTGCGATGTATATGTGTTTTCTAGCTGACATTCGATATGTGTCGATCTCATCAAATGAGATGAATTATGAAACAAAGCCTCTCAGCGTGTGCTTTCTCCTGACTTTTCTAGCTGCACAAGAATGGCAAAGCAGACGTATTGATCAAAGACCTGTATGAGGAGAACACCGAGCTGCTGAAAGCTCTGCAGATAACGGAGCAGCGGCAGAAAATCACAGAGAAAAAGAACTACCTGCTGGAAGAGAAGATCTCCAGCCTCAACAAGATAGTGCGTGACTTAAACCCCTCGCCGCTTCCATCGCTACCGTATCACTACAAATGCACATGATGGGTCCAATGGAACGCTTACAGGTTGTCCGGATAATAACGGCAGATCACAGTTTATTTACTTATTCTTTTTTATATATATTTAAAAAATAAAAACCAGTGCGACCCTTGTGCAATAGATGGAGTCAGATGCACAGGAAATGTATTTCAGTTGCATTTCCCCTGGCAGTGTTTTATTATTTTTTAAAGCATTTTATTGTTTGAATATGCAGTATTTTGTATACGTTGTTTTTTATAAGTTTTGGTTGTGTTGGACCTATGAAGAACCAAAAGTGTCTTTAGACTATAGAAAACATGTTATTTGACACTAATTTATCATTTTAAAATATATTTTAAAGCAGTAGTAGTTATCTAGTCTTTTTGAGAGAGCGAAAAGGCAACCGCGATGTGCACTTTTTATGTAACCGGTTCCTTTGTCAATATGGTCAATGAACGGAATTATGTATATCTGTCACTCCTTTGAATCTTAAGCCCTTATGTAAAGTAAAAACAAACCTCTGTTGTAAAACCATGTGTATAGAACAGTCAAATAATCTGTTGATCTTTTCAGGGTTTCCTTTCATGTAACACAACCTGTCGTCACTGAAGTTAATGTGCCAACTCTTGCTATTTCTATACATTTGCCCACAAACCGTTGCAATATGTGAAGTTTCCTATAAGCTGTGCCATTATGAATGTTTTATATCAAATCAAGTGTCTTTGTAGTGAAGCATACACACTGATGAAAACAGGGTAATGTTTTGTGGAACAATTAAATACACGGCTCAAGTCTGATATTAATTTCTCACTGGCGTAATTTATTGTCTGTTTTGACCATTAGCTTATTTATGGTAATAGAAAAGTGTGTTTATACCATTACCACTGTATTTTAGTGCAATTTTAAGGCATTTCACACCAACACATTAAAGAAATGTTCATTCATGTCCAACACAATAATCTACAATGTTAATCTTCTGCCTACATATAATTAAAGTAAAGATAATACATTTTTCGGCAATATTTTGAATATTGTTTCCCCTGTTGCTTAGTCAATTTAAGTTAACAAAAATTAACTACAACAAAAAAGCAATTTTCTATAGAAAAGAATCCGTCTCTCCTGTTCAAATCCCACTTAAAAGGGCAAAATGAGCATATTTGCCACTGTGTGTGCGTGCGCGGCCGCCCGCCGGGTGGGCAGGACCGCGCGGTCCCCCGTCCCCGGGGAGGACGCGCGGTGGGAGTGGCGCGCTGCCCCAAAGCGGACCGGAGCCACGGAGGAAAGATCCAGGAGCGCAAGTTAGCTGGCTAGCTAGCTGCTAGCTAATCTGAAGCTTTACGCAACGACATGTTCGCTCTCCGCGCCTCGCTAACGGAACGGGGTGGCTGCACGGTTGACTGGTTGTGCCATGACATTCGCTGTTGATGTCCGCCGAGCCTTGAGTTATGCTCTCACGAAAGAAAAGTAAAAAAGAAGCGTCGAAACCAGCCGAGGTACACGGGAAATATGTGAAGAAGGAAACGTCGCCGCTCCTGAGAAGTAAGCGCAACAAGTAGCCAGCTAGCTTCGAAGTTAGCCCGCTAGCATGTAGCGTTAGCATCGTTTGACACATTCGTTTTGCCTGTAACTAGCAAGCGTAATACTAATAACTAACGAGCACAACGTGAGGAAACACAGAGTCACGGCAACGGGGATCAGTATCGAGTAACCGACCGCTTAATCCGGTTTCTTTAAACTGCTTTTTTAAACAAAAAGCTTCGCGTTCGGTTAACCTGGCAGTTGGAGTGCTAGCTAACGTTAGCTTCGTTAATATCAGCTGAAGTGTCATAGAAAAGTTTCGCGGTAACAATAACGAGTCATATTGATAATGACTTAGTAAATCTACGTACTGGGAAATGTATTTGACTTTTACCATAATTTGTAACCGTTTTCTAGCGCCACGGAGGCTTAGTCTAAAAAGTCCGATTTGTTTATTTATTTACTTAGCTGTAAAACACCCAATTAAAAGAGATGGCCCATATTTTGAATAATTGTCTATATTTATGCAAACTTTAGTCTTGTCATGCAGACAGTCTGGTCCGTGTAGCAATGTGTTTTAGTATTGTTGTTCTAGGTGGAGCTTTTGAACTACTCTGCATTATGTATTGTTTGGTAATTACATATACACTTTGACAATACATTATATTCTACATGATCGTTTATTTTTAATATTTATTTTTAGTATCCTTAAACTGTACATGAGCAGAGTAGTTTGATCACTTCCCCATAATACTTTCCATTATTTCAGTGGCTTTTGATACTAGTTTTGATACTGTGCTATTGAATGAACTGATACTGATGGATGCTCTCGCCTTGTTTACCTAATTGCAGGTCTTATGCCATCATTCATCCGCCATGGACCCACTATTCCCAGACGTACAGAGGTCCCTCTGCCAGATATGGGGCCTTCTTCCTACCCGGTGCCCCCTGCCCGGGAACCCGCTGTGTCCCGCAACAAGAGTTTCCTCCGTGCCCCCGTGCAGAGGCCTCCACAAGAGGTGGCCCGCAGAGAGAGCCACCGGATGTCTGCCCCGCCGTACCTGCCTCGCAGTCTGGGAGACCTGCCTCACGAATACGCAGGCTCCTCACAGTCCTTTCTCACAGACGTGAGCCCCATGTCTGAGAATGGCGACGCTGCCCGGTATTACTACGCCTCTGAACCTTACTATGACAACCAGCAGCACCAACAACAACAACAGCAACAGCAACAACACCAGCAGCAGCAGCAGCAGCAGCAGCAGCACCGGCAGCCCATGAGGGTCCCGGACCGCTTTCCTGAGGACTATAGATACTATGAGCACAATGAACATAACTTCCAAAGACTTCCACGACAACACACTCCCCCAGCGCCAAGCAGACCGCCGTCAGGTAAACATTTTTGCCTCTCACTTTTGACAGTATTCGTTTTGCTAGTTCCTCTTCACAGAGAAGAAAACAAGCGGCAGCAACAGGAAATAGGAGGTACATGCTGTTGTGGAAAGTTCGGGGCAGGCAGACATTCTGCAGGGCCGTGAGTCCAGTGATGAGGCATTTCGCTCGGGACGCAACAGGCCCGGGTTCGAGTCCCATTGGTGCCAATCAGTTTTTAGTGGGTTGACGGTGGCGCATGGAGTAGAGAGGGTGCGCCGGGACCGCAAGGTTGGCGGGTTTGAGCCTCGGCTGCTCCACGTCAAAGTGTCCCTGAGCAAGACCCCTAACCCCTAATTGCTCCCTGGGCAAAAATGTATTAACAAAAAAAAAAAGCCACGGGTTAAAATGCAATTTAAGTCGCTTTGGATAAAAGCGTCAGCTAAATTAACTGTAATGTAATTCTCTTGAAGGATGAAAATACCGTGGCTTTCTTCTCTAGTCATTTTTAAGAATGAGTGAAAACACAACACTCTGTTTCTAAAGTTTCAAATATGTCTGTTGAGCAAGATTTCAAGAAAAGGTCCCAACAAAAACTAAGTAGCTTTGCGTCTGTATGATTGTTATTTTGCAGCATCGCAGTATAATGGATCGGTTTTGGAACATAGCATAAGAATGCAAGCCGTTGCTTGTTACTAATGAGCTCGAAAGAGCAATTTTATTCAAGTTTCCTCAGCGATGGAATATTTTTAAATTTTCCTCTACGTTGTGAACACGATATAAGTGTGTAATTTCAACAAGATTAAATGTTTATGGGGTCGGGTGAATTTTCCAACCCACTCCAAGCTATAGCGAACCTTTTATTATGTGGCTGCCTTGTCAGCGTTGTGTATATGGTGCAGCAGTAAGTCCGGCACGCCTATCGCATATCACAGAGCCGTGTTTGGAGGGAAGTTAAACAAGCTTTAGGCGCTCTGCATTTTTCCCCGCTTTGTTTGCGGAATCCTTCCGCCAACAAACTAGCAATTTGCAGACCTCCCCCGGTCAAATGTCTCCGCTTCGCACTGCGCAGTTCCATGAGTCGTCGTGTCCGTCAGCACCGTGTTCTGTATGTTTAAACAGCACACGTGAGGTTAATGCAGGAGCAGCAAGCAGAGCTGTTTGGAAGTCCGTCTTTTAACAGGAATGTCATTTTTTTTCTACAAAAAACATTTGAATCTTGCATCAAAGTGTATAAGATGCAGTTTGAAGCGTAATAGTTTTTCGGGCTGTTTCAGCAGTTGCACTTTTGTTGTTAGTCATGAGCATTTATGATACATCATCAGCATCTCATGTGTATCTTCGCCCCCGTTTTTTTTCCTGTGTTCCCCGGTTTCATAAAAACACAGATTACAGTAACTGGGATGCAGAGAAACACTAAATGCAATAGACAGCGAACTGGTCCTTTCATAAACACAAAATGAAACGATACGTGTTTATTTAAGAAGTTTGTAACTATATAATCAGAAAACCACTAATATTATCAAAAGATGTGGTTGATGATTCATTCGTTTTCATACTTTTTGTGTGTACCTTAATATAATACTTTAACTAAAACCTCCCCATTCCCAGTTATAAAATGAGTGCTCTGCCCTCGACTATTTAGTGAAATTCCTGTAATGCATGAAGGTTTAGGTCTGCAGTCAGCGATGATGATGATGATGTGGAGGAGTGCATTTCTGCGGAGCGCTCGCACATTCCGTCCCTTCACTCAGCAGCTGGCAAAGAGCTCCAGCTCTGCTGCTGTCACACTCATGCAGAATTTATCAGATCGTAGCCGCCATTTTGCTCAGATACTTTTCTCGCTGCGCATTCTTCTGCGTTTTCAGCCCTCGCGAGGCTCCGCCGGGCTCATCAGTCCAACTCACCCACACAGCTGTTTGCTCAACATTCCTCGCTGGCGTTACTCATTCATTTGACGTACTGGTCCTGTCGAATGAACCCGCTCTGCCGTCCGCTTGTACTGAGGGAGTTTGGGAGTTCTGTGGTTTGTTCTCTTCCTAGTGTGTGTTTGGCCACGCAGAGATCTCTGCCTTCCTGTCCAAACCTAACAAAGCTCATTTCCTAGTATTTACCAACGTCCGTCTGAATGAGATGCTGAAAGCGATGGAGCACCCGTGTCCCCATCACGGTAGTCCTTAGTAACCGCATCATACGTAACGTGATTTCACTGCATTTCTCATCAACGCTCACTTTCCCCCGTTTGACTGACATTCAGTGTTTTAGATGCTGTACATCCCCTTCCCTTAAAATGACCTTTTCCCACGCATTTTTCCTTCATTCCCAGCGCGCTGTTGGCTCACAGCTGCTGAGCTGTAACTCTTCTGGTCAGAATCTCTCCCTCTTGGTTTCTAAAAGAGAAATGTTTGCTTTTCCTCAGGCATAGGTCGAATACAGGCCAAGTCCCTGGGGAACCTCTCCAATCTGACGGGGGAGGACATGCCCCTTCCGGGCGGCTGGACCGTTGACTGGACCATCCGTGGCAGGAAGTACTACATTGACCACAACACAAACACTACGCACTGGAGCCACCCTCTGGAGAGGGAAGGGCTCCCCCCGGGATGGGAGAAGGTGGAGTCGGCCGAGTTCGGGGTCTACTACGTGGATCACATCAACAAGAGGGCTCAGTATCGACACCCCTGTGCTCCGAGGTACGTCATCAGGCTGGCGAGAGACGGATGTCCCGTGCCTCTTTATTCGTCCCTCGCGGCTCTTGACATGAACAAGTTTCTCCCGGATCACCAGCACGACTAAAATGGTTTCACGCGTTTAAAATGTGGTATGAATGCTACATAACCTCTTTGTTCCAGTGTGCCTCGCTATGATCAGCCTCCGCCGCTGCCTCCGCCTGTGACCTATCAGCCGCGCCCTGTGGACAGGAACCAGCCGGTCCTGGTGCCAGCAAACCCGTACCACACAGCCGAGATACCCGACTGGCTGCAGGTGTACGCCCGCGCCCCGCTCAAGTGAGTACTCATGGGTGGTGGTAACGCAGCCCGGTGCGTCGGCTACTCTGCTCCCCGAGACGCAGGAGAGAAATGGCCTCACTTTTATGGTTGTTTGACCAGCAGCAAAGCCAACGAGTGCTTAGAGCTGCGGTTAGTTGGTAACGGGAGAAGTAGAAATAATGTGTTGTCCAACACCTCTCAAATACCTGTTATGGTCACACAAATATCTTCCCCTCTACGTCAGGTATGACCACATCTTGAAGTGGGAGTTGTTCCAGCTGGCAGACCTGGACACGTATCAGGGCATGCTGAAGCTGCTTTTCATGAAGGAGCTGGAACACATCGTCAAATCCTACGAGGCGTACCGGCAGGCGCTGCTGTCAGAGGTGGAGGCTCGCAAACAGCGGCAGCAGTGGTACGCCCAGCAGCCCAGCAAGAACTTCGTTGGGAACATGTGAGTGTGTGCGTGGGTGCGTGTGTGCAGCAGGGGACGTCGCGCTGCCACTCCTCCCTGAGGTCGCCACAGCTTGGGAGTGGTCAGGGTTTTCCTTTTTGAAATCACAATGGACTCTTAATTGCTTCTTCACCAAACACATCTGTGCCTTCGCTTGATCCAAATATATCAGCCAGGAAGTCAAGACACACATTCGAGGGGCCCGTTCCCCTCCCACCAGAGTGACCATGTGACTGAAAAAAGCTCCAATGAAGAAGAATAACATATAATGTACTACAGCTGGGGAAGTTGTGGTGCCATTTGCAGCCCAGAGAACTGAACCGCTGAAGTGAATTCTGCTTTTAAGACTCAGGACAGACTTTTGTTAAAAAACATCCTGATTGTGCCTTTTTCTTATTTTAAAAAAAAATAAAATGCAGCAATTTTAATAAGTTACTCTGTCATTATTACCTGTTGGACAAAATGCCAGGCAGTTAAATCGAATTTGTTCTTATATGAAATATATTTCTTTTTTTGCTTTGATAACTTTATAAACTAAAACCACATTGTAACACAAAAACTACATTTCTTTTCCTTCTTTTTTTCATGACTTATCCATGTAAGACAATCCACCAAAACACTCCTCAGCTATTTCATTTTCGATGTGAAACCCGTCTTCATTTAAAGGCGTTTTGTTGGATGACATTTGATGCAGTGCTCTGAGCTTCCTGTGGCTCTTTGCATTTCTGTAGGTCAGGAATACTCGTGTGTGTGTGTGTGTGTGTGTGTGTGATGAAACAAATAAGCTACTAGAACTTTACACAACCAAGTTTGCCAAACAAGTGCAATTGAGCTTGTCCATGTTCTGTTCTGTTGGGATGTTTCTTGCCTTCGTATGGTCTTATTTGTATAGACAGACGCGTCTCTTCTGTGGAAGAAATGCAGGTCGTTTTGATCGCTTATTATCAGCGCAAACCGTTTTAAGATACTAAGAAATGTCTTTATGGTGGAGGTTTTGCTTAGTACTATTTTTATTAAAAAAATAATTTAAAATGTTTCAATGGGGGATCTGTTTACGACGGTGATCACATATCCAAACATTTCTGGATGTCCTCGAAAGATTTCTGATGAGTCAGCAGCGGGAAACGTTTGAAAGAACGTCTCTTCAACAAGTCCTTCGTTATGCAAGCAGGTCTCAATCACGTCTTTTCACATGGGCTCATCCCTTTTGTACATATCTGATTTTGTGGATTGCAAATACAGAACATAAGCAATAAAGTCTGCAGTGAAGAAAAAAACATTCTGGACGTGTTGTGGCCTCTGTCCCTGTTTACCTTCACTTTGAGGCTGCTATCGTAAAACTGGAAATACTTCTGATTAAAAAAAGAAATCTTGACAATCATGAGAAATTTTCAAAGAAAGACGTCATCTCAAACTTATTAATTTGGTCCACCTTTATTTTTTATTTAACTGCAAATTTGCAATGAGAGCGTGGGATCTTATCGGTGTTGACTTCTTTCAGTACACTCGGGCTCCCACGACGTCCACAGCTGGTTTAATGTCCGCGGGGACGTCCTCAGGAATGAATGGGATACATTTGTCTTTTTCCATTTATTGTTTAGAGCGTTAACGCAACACAATAATGCTACTTTTCCTGAATGGCGACAGCGGAGAATAAATCTCAGGAGTCTTGAACTGGACTTGGATGGCTCTCTGCGTGAAGGCCTGATGATGATGTGGAAGACTCCACACGCCGCTCTGCTGCTGCAGGGCCTTTACCTTTCCAGCTCCCGAGGTCAAACCTAAGCACAAAATGCTAAATGCATGACCGTGTTCCTGTGACCAGAGATTAAAGAGAAATTACAAAATAAAAAGCCCCTTCAATGGTGCAGCTGTATGTGAGCAGATGTTTCACAGTGAGCTCTGTGACTCTCATTCCGTGAGCTACAAACGACGCCCGCAGGTCTACAAATGCACGCTGACCGTCACCTTGAAAGCCTTTTGTTTTACTAATGCAAGCTGAAAGGAAAAGATCCGTGCCGGGCTTCTTCCACAGATGGACCAACGTAAGTGTGAAGATGAAAAGATGTGGAATGAGGAATCTTTTTTTCTTTTTTTTCCCAGAGCGGTCCTGTTGCACCGCCTGATAACAACATGTTTGATTCCTCAGTGGCCACAGAGCAGTTTACATTCCTGGGATTTGCTCCAACATTCAGTGAGAAACACAACAGTGCTTTTTGACCCGCCACCTCTACGTCACAATGAAAACCAAACGGGCGCTTTCGCCTCCACCTCCAGAGACCGAGCGCGGGGTTACAACACTGCAAGCCGAATACAGAGTGAGACATAAAGGTCAGCTGTGTCGTGTAAACTTCAGACCTCTGCTTTTGCCGTTCCACCGGCACAAACTCCTCCCTCCGAAACAAAAGCACGCGACTAATAACCGCGCGGCCGCGTGTCTGCGTGTAGCCCGGCTGCAGGAGATGAGAAACCATTGGTACATGTTATTATGGCACAACACCACTCGGTCACAACTATTGGAAGTTTTTTTCTTCTTTTTTACAAATCATACCTGATCTGGAGCTTAAAGATGACGGACATTAACCACTTACCATGCCGATGACGCGTGTAACGCTTCATCATTTAACATACAGTACATGTTTTGGCTTTCAAACGTTGCAGATCATAGATATTGTTTCTTATAAACAGCACTAAACTTCAAAGAACGGAACAATCGTCACAAATGGGGGGGATTCAACAGATCTGGCTGTACTTTAACAATCAATGATGAACAACAAATAAAAAACCCTTCTGAGATCAGCCGATGAGTTTGGATATGTGGAGCCTGCAATGACTGTACAGGTGATATCTGAGTGAGGGACAAAGCCAAAAGTCATCCGTCGCCTGAAGAGAGACATCCGTTGAGGAGATGCTCTGACGCTCTACGCAAAGTGCACAGCCCCCTAGTTAAAGGTAGTGGATGTGTCGGGGGGGGGGCGCACCAGCCAACAACCAAAAGAAAGAGTGCTTGATGGGCGAGGATGTCCCTCCTCCTCCTCCTCCTCCTGTCCATCACCAGGAAGTCCCTGCCGTACTCCGTCTCAGCGAATCAGTCTCTCTTCTTGTCCTCCTCCTCGGGCACGTCCTCCGGCCGAGGCCCGCCGGGGAAGGCGTGGTGGTACAGGTGCCGGTGGTTGGCAGCTACGTTGTACAGCTTGTAGAGAGCCTGTGTGGGGAGAGATGAGAACATTACGGGCGGAGGATTCTGCCGTCAGACGGTCCTGTCCGACGGGAAGCTGAAGCTATTTCGTGTGAAATCAAATCACGGGACAACAGCTTCAGTTCCCTCTCAGAAAGGGACGTCTGTCAGCAATATGAGGCGTCTCAAATATAACAAAGGGCAAACATTGAAATATTTAGCATGATATTTATTTAAATACGTTACTGAGATTATCAAAATGAATGATCCATACGTTTGAGCCTGACAATGCTCTCCCAAAATAAGCTCCTGCTTGTTTCTAGTAAATATTCACTTTGATTGCTCCACTTACCTCATTTGTGCTTCCCTGCAGAGGCATGAAAAGATAAAACACACGTCACATAAAACACGACCCAATAGGAGGCATTATTTCTGTGAACGGGCCTTTCATTCGAATTATACCATCATGTAAACACGCTGAGGCAGTTACATGGATTTGAGTAACTGAGTGTCTGTCACTCATCTGAAGGGGATCGTTGCCCTCTGGTGGTTAGAAGGTTCTGTATCACCTAATTTATTAATGAAGATGAAGATGTGAACGGCATTAGGCCCTTCTGCTTTATATTTATAGATCGCTGAGTAAAGTAAGAGAAAGTAATCAAATTGAATGAATAGTAAAGGGACACTGTTGTGAGCCTCTCAATCGAAAAAGATTCACTCGTCTTTTAATCTTCTATAACTGTTCCTACTGTAACATTTTTGGAAATAGTGATAAATAAAAAGTCATTTCAAAATTCTTGACTTAATTTAACGGTTCTATTATTTAATTTATAAGTAGTACAATTTACAATTTATCAGCAGTATTTGATTCCACTTCACGAGTGAATCCATCAATGGGAAACAGGAAAATCACTGTTAGCCACAAATGTACATGCAGAACCGATAATTGTTTCCTTTTACGGCAACTTGAAACTTTTTGTGTAGTTTAATATACATCTCCCAGACTCAGGACCGGGCACTTGTTTGTTTTTAGCTCCCAATTCAAACCAGAGCTGATTTTGCCGCTTTTTTCTGTTGACGTCACGTTTGAGTAACTAAAGAACCTCTTCAGGTTCAAGAGGTTTTAAAATCAGTCCGTAAAATCAGACCGCTGTTTCAAATTATGCCCAAAGTGAGCCTGAACTCACGCACCGACGAAGTCAGGCAGCCAGACTCCTAAACACCGCCATCCAAGGACGACTCACCTGGTCCCACAGCGCACCGGCCACCTGGTCGATGACGGCGCCGAGTTCTCGGTACTCCCCGGAGTAGCGGATGTAGGCCCAGGTGCAGAGCGTGATCAGCGCCAGGCCCAGGATCATGTTGCACAAGCTGGCGATGATGTCCACGCCCACGAAGCCCGTGATGCCCGCCGCCACGTACATGATGAAGATGACCACGAACAGGGTGGCCGGCGTCCGCGCCGCGTGGAAAATGTTCTTGGGAGTCATTGTGCTTGATGTACTGGACGAACACCTCGTCGACTTCCCCCTCCAGCTGCTGCAGGTAGCGGCGGCTGAACTCCTCGCCCCCCATCTTCTTCACGCCGCGAAACACCTGCAGGGCCTCCTCTCTGATGGCGCCGTGCCGGGCCTGCAGCTCGCCGGGAGCCAGGAAAGGCCGGTCCCCCCCGCAGACCTGGGGGGGCAGAAAGGAGATGTTCAATGCGGATGGGTTGGAGCGTTTGAGGTGCACTCGGACCAGCTGCTCTCACCTACCTCTTCCATTTTCTTGTTGTACAGATCTTTCGCGGCTGCTACCGCGGCCAGATTATTCGCCTCCGCTGTGGCCTGAGAGGAAGCAGGCGAGGACATGGAGATCATTTATTTTAACATTTTTTATTGTTATTATTGCCACTGGGAAACATAGAAACACAGACGTAGGACTTGAACAAATATGATAATAGAGCCGTAATACTATATAGATGAACTAGCAGGTGGCGAGTCGTGCGGGTGCTTGGCTAAGCTAACGCAGTTCGACAGGTGCGTTGGAGGACTACTACTACTAAAAAGATGCTCTGCAGAGCCACTGTTTGATTTGTGCTGCTATAGAAACATGGCGGACTCAATGAAGAGGAACTGCTGTCCACACATCTTAGTTTCAGCTGGTTCTACTTTAATGTTTCATAAATACATAGTAATCCGTTTCTATGGAATGTCCTGCACACACACTGGCCCTTTAAGACGCTGGTGGCAACGTACCTGCAGCATGGACTTTGGATGTGGAAGCTCCTCACCTTGGTAAATTTTGATGTATGCCTGAAATGGATGACAAAAAGCATAAACAGTGGAGGAATTAAATAAAATAAATATGTTGGATCTACAAAAAGTTTAATTCTTACTGACATAAAAAAAATTAAAAAGTGAATATGAAAGTAAACTGGGATAATACAGTTTAGTTTGATCTAAGCCAGCAGTGAGAACGCAGAGTTTTAGCTGTAAAAGCAAAGACAATATTCAAAAGAAAGTGTGTTTGGTTGGTGTTTTTCACATGATGACCTTGAAGTACTCCACCAGGCCTCTGCAGGTGATTTTGCTGCCGTTGATCTCCTTCACGTCGATGCTAAGAGGACTGAGGAGCCACGGGACCAGAACCTTCAGGTTGTTTATGAACTCGCCGTCAATCTCTAGACGGTGGAAGAAGAGAAGAGTTCACGGTATGTGCCGAAGTTCAACATTGTTTGCTCTGTTGGAAGTGTGCGGTACTCCGGGAAATAAGTGGGAGCGATTTAACAGCAAACGCTGGACCAGAACCGCTGCGATTCTGAAACACTGAATGAAATGGTCACATGCTGTAAGACGAGAGCGAGTGTGTGCACCTAGAATCCTTCCATCAAAGAGTGGGTTGGTGGCCACTTTGAGGCCGGGGTGAGGCATCAGGAAGCAGGAGATGTTGGTGAAGCAGGAGTGGATGTGTTTACGCACGTTCTGCAGCTCTTCGTGCTGGTTCTCTGAGATCTGTACCGGAAGACACGGCCACACGGGTCAGCTCTCAGACGGGTGCTAGTTGGGTCCGTTCAGCCTCACGTGGATCGGTTGCGACTGACCTTGAGTCTCTTCTCAAGGAACTTCATGCCTCCTTCTTGTCCGTAGGGGAACTCGTACGGAAAGCTCCAGTCTCGGACGAGGAAAATCATGGACTAAGACAACAACAAAAAACTTTTGCCAGTAAAATATTGCGCTGTTAATTGTTTTTATAGAATTTTTAAATAATTCACAAGTGGAGCAGTTCCCCTCTTACATAACAGGCTTAAATCTAATGCAGCTTACGTTACCTGGAAAGGTTTGAGGAACGTCTCCTCCATGGCCAGCCTGCCGTACTCAGTGAAAAGCTGACAAAAGGCAGAGAAGACAAATGAGTGAGGATGTGAACTCTGATCATTCATATAAAAAACAGGAATACTTGGAGGTCTGGGATGCTAAAAAGAAATATGGGAGCACATTCATCCACAACTTGGGTCCGAGGGTTTTTCTTTCGCAGGTTTATGTTTCCGCAGTGAGGAAAAGGCACCTCAACTAAAAGTAACATGCATCATGATGGACTGCTTTAACATCTGGACTCTCTCCTCCAGCTCTCATTAGAGTCGACGCTGTCGACGTTGTTACCTGCAAGTGCTGAAGGTCATCCTCTTGTACATTCTGGGAGATGTTGTAAACCTGAAAAAAAGATCCTTGATTTATCATATAATTCGTTTCACATAGTACATCTATTCAATAAAAACCACAGCAACAAAACAGTCCCAGAACAGAACTTTGAGTCTGTACCTTTGGGCTAAACGCTAACAATAGCATGCTAACGTGCTCACACAGACAATGAAGCGCTGACGTTTAGCACCATGAATCATTTTCATCACTTCAGGGTTCTAACGTTTGCCACTAAACACAAACAAAGACTGATGGGAATAGCATTAGTTTTGCAGATATTTGGTTATAAACCAAAGTATTGGACACATTTAAATGTGAACCTGAAGATGGAATTAACAGGAAAATAAAGGAATCTACAGTTTAGATCTAACCCCTAAAAGAGGGAATGAATATGTGTATCAAGATGGGCTGAGCAATTCTATAAAACACTGAAATTGCAATTGTGATACTATAAGAGGAAATTCTCATTTTTACACCATTATTAAAATGTGTATTGCAAAACATTATATACATACATACTTTTACAAAGATGTTTTCTAAAGTCTAAATATGATGTGTGGGCCAGGACATCTGACAATAGTGAGTTCAAAAGGGTCATTTGAAAAAACCTTGGTCTTTACCAAATATCGTGCTGTAAGTTGAGTACAGCAGTGAGCCATAACGTTTTTAGAAAGTTCTCATTGAGTCTGCAGTATCGTTACCGAATTCCATAGAAATTCATCTAATAGCTATATTATATATATTCAATTCAAAGCTACAAATGTCAACTTCATGGTGTCGTTAAGATTCCCTGTCCGGCCCGGACTGAAGATACTTCAGACCTGCACTCCTCTATCCGCACACAAACACACACTCCTCACTGGAGCAGATCTGTGAAAGCACCTGCATGGAGCTTATCATGGTGCTGAGTGCAAACACAGTGGCGGAATCCCTCAGCGTCGACTGGCTGTCAAACGTTCCTTGTGTGTCCATTAACAAAACAGCCACCTGTGAAAGGAAACAGACCAGCAGTAAATTAGTGATTTAATGTAAAGACGACAACCAGCATCACCCTGTCTGTGCGCATGTCAGTCATATTCAATGATCTATCTACTATATATATAATATATATATATATATATATATATATATATATATATAATATCACTGGGCTTGATGTCAAAATGACTTTTAAATATGTGTAGGTGGAAGCGAGAAACCCTTTTCTGTAATAATAAAGACGGGTACACGTTCACGGGACTTCACCTTTGTTCCATCGGGCTTGTCCACCAGGAAGACCTCACTCCAGATCTGGATGCCGGTGGTCTCCCTCTCTGAGCCCCCCCTCCAGGAGAAGCCGGTCAGAGGCTCCTCTGCCTCTCCGAGCCAGCCTTCGGATGCCTGAGCACGGAGGGTTTCACAAATATTGTTTCCAATGGAGTTTGGGGTGGTTGCCAAGTACGGGGCCGACTGATTTTGTTAAGCTGACATGAGCTCTTTTTCTTAATTAATTAACTTTTTCTTTTGTTTGTCTTTAAATGACAAATTAAGTGTAAAGTATGTCAAGTCTGAGTTCATGTGCTTTTCCGAAAAACAATCATGAGCCAAAGGCCAGACTTTCCCAAAATAGCAAGAGGGAAGTGCTTCGAGAAAATAATGAATGTTACATTTTCCATGAAAATAGGATTTTAGCTAAATACCAGATATTGGCAGCCTTAGTGGAAAATGGCTGCTTTAGGATGCAAACATCCAACCACCGCTTTCTACCTTTTAAGTTGACCTTTCAACTGCAGACAACACAAATGAACGCGTGCCACTTCAGAGTCAGAATGCACAGACCCAGACACTTACGTGGTTGTACATGTAACGCAGCATGAAGTCCATGAGGAAGGACTTGCCCTTGCGGAAAGCTCCCGCCACAGAGATGGCCACCACCTCTCGGTCCCTGACCTCCTCCGCCAGCAGGATGCGGCTCAGTGCCGCCTCGTCCAGCTCGAAGGTGTGGTCGTCTTTGACCAGCAGCACCTGTATGGGTCGGGCGCGCCCATCCGGCTCCTCCTCCTCTGAGCTCCAGTCGTAGACATTTTTGTCACTGAGGGACCCTGGAGGACGGGGCAGAGGGGGGGAGATTCTGATAATGCAGTAGCGCTCTAGCAAAAAGGACCCTGTGAAATGGAAACATGAACATTACATAAACGTGTTTTCATCTTTGAGTATGTCGTGAGCGAGTCATCAGCCAGGACGTTTTTCACCGCGGTGAGAAGGAAGCTTAGTGCTCCATTAAGGCGAGGCAACAGGAAAGGCCATTATTCCTTCCTGTTAGCAGCGGATCAACAACAACGCCTGCAAGCTTGGTGGTCCTAATAATGAATCGTGCCATGCCATCCATCCCATGTGTTAACGTGGCAATGAGGATGTGTGCATGGAGAGCTGTTCCTGGCAGTGACTCAGTGTGTTTCCAATCCCTGCTGCCTCATGTAGCGCGTGCGAGCTGCACCACCATCCCGACGAACAGATCTGGGCTTCCAACTCCCACTTATGTAATCTATGCTGCATGAAGCTACAACAAACTTGTGTCAGACCATGTATGTTCAGCAAAGCATAAAAGGATTTTTGTTTTTAAATGAAGAAAATCCACCACACAAGTCATCCAATGCAATCTAACAGATGCTAAAAGATGAATGCAGGTTGCCAAGAATGCACGGTGAATTATTCAAGGAAGAATCAGCTAAGACCTGAGTCAGTTTGACTTTACGTCTCCTGCAGAGGCCTCACTCGGGCCCGGCACAAGCCGTCGCCTGGTTAACCCGATCTTGCATCTGCTGCTCTTAAAAGGAACTGAAGACGTCATAAGTAGTGTCTGCTTAAAGTGGGTCAAACCAGATGAACTCTCAAATGACATACACCCCCTCCCTTTCCTTTTACAACCCCTAAAACAGTCATGAAGTGCCTTTTCTCTGCCATAGAGGCATATCAGTAACAATTAGGAGGCTGGTTATCAACACAATCATATTAGTGGAGATGATAACGATGATAGCCGCAATGATTGCTATAAAGACGATGGTTATATGGTTGGCAAGCTATTAACTGATGCAATATTATAATACATAATTGTATGTCAGATGCCTCTAAGAGCATCACAAGAGGCTCAGTTTGACAAAAAGACAAAAATATTAGAAGGTTATTTCCAGGTCTTTATGGGGCCTGCAACGCCCTAACAGAATATTTTCTGTAACATTTTTTTTATTTAATGCTAAAAATAAATGTTCGCTGATGCTTCAGTGGCCGACATCGATGCAGTGGCAAATAGAAAAAAAATGTATATTTTTCACCACCAGTAACATTGGATACAATAAGGAACGAAATACACACTGTGGACAACACACACACACACACACACACACACACACACACACACACACACACACACACAATATTATCGATAGAGAAATACGATGAGGAACGAAATACACACACACACAATATTGTCGACAGAAAAATAACAAGCCCTTTCTCGATGGGACAAACATCTAATTGGCTGCATTGTTTACTCCCTCGCCCCGACACACAAAAAAATATGCATATGCGTCAAGGACGGCGTGAAATATCAAATAGTGTACGTACACTCACCCCAGCTGTCTCTTTCTTTACGGTGCTTCGCCATAACACTATCCTGATATCCCTCCGTATGTCCGTTAATGAGCGACCCTAGTCGGTAGTCATGAGTGTCGAAGGGTTGGGTGGATGCCCTAGCGCCACCCAAACGATGCTCGGATCGCAGGGAGGATGATGGAGCTTTTATTCCCAGCGTGATGCAACTGCGGTCATGTGGACCGCATTTCAAAATGAAATGCACCACTACTCAGGGCGTTACGGTAAATGGCCTTGTACAGCTCAAAAGGCACAAATTGTCTTGTCGCATGCATATACATTTTCATTAATATTACTGTACAGGTTGTAAGAAAATTAAAGATGAAGTCAGTAAGAATGACATGATATTTGTCAATTCTCAATCTTTGAACTCCCTTTTAACCAGATCCATAAAAGGTAACACTGTCACTTCTTCCTTATTTAAGTTGGCCTCCTCTAACCCTATGTACATTTTCACAAAATATTCACATTTTTTTTTTATTACATTTTTTTTTTTTATTACATTTTCACAAAATATGGTTTTACAGTATCTTACTGCCACTTTAACAGTTTAAAGATGTGTATATGAATTAGTGCCTTCTGAGCTGTACAAGGCCATTTGCCGTAACGCCTTGAGTAGTGGTGCATTTCATTTTGAAATGCGGTCCACATGACCGCAGTCGTGATGCGGGACTAAAGTCCACGGACTGGGGGCGCTGTTGTCTGCTACTCCCACTCAGTGTAGCGTAGCAGCTTAATAATGCGAGACAATGACCGTGGTTCAGCGGACATTGTAAGAGTGCGATTCCTGAAATATTTACTTTGAGCCTCTCTCATTGAGGGTGTTACGAAAATGAGCGTGCAGTTTCTATCGGTAGGGGGCGGTACATACACAGAAAATGGAACAAGTGCTGCCTTCACCGACCGTCATAAATATTTGGAGATACAAGACCCTAAAAAGTGGTTGAATAAAAAGTACAGCTTTACAACTAAAAGCTCCTTATTCAAATGCTTTACTATGATAACACCACAGAAGAAGTACCAACTATGCACTCAAGATAAAGTTAGATTTTACTCACTGTTACTGATACGTCACATGTGAGCAGCCTTCTGATATACAGATTCAGATTGGGCCTAATTCACATGAATTCGGGTGGTACTGTGGATGTGGATGTGGATGTACTTGTACTTGAGTCATCTATCAGTACCGGATCTAATCATAGTACTGAAGTAAATGTAGTTAGTTACTCTGCACCACAACAAAATTGTTGCAAACAAGTTGGTTCGAAAGCATTTAATACACTTGAAATGCTACCCTTGTTATACTGATGATCGCAATGTATTGAAATACCTTCCTTTACGATGTGCTCCCTGTTGTAATTATTTCACTGCCACATAACCTTTTTTTATTGTGTTGTTTTGTTTCACTGCTGAGTTTCAGATTTTCCGAGGGAGCTCCTGAAGGCGGCATCGGGATCCTGTAACTGCGAATCCACAGAGATTAGCAACAGACTGTTGCTTTTTTTCCGATGGATTTTGTTTGTGGGGGGAGTTACATTCACGAGTAACATTACTCACGTAGTTTGGCGTTAGCGGTCCACACGTGAGTGTTTAGGTTCCGCTTGAACTGTCAGCGGAGAGAAATGAAATGTCAACGGCGCAACTTCTCGCTCTCGAACCCAACTCGGCTACAACGTCCGCGCTGAAGGAGACGGAGTGAACGCCGACAGCCGACCCCAAGTTTACTACTGTTACGTCGACAACAAAGGGGGACGCTCTCCTTCTTTTCTTGGGGCCATTACTCGACGTCATTCGTAAAAGTATTTAAAATGCAAGATGTATTCATCGACGGCGTTCGGGTTGTAAAAGGTAAGTTAGGCACTGTTGAAGTTAGCTAGAACCAGCGGCGAAGCTAGGCGAACGTTCGCTAGTTAGCATTAGCTGTTAGCTCCATTGCCTTGGTGCGATGCCCCCCCCCCCACTAAGTCACCCCGTTAAATAGCAACGATAGACCGGGCCCTGGCTATTTTCTGGAGTGACCTCGCCGTACACGCTAACGCTTAACGTCAGTGCTATTCCAGCGGCCAGAACCAGCTCAGAGGAACTTTAACTCTGTTTGAAAGTAAGAGAGAAATGAAATGTCTCGAGCTGTTGGTGTTGGGTGACAGATCTCGCATCTGTTGTTTTGCTTGTGCCACACCTCACGTTAACTTGGAAGAAATGTTAATCCCGATTTAACGTTAATATCGAACGTTACACCCACATAACGTAACACAAAGTTATTTTTCTGATGTTTCTCCATCAGGACATGGAGCCCGAGGGAGGACCTTCTGAGTAAAAGCGATCGGCCTATAAATATATTCAGGACCGTCCCTTCATCCGACCTCCGCCACTAGATTGGATCTATTTACTTAAATGTAAAGGGTCTTTTGCTTCAAGCTACCATGGAGATCTTTCCCCGGCCAAGCGGTGAAATCCAGAGGAGGAACCCTCAGCACGACTTCGAGCTCATCCAGAGGGTGGGAAGTGGCACATATGGAGACGTGTACAAGGTATGGAGAAGAACTTACTGGTTCCCACAGCCCGCCGTTACTGCTGGAGATGTCTCTGTGTACCGTCACACGACTTCTTCAGCTAAAGCCAGAGTTTTGTTTAGTTTTTTTCAAGTCATACTAACATGTCACCAACACATTTATCAGCAACGTTCCTCTAGTTTCTCTCCAGATACAAATATACTCTTAATGGCAGGAATATCTGCAGTCTGTATTGCTTTAGTTAATAATAGATGATGATGCATTCATTGTGAAACGTAAGACAACTATTTGTTGATCAATCAATTAGTAGATAGAAAGCAAATGAATCTGCAGAAATACTCATTCGCTTGTTCTAGCATATCAAATGTGAGGATTCGATGCATTTCTCTGTGGATATGTATAATAAACATTGTAGGTTTTTGGACTGTTGGTCATATAAAACATGCGATTTGAAGACGCATGAGACGGTGTGATGAGCTGTATGGTTTTCCTTTTCCAAGCTGCAATACAGTTAACTGAAACAATTCCCTCAACCGGTTTTCGTGGTTGACTGGGTGAGACTAATGGTGAATGCCTGTACGTGCTTGTCCAATAATCACTTTTTATTTTGTCAATGGAGACTACGCTACCCTTCCATAGTCCAAAGCAACAGTATTAAAGGAGTAGTATTTAGTCCAAATGCATATTGGCCTACGATCTGTTATTGAGGAGATTTAATTATATTACACTATTACAAATTATTACATAATCTGTTGAGACGCTGTAACATACAGCATCAATAGGATGTTTAAGAGAAGGAACCCATTCCGGTTTTACTGCTTTCGCGGAATCGTTATTAGTTGACTCAGGTGAAACTCGGTGGGAATGCCATCGTTTTTTCATTTACGGTCTGCTACTGAAACGCGTTATGAATCATTCACGAGTCAAACTGCACCGTAGTAGTTCAGGCAGCCCGTCGTTCATACAAAGCTTCTGCGACCAGCCCCCACCCCCAGACGGGCCACCGGTGGAATGCTGCGCCTGATATTCTCCCGCAGCTCGCAGGCGGAGGGCTGCGGCGCGCTGAAATACGATCAGGCCCCTGTCTAAACACGCGCTTTGCTGGGTGTGCTTTGGGCGGCACTAACGGCAGAAACACCTCAAACTGAGAAACGTCCCCCCTCGGCCTGGTGGTCTCTGTTGATTTATTTTTAATGGACACAGAAACCCTCTTTGTTATTGCTGGTGTTAATGTGTCTGCAATACAATGTCAAACACTCAGCTGTTGGTGTGATTTTATGCGCTGGAATTTTGTCTGAAATCAGTACTTCTCATAGGTTTAGTCAACGTTATGTGCAAAAATCCTACTGGAATTGTTTCTACAAGGAAAGAAGTCGACGCAATGCCGCTAACAGTAACTACAAATGTAGGTCAGTGCATTGATAGATGCATTGTTTTGATGGCACAGAAGGTACCAATGAATCCTGCACACTGCCGGTCTCTCAATGTGTCTGTTAAGACATTGGATCTGCTCCATTACATAACCGAGCGGTCGGTGACAGACTTCCTCTTTCTGCGTTTACCTCATGGGTTTACCAACAAGTATTTGTTCGCTACCTAAACAGGCTTTAAAGCAGAAGAACACCGTGTGAAAAACGTTTTTTTTTTTTTTTAGAACACTTCTTGGTATTTTTGTTTCTGTGTATGTACTTGCGGTATCAGCTGCAGAACAAGTATAGTTTGTGTGTGTGTGTTTAGTGTTTGTCACCAGCACAGTTTTATGGTTTACGGTTGATTTAGCTGCTTGCCCCTTCGCTTGCACTCCCACAGATTAAGGAGCATCCCCTCTTGACCTGGTTCTGAGAGTCAGTGCAACCTACTTTAAGAAAACATTTTTAACAAATGGATGCATGGGTTTCTTAGTTTAATCAAAGGATGTCCAGAGTGATTAAGGTTGACCAAGTCTTTGGTCAGTTGCATCAGGCTTATTAATAGGGTTCTACTGTCCAGCAAGACGTCTGCTGTTGGTGCTTGTTTGATTGTACTCCCGGGTGTAATGATGTGGAATATGACGGCTGGAGGTGGGGGGTTGTGCACAGTAGAGTGTTTCCTCTCAGTGCACAAAGCATCATACAAATGTCATTATTGGTTTAATGTTGGCGTGGGCCAAAACGGTCTGATCTCCCAACAGAATACGGTCTCATGTTATGTAATATTCAAGGTTGACTCATTTCATTTTAGCTTAAGATATTGATTTTTGTGTGTTGTTTTGTTGTGAGAGCTTACCTGCAGGTTGCTTGTTTTGTACAACTAGGCCCTGCTGACTACATATTCCACTATTAATAAAATCATAAACTGTCCGAGATTTAGTCAAGACTGACTGCAAAAACAAAAATATATGAAATGCAGAATCAAGCTCTTAAAGTGTGCGTATTAAGTGCGTCTTGATATTGTGTCTTTCAGGCTCGAAACATACAAACTGGGGACCTTGCTGCTGTGAAGATCATCAAGTTGGAGCCAGGTAAGACTGATGATCACGTTCTCTCTGTTACCAAAGCTAAAGAATGACCACAAAGGAAAATATTGCAGTACACTGCTGATACAGATGACTGCAAATGGATGCACATGCAAACTAACTGATGCAACAACAATATATTATTTCCTAACAACGTGGAAGTGCCATTCTAACAGATTTTTGCTCAATATTGGCAAAATGTCTAGAACTCTCAATTCTTTAGCGGAAAGCCTTGAAGCAATGTGAAGAGCGTTGTGATGGGAGATGATCGGGGCGAGGGAGTCCTGACTGTTCCCGGCTCTGGTGTGTGTGGAGATGACCTAGTGGGGAGCTAGTGCGATCCAGATTAGTGGGATTACAATGAGGGCTTTGTACCACCAGCGACCAGACTGAGCTCAGATGATTACCAGTCAGGGAAGTCTGTTTTCTCTTTCAGGCACCATGGCCCCGCTCCTTTTGTGATTAGTCGTTGCAAGAGGATGTGGTTGTTGTTTTTTGTATGCCACGTACGTGTTGTGTTGTTCTCCAGGTGTTGTTTTAAAATGAAATAATTTTTTTGGGTATCTCATCGTATCAAAGTGTTTATTTCCAAATTACTGCCCTGAGAGGCTTCTGTCACGGACAACCTGATAACCCTGTAGAGGTTTTGGGCTTTTATGTAAGACATAGATTTCTTCTGCTGGAAAATAGGAGGATTAGTTTGTGTGTCTTTGTATGTAGCAGAAGATCGGGGGCTTTGCTGTATGTTGGGAGAAATAGTCAGGAGAGGGAAAGCGGGGCCTTCTTGACATTTTGACATGAGAATAGAAATAAATCTTTTTAGACTAAATATAAATACATCTTAAGAAAATCTGCACTTTTGGGCTGCAGTCTCAATGAATCAGCCCATTTTCATAAGCAGTTATTTTCTCTTTTTTTTAAAATGTCCACAAAAAATGCCCCCAAGTTGTAAGCCCAAAAATGAAATCCTTAAAAATCCTCAGAAAAACTGAGAAAGATACAAGCCTCTTGTTTGAAAAGTCACATGAGCAATTATTTAAAGGCACTCACTGATCTAGGTTCCTAGTTAATACAATTTAGGTGAATAGTACAGAAGTAACACAGGGATCAGGAGTGAAAACAGGACTTGGTCGTGTTACATTGGTTAAGAGCGGTGTTAAAGCTTAACACGCGACTTCATAGGTTAAGATGGTCTGTTCTATAAACCTGCAAGGTTTCCCCACCAGCATCTTCAAACACCATCTCACATCGGCCGTGTTCATATCTTCTTTTTCTTTTTTTCAAAATGAACCCAGCTCAGGACTTCCAGTTAAAACTAAATAAAACTGTGCTTTGGGTAAACAGCTTTGGGCGGCTCACAGAAACAAACCGGTTTGACCAGGAGGAGTGACGCTGCCTTTACATAAGGGGCCCATGGGGAGGCGGGAGTGGTGAGGCCCTCAGGGGCCAATGGGCACAGAGCAGATCAATCAAATGACTTAAAAAAAAATAAAAAAATGTAACACTTCTAGGTTACGATACTTCCTTTTTGTCTTTTTTGATGTTCATTTCCCCTGAGGTATTTGCACCAACATCATAGTTTCCATTAGAAACTCAGCTGTAGTGTTTTTTTTTGTGATTTAATTTTAAATTAAAAGATAAGCTATTTTTTTCTATGCCTGACAAATGATTTAAGAGTAAAATTGGCCTGACACCAGATAAGTGCCGCAGCGCGAAGCGAGGGTGTGTGTATTCAGAGGGAAGCGCTCGCTCTGAGAGGAAGTGGCTACAGTCTTAAGCCTCAACTCGCCCAGAAGAGACGATTGTCGTGTTCTGTTATTTTTTTTCTGACCAAGTCTTCTGTGCGTTCACTGGCTCAAAGAGCCACAAAAATTTGAGCAAGGGTTATTTCAGTTTTGCTCTGTTATCGAATGTTTGAAAATAACACAGTGTTGAAGAACACTGCCATTAAAAATAGGATCATTGTAACCGGATTGACTTCACAAAATTGTGAGATTGCTCTAGCATGTGGCAAGAGATTAAAAATGATTTCCATGTTCATCACTATAGTTGTGCGTTGGAGTACTTATCCATTCATTACTGCCATTATTATAATGCAGGAAGACACAAAGCGGTGAAACACAATTTTAATCTAGCAGATTAAAGTGAGGCCTTGATTGCCTTCCTAACGTCGCCTCCGATAACATCTTGACATCTTTTGTCAAGCAAGAATAATCAATCTCATTTCACGAAGTTACTCCTTTCACGTGAATGTTTATTATGTTTATGTTTATAATGAGTGACGTTGGTTTCTATGTTTTGTATGTACATGGCTGTGTTGAGCGACGCAACGCAAGCTAATTCCACCTCTTTGGTTGGGAGGTGATCCATGACTGATTAAAAAATAATGTCACGTGATCATTGTGGCGGGTTCCTGAGCAAATAGAAGATTTGACTAAGAAATGTAGTCATACTATTCAATTTTCTATATTAATAGAAGCATTTCAAGCTACCATGAAATAAAGTCTTTATACAGCTCATGTAGTAACACGTGACTTTGCCCTTCCTTCTGCTCAATGACACCAGTTGGTTCATGTCTCCTTCCCTTGATTTAAAGATTTGGTTATCTACATTCCTTTTCTTTTGTTTTTCCATGATTGAACAAGCTGACACCGCATGAGGAGTCTTCTTCATGTGACGTCTGTAACTTTACACTTTCAAGCAGTGCAGTCATACACCGGTTCTTGTTCTGTTATTTAGTTTAGACGACGCATCCGGACAATATCTCAAGCCTTCTAACGGAACTAAATACCCAAATTAGTAGGTGTAGGTAAGTTCAAACACAGTGGGTGGAAACTGGATAGTTGATCAGCTGGATAGTTATGCACGCGTTGGCATTTCAACCTCTTTAATTCACACACTCCATTGAGAGGGTCTGACCCCCCCCCCCCCCCCCCCCCCCTCCACACACACAGACAACAAAACAACACTGCTCTTCTTTACTGATAAAAACGTTGTTTTGTTGCTCCAGAAAATGCCTCGGGTCCAAGATGCTCCAGAGATGTTTTCCTCCTGAGTTGAAATGCCCCTGTATCACTTGAATCAGGCAGCGAGACGGCGAGCCCCCCGCACAGCGCCTGGAGCCGTGTGTCGTAGTAACGTGCCGGTCAACAACGTCCCCTTGTCTTCAGCCCACAGCTGGTGGGGGCTGCCCAAGCCTCTCGAGACAGCTGATTCCTCTAACAGAATTTAGCTGTCAAAATACCTTTTTATTGTCTTCAGACTTGATCACGCGCGTTGTGGGTATTTTCCACTACAAGTAATGTACAGCATTTTTTTGGGGGGCGTTGATAGTATCCATTAAATGAGTTTAATCTGACCTGCTTTGCTGACAGTCTGTTGATGCAGCGCTGAGGCTGCCGCATCCCAACCTCCTGTTAATTAATTCCAGGGAAAACTCTGAATGATTGGGAGCAGCTGGCCTTACACGTTCTATTCCTTTTACTTCCATCCAGTTGGTCCTTTGATGAACTCAAAAGCAGCCTGGATACTACAATACGTTTTAAAAATACACGGTGTTCCTTCTATCGGTTTTGAGCTGATTAATAATGTGCTGAACCCGAAGATAAAGGGTTGAACAATATAGTACGGAAATATGGGAAGATTTTGTTCAGGGTTTTTTGAGTTTGGCAAACGGGCGTGGAAAGTGTTTTTAATATTTATGGTGTCCACATCCTTTTGTATAATCTCCCAGACACTTCAAATTCAAGGGCTTTTCTCGGGTCCAAAACACACATTTCATTCTGTAAATGAATCGTGACCCAAACATGTCATTTTGTCTATTGAAAATAAAACGCAATGTTTTTGTCCATATGTGATTTCTCCCTCTGTCCAGGAGATGACTTTTCCATCATACAGCAGGAAATCTTCATGGTGAAGGAATGCATGCACCACAATATTGTGGCCTACTTTGGGAGCTACCTCTGGTAAGAGCCAGCTTAAAATACTCCTGCTTTGTCGTTTCACACTCTTATTTCCTCCTCTCCCGCAGCCCGTTCAAGGTATAACATTTGTGAAATTCACAACTGTCATAACACAACTGTCAAAATGCCTTTTAATGAGCCGCCGCCTGAAAGTCACCTGAGATATATTTAACTGCTTAGTCACACCGGAGTGTCAAAGTGTGACTCAAACCTTTCGACTGGTGCTGACTAAGCCCTTCGGTGCTGGGACGCAGCGCTCCGGTGCTGACTGAGCTTATGCTTTGTAGCTGCATTCTGAGAGGAAGTAAAGCCGACCCGCCCACCGCCGACTTCCAGCAGGTTTAACTGGAAAAATGAGCCTCTGATGTGTTTTTATATGGCTGCTGGTGCAAAGAGATGCACGTCTTATCACAGCGGGCATGTGTTGTACAGTCTCGCCACATAGAGCAGAAATGGTTTTCTGTAAAAAGTTAATGAGCGACCCACCGTGCATGGATTGTTATAAAATGAGATTAATTGCATTAGCAGAGCCACGGTTTTATTTGGGGGAAATTCAAGTTTCCGCTCAGACCGGTTTCCTGGCCTGCAATCAGGTCCCTGTCCAGTGTTCTTGTCTCCAGTGGCCAAGTGGCACAGATTGATCACAGTCACACTGCTGGTATTTTTAGCTTTTATCCACAGAGTGACATTATCTTTCTACTTAGTTCTCCACTTCGCTCTAATCCTTGCTTATTTTTCCCCTTTCGTCTGAACGTTGGTTAACATGTGTTTGCCTGAGTTGTTTCAGAAAGGTTTGCTTAACTTCAACCTTTTTGTAGTAGTTTGCTGCTTAATTGTGTTTAACCACTCGTTACAATATTTGGATAGTTAACGAGACACAGATTTATATAACGAACAAGCAGAGCAGCCATTCCTAAATGAATCCTTTTCTCTGTGGTCATCAGTCGAGAGAAACTTTGGATATGTATGGAGTACTGTGGTGGAGGATCTCTGCAGGACATTTATCACGGTAAGCGTTTTTCATATAAGACGCAGTCTTTAAATGTTTTTTAGAACTATGTGTACATTGTGAAATCCTCACCCTGCAAAAACGTAATGAAATTGTGTTGCAATAGTGACAGGACCTCTCTCCGAGCTTCAGATAGCCTACGTCAGCAGAGAGACCTTACAGGTAACTCTGCCTTCATGTATATCTTTAAAAAGAAAAAAATGTTTTTATATTTCAGTTGAACTGTATTACTGAAAACATTCATTCTGTTTACAGGGTTTGGGATATCTACACAGCAAGGGCAAGATGCACCGTGACATTAAGGTATCATACCTTTTCTTTTAGTCTTTAAATTAATTAATTCTCGTAAAAGATCCCGATCAAGCCCATTCTTATGTGCCACATACACACAATTTGCCCCTCGACAACACAGAAGGAACAGTGTTTTCCCTTGACAGGGGGGGGGTCTGTCCGCTGGTGCGAGTGCCACGTGCGCGCATACACAGACATATTTGCCTTGGTGTCGGTGCAGAATGGTTGTGCATGGGGGAAATTTTGGGGGCCCCACCTGATATAATAGTAAGGAGGAAAAAGGCCAGAAACCCCCCGAAATGTCTCGTAACACGAGAGAACAGGAAGAGAAAAAAACAAAATGAGAGGTGTGAGACTGACAAAAAGAAACGGCGTCTGAAATCAATCACATTAAAAGCACCGGTTGGCCCTCGAGCAGTCCAAAGGCCCTCCCTCGTCCCGATGCAGCCGCGCTGCAGAGGAAGAGGTGTGAGGTCGGTCACGCCGGGTGTGTGCACACACTGAATGGAGCGTCGGTTTTGCGTGTTATCACAGAAGGTCAGGGTTGGACCTATTATCTTTACTTCGCTCTACGCAGTGAGCACTTCCTGTTTCCCCTGCTCTCCCTGCAGGATGCAACCAGAGAGCCAGTCAGTCACCGGCAACAGAATGACTGTCAAAGAGCTGTGATACGGGTGCACCAGTAGTCAGTGTTTCAACTGGACCAGATGTTACTGAGACTGTGTAGCTCATGATTGACACTTGTGTTCTGAACCAGTTTGGCAACTCTGCAGCTCATGTTGACATTGTTTTTGAACAGGGTGCGAACATACTTCTGTCAGACAACGGCGATGTGAAGTTAGGTAAGTTGCTCTTTAGCCTCTTAGTTCTAAAGGACTTGATGCCTTGGAAGCTTTCACATAATGTGGATTGCGTAATCTGGAGAAAGAACATGTCAATCCTTGTTACAGCTGACTTTGGAGTTGCAGCCAAAATAACAGCCACCATTGCCAAAAGGAAGTCCTTCATTGGAACACCTTATTGGTGAGTGTGTCACCATCATTCAATAAGAACTGTGGGAGGTTTTATTTGTATGTATTGATTAGACCCTTTCAATCGCAGAACATCTTCTGGTCAACTGTTTTTGTCAAATCTATCATAGTCTAATTTGTGGTGAGAACATGTGCTGATGGTTCGATAGATGCTTCCCCCAACGGACATGAGAACGAATTCTCACAGCAGCCAAAGTGTTTTTGAGTAAGACGTAAAAGTGCCAACAGCTGCATGGCCGTTGTTCCGTCACTGACCCTGACCTTTGAACACGCTGTCAAATGAAGAAAGTAAACAATAGTTTTCCGTCGCAAAATCCGGGCTTCTCATGATTTGCACCAGCGTTGTGTTTTCACTTCAGAGAGGCATTCCAAACCAACCTTTCGTCCTTATGCTTATGTAGGATGGCTCCAGAAGTAGCAGCAGTGGAGAAGAACGGTGGCTACAACCAGCTGTGTGACATTTGGGCTGTAGGCATAACGTCCATAGAGCTGGCCGAGCTGCAGCCGCCAATGTTTGACCTGCACCCGATGAGGCATGTCTTCCCTCATGAAGAGAAAAAAAGATCATGATTCTTTAGCTACTTTTCTCCTTTTAGGTCTCCTGTGACAATCCAGGACTCTTTTCTTTACTTAAATGGTCCTACTCTTTTAATTGAGCATACATCATTTGAATAGGGCAAGGTTTCATAAGTATGTTTCTGTCTTTAAGCCTCTCAAAGCCTCTCCTAATTCCAAGTTTTTGCTTTTTCCTTAGAGCCCTGTTTTTGATGTCCAAGAGCAGCTTTCAGCCCTCCAAAGCTAAAAGACAAAAACAAAATGGTGAGTAGCTTTAGAATATTCAGTGTGCTTTATGGTACCTTAAACTTTAGGAGGATAATATTACATTACAATAAACTCCTCTTGTTCCCCAGGTCCACCGCCTTCCATAACTTTGTCAAAGTGTCTCTGACAAAGAACCCAAAGAAGAGGCCCACTGCAGAAAAACTTCTATCGGTAATGTTTCTTATTGGCCGCGTAGTCCTGCTGTATATTAAATATTATATAGAAGAATGTTGGCAATAAGGAATGTGGTGCAGTTTTTCACAGTGAAGATGTAATATGTTGGTCCAGTCAGTCTTTTGTCCATTCCAGTTTAAAGTTGCCATTATGAATCCTGAAAGCGAAACAAAGAAGTAGAGCGTGTTGGTTGTCCCAGTGAGCTCCTGTTTGCTTTGGCTGAATTTCTAGCTTTGTGGGTCAGAGTCCGATCACGGCCTGCGGGGTTTAAACTATTAGCTATTACATTCTGAAATAACGTCAACAAGCCTCGGTCCAGAGGAAGAAGGCCGGTGCTCCGGCCTGCGTGCAAATTCAAACACATACTATCTTTGAAGAAGCCCACGGGGCTGCTGCTTCCTAAAATACATTGTCATTAACTAGCTGTTTGTCTTTGAGGAGAAGTGTCTCGTCCTAACGGGGCCTGAAGCTGATTATTCATTTATTTAGTTAACTTTTAGTACCATTTCTGCAGGGCCTCTGATGTTCCTGTTAGCATGGACCTTGTGCGTGGGATTAAGGACCACAAGTATAAACTATTTTTCTCGAATGATGCACAAGTTTATAATTCCTTTTCTTTTAAACATTCTTTCCCGCAGCACGTGTATGTAGCCCAGATAGGTTTGACAAGGAGGCTCGCTGTTGATCTCCTCGATAAAATGAACAACCCAGACAACCACGAGCATTACAGCGAGGTGGACGATGACGACCTTGAGGTAATGACCTATTTTGTCCCATCTAAAAACTGGATATGCTAAATCTGCACAGCCTATAAATAAGTGATTTAAACACATAGACGACTTACAAAATATGTACTCAAAAAATACGCCCCAACCGTTTGACGTTTGGGACTGTCTGGCTGTGCTAATAAGAAGAATAAAAAGGAAAAACTGTGAAAAAAACAACTCCATGTCCAATTTCACTAGATCATGTTGTAACAGACTTTCATGCAAACACTCCGTCTCCATCAGCGGGGAAAGTAAATATTAGCACATGTTTTTTCAGCGACACGGTAAAAAGGTGATCTTGGCTCAAGTCTGTTTTCGTGTCTCCCTGAGGCTCCCTTCCCCCTCTTCTTGATTCTCTCCACTGACATTATTCCACTTGGAATCAACACCACATCTACGTGGCAGCCAAAGCAATGGTACGACTGCCTTTTGAAAGGCCATTGTGCCTTTCTCCCCCTGACAGCAGTAGCACTGTCTCGGCCACCCTGAATGAAAAAAACACCCTCAGGGCTATTGACTGCCAGAATTGGAGCTGGTTGCAGACAACCAGTCTCTGGGATGCATAATAATGTGGCGACGCATGGACGCAGCACAAAAAGATCTAGAGAGCTCTAGCTCTCAGTTCTCATTAAGCTCCACCTGCTAGTTTCACGTATTAGTTCCTGCTAATTTTTTGACCGTGTTTTTGCCCGACTCGCTTGTCAAGTGCTGCTCCCGCCTCTGAAACTGAGTTTCTTATCTTTTTAAACGTGTGTTTCTCTCACTCTCTGCCTCAGCCTCTCTCTGCAGTCAGACACACCATCCGCTCCACTAATAAACAAGCCCGAGCTGAGAGGACGCGCTCGGAGATCAACTGTAAGTAAACACAAAGCCCCAAACGCATCACTGAGATGGAGGCTGAGCGGCTTCCGTGCATCTGACCTGTCATTGGTCAGCCTGCCTATGTAGGTTGATGGAGGCCCCGCCGCCTGTCAGAGGCGGTCATCCCTCTAATCCTGCAGGACTAGCTGGCTCTTTGCCAGACCACCGCATGGAAGCGTGTGTGATAATAGGCCAGGGATTCACGGCAGAGAAAGTGGGTGTGGCAGAGACCATCAAGTTCACCATGACCATCGCTCATTCCTAGGAATAATGCGAAATGGCTTGTCTGAAGGGGTCATGACGGTTTCTTTTGGAATTTGGTTCTGAATCAACATGCGTTGATGCTGGATTTGGCCTCCAGCTGCATAGATTCTGCAAACGCAACAATTTGCGACCCTTCAGGGAAGTTGTTGTGTGTCTGTGTTGTCGTCAGTGGTTGTTTGTAGATGGAGTCAACCGCTGTGTCTCATCTTGTCCATTCTTCATTTTGGGTGGATGTAGTAACAGTTGAGTGGTAAGAGAAGTGTCCTTGTCTGCAGCCACGCGTGCCGTGCTTCACTGTGCTCTGCGCTTGTTCGTACTGTGATTCTACCAGATGCACTTTCTGTTTAGTTGTGTCTATATTTCTCACAATTGCGTCTGACTTTCCCTCCTACATGAAGCAAACAATGGGAAAGACCAAGGAGGTCCAGGCTCAAGTCCTAGCTTCACTGTGGAACACAGGGGGGATGCAGGTCAGTGACAGTGTAGCGAGTCGGTGTGTGTTTGCCCGATTCCCTTAGCTCCCTCCCAAGAACCCCTGAGAATTAGGCTAATGCTAATAACAGAACCTTGTGTTCGAGATTAAAGTGGCACTAATAAGGTGAGTTGATCTGCACGTGGTAGCTACTTTGTGTTTCTTCTGTTTCAATAAAGTTTGGACATTGTGATATCTTCCTGGTTCCTGTCAGACCAACCACAATGAAATGACAGTGTGGATGACTAATCGGATTCTAACAAGGAAGTTGAGCTTGTCTCACCTCTCACAGCATACCTCGTGCGAAGAAACACTAACGGAAATAAATATCGGTGGTCCTACGTCTCGATTTCTTTGTTAACGAGAAGCCAATCGTGTCAGAGTACAGTTTGAGTAGTGTGTCCATACTTTCGACTGGAACTGTATTTATTGGCATGTTGGTCAATTTCGTTTGCCTTCATACTTGATATGACAGCGATATTTGACATATTTGACAGCGATCTGCTCCATGATATCACCAATATGTCCCTAAAGGGAATAAATCTGGTCAAATGTAATATGTGTTGGTCTCTGGCAAGTTTTTAGGCTCCAGAGCAAATATTCCCATTGAATCGTAATATATTGGTGAACGACTTCAGTGGTGTTTCGGCAGGTACAATCTAACGGAAGCAGCTCATCTGCGGTTGGTTTCTGCCCTGAGTAATTTCTAAGGCTCTCGCTAGTTTTACACATCTGTACTACTCGCAGGGCTTTGTGTGTTTTGAAGTCTTGGGCACCGATGCCCCCTAGTGCCAAAGGTGTGTGTAAGACAACAACCGCCCCCCCCCCCCCCCCCCCCCCCTCCCCACTAAGCTGAACACATTTTTTGTCATTTACAGTTGATAAGCTCCAGTTTGAACCACCGCTCCGGAAGGAAACTGAGGCTCATTCTGAAATGGTGATAATCATGTTTGGTTTAGTCTATTAGTATTCAAGTGCCACTTTATGTTTGTAAAAGAAAAACATTTTAAGTGCATATAGAAAAACAATATCTACAAACGAAGAAATGCGTTTTTTATAAATCCTTTTTGTTTGCATATGTGTCCTTCCACAGGATGTGAGTAAAGATAATGACTTCCCTTCCCCCTGGAGTCCCTTTGCAGAGGGAGGAATAACAACCAGGTAATCCATGGAAACTGTTGTCACGGGAACTGCTCCTGTTTACCTCCTCTTCTCTCTTTCACACTATTATTTCTTATTTCTTAGATGGATGCATCCCTACATTAATTCAGAGAAAGAAAGCTTGTTATTGTTGTGCCTTTTTGGATCACATCCTTTCAACTGTACATCTTAATGCTGGTTGCCGTGTCGGGGAGCATTGTACAGTTGAAAGACTTCTGATGAAAATGCATATAAATCATGCTATTTAATTTGAGTTCTAATTCACTCGTGCATGGACCTACTTATTTAACAGAGCCAATGATTGTCTGTGCATGAGCTCACTCTCCTCGTTTGTAATGTTGCTTTGGCCTGTAATCTCCGTCTCACGTGTTGAATGTGCTTTGACTGTTTCTCCTTCCACTTTATCTTTGTCCTCCTGTGGCTGTCGGGCTCTCTCTCTCTCTCTCTCTCTCTTTTCCCCACCAGAGAGCTTCTCAAAAGCGGTGGAGGACGGAATTGTTCCAACGGTAACACTAACTGTGTGTGCTGTAGTACCCCCACCTGCGTCATCCCACTCCACCTCTCGCTGGGTCCCTGTCCTTTTTTTTGTAGTGCCCCCCCCCCCCCACCATCACCATTCAACATGCGTGGTGTGATGATAGCTTGAGATATAGTTTGAGAAAACCAGGCATGTAGAACAGTCATACACTCCACTTTAACTATCCAAAGAACTCTGGAGACTGCATTACGTAAATCACCATCATAAACCTAATGAAGTGATGACAGACGTCTTTTTTGTTGGAAAATAGAAACTCCCTCGGGTTTGAACAAATACGCCCCACTTAATTTCCTTAAAGTCATCACTCTCTACCTCTGAGGAAGGATTTTAGGAAAATCTTTTCACCATTGACACCATTCCTGAGTGTTGTTTTCTACAATGATCGCTGTCTTTGTTTCCTGCAGTGGACACATCGCACATCTTGAAGATGCTTTTGAAGATGTGGAGCTGTGAGTGTTTTGACTGTGTAAAGATTTACACTAAAACATGGCTAACACTTCCTATGACGCCCAATTTAGATAATGCATTATAGACACTATGTTTACAGTTCTGTATAATACAAATTATAAGCAGTCATGAATATTCAAAATGCCTTTTATCCCACAGCTTGGCATAAGGCATAATATATCACTTTTGGAAGTAATGTATTGTAATTCCCATAGTTTTCCTACATTATAACCCCATATGCGGTATAATCGTCCCAGACATGAGTAGGTTTGTAATGCATTATAGAAATGGGTGTCATGGAAGGTCCGACCACAACATTCGCTGCTACAGTTTACATCATTCTAAAAATAATCACCTCCATTATAGGTCCACTCTGAAGCCCGGGGTTCCTCCTCCTCTGCCTCCGAAGGTGAGCCCTACATATTTGTGCAATTAGAAGCGTGTTGAGCCTGTAGAGCTCTGGATTCACCGAAACCTTCACTTCTCAGCCACGATTAAACAGCTCGCCAGAGGAGCTTGGCCTCAACAACGAAGGGTCTACGACGGTTCGGAGGTTCCCAAACTCTGAGAACGGGCCGAGCCAGGTGGTCCGCATGCAGAGCACCCCGGAGCACCTGGGCAACAAGGTGGAGAACTCTCCTCCGGATTTCCTCTCCGTCAGCGTCAGCAGCCCCAGCCTTTTGTCTCACGCATCTGATCCTGGTGAGTCTCAGTGTCTTAATTCAAACACTCACGCGTCATAACCGCTCAAACATCTTCCATTGGTGTCTTAAATCAAGCAGGTGTCTAAATAAAATAACGTATTTGATCTCTTACAAGCTCTCAGTAAATCTGAATGTAAAGGTAAGGGCTCCTCATGTCAATGCGTGTTCGACCGTTTCAATGATTATGGCTGTAAAAGAAATGTAAATTTATTGTAGCTGCTCTCTCGTGACAGATAACGATTCGGATGACAGTGTGAATGGAGGCAGTCCACAGATGCCCCCCAACCAACAGCACCGGAAGGAGAAAAAGGAGTTCCCTGTGAGTCCAGAGGATTTTGTCCTCCACTCATGTCGAACATGGATTCATTGTTGACAAAACGCCCAGAAAAGAACACGCTCCATGTTTGTTCGGCTCATTGTTGAGGCTGAAGATGAATCGGGAATGATTGTTGCCGTGTTCTCTGTGTGTTCTGCGTCTGCATTGTTGAGTTCTTTATATTGTTTCCTCTGCTCCTCGTTAGAAACCAGCCATCAACGGTCTTCCACCCACTCCTAAAGTATTGGTGAGTGAATCCTCTGCGTTGTCCTGGTTTCTCAGGCATTGTCATTAAACTCTTGTCTGAGCTGCTGCCGCGTGTTGTCTAGATATTTAGTTTCTGCAGAGCTTTGTGTTTGCTTGAGCTCAGCTTCAGCTCACTAAACTGACATGTCAACGCTTCACTGAACCGGAGGCTGCCTGTTCTGAGCCATGGTGCTTCTTTTCCATTTCAGATGGGAGCCTGTTTCTCTAAAGTGTTTGACGGCTGTCCACTGAAAATCAACTGTGCCACATCCTGGATTCATCCAGACACCAAAGGTACAACTCCTTTCGTAACCGCCGTGTGACACAAACCGGTTTTATTTAGGCCAAACCGTAATGTTTTGTAAATGCTTCTTTCCAGACCAGTACCTAATCTTTGGTACGGAGGATGGCATCTATACGCTGAACCTCAATGAGCTGCATGAAGCCACAATGGAGCAGGTAATAGGAGCTCAAATCAGTCCAAAAACAGTGATCATAAACCCACATACGTTTAAGGAATGACTTACTTTGTTTGGGAGCAATATATTGTTTGCTTATGTTATTGATTTTATTGTTTCAAGACTTGTGTAGTCCCACAAAATAATGTAGTTAGTAAATGATGCACTCTTTGACCTGTTTTAAGAACTTAGTAGTAGTAAACCAGATAGACGGACAGGATCATGGTTCACGTTGAAGCAGATAACCTCACTTTTTATCCAGTATTTATACTTTGAAGCTTGTGATTTGGATTTTCAAAGAGTCGTGAAAAAAAGACTCCCCCCTCCAAACTCCTTGGATCTGCGTCTCGACCGTGAGCGCGTGCAGAGGCTGAGCTGTGATTGGATAATTGCTGTTCAGAGGAGGGGAGCGATCAGCCAATAGATGTCCCTTCTCCCTCTCTTGCTCTTGTCGTCGAGATGCGGTGTCCCTCTATTTGGTGATTGTACCACTTTTGTTCAATTCCTCATTCAGCTGTTCCCGAGGAAGTGCACCTGGCTGTACATTATCAACAACAACCTGATGTCTCTGTCTGGTGAGTGACGGACTCGTCGCCGCCTGCTGCTTTACTGACCACTGTCATAACCTGCTGCCTCTTTGCTCTGTGTTGCCCCGCTGCATTGGAGCTTCTATGGACTTTGTCCTTGTGGCTCATGAGTGGCACATCTGGCTTTGCAGCCTGTTGCACTCAGATATGTTGGTGTCTGTAGTTTACGACGTATAATGTCAACACTGGCAAGAGCGGTTTGTTTCATATATTAAAACGGAAGTGAAAAGTCCAATCATCTATCCACTGTATTCATCTTTACAGTTGAGGATGAGATTAGAAAGTTTTGGTGTTACATCCAGCTGTTTGCCCCTTGGTCGACCTAACTTCTGTTCTGTTCTCCTCCTCCTTTGGCCACTGTCCATCCTCCTCTCTCGCCTGGCTTGATTTGATATTCTACTAACTGGCTTCATCAGAAGGTAATCATGCTTCACATCCTCGTCGTCACACTTTTTTATTTTTATTATTTTACTCCTGCTCCCATCTAACCTTTCTACAAGTGAAAGTTGCTTTGTGCTTCTACAATGTTGGAAAGGAATATCAGAAAGTGCTCTTTGAAATGACGAGCCGAGAAATTTAGTTTAGCAGAGTTCTCTCTTAAAATGAATTTATTTGAACTCCTGTCTCTGATCACTGCGACGCTACTGACGGCCTTTACTCATGCAGCTTTACACTGAATGTACTTTTCTCTGCTGCAGGGAGAACCTTCCAGCTGTATTCGCACAATCTCATCGGGCTGTTTGAGCAGCTGAAGAAGCCCGGCCTGGCCGCGCAGTTCCAGACACATCGCTTCCCAGACAAAATCTTACCCAGGTTAGAACATTTCTGAACGTTTCTGGTTCCCAACATAGCATTTTCTCCCCACACAATCCTGACGCTTCTGTGATAAGGTCACAACTCTGCTATTTTTGCACGCTCGTGCTGAGCAATCTATTTGACCATCGTCCCCTCATTCTAGACGTCATTGGCTCTTTTAGGTCCAAACGACTTGAATGTTTTTTTTTTCTCCTCAGGAGGTTTGCCTTGACGACTAAGATCCCCGACACAAAGGGCTGTCACAAGTGCTGCATCGGTGAGTGGCCTTTGCCTTCCAGCCCTGTTTTATTTCCTCACCTTTCCATCATATTACAGTGTGTCAATACACGGCTGACATCTCGGCTCGTAGCTCTCCTGCAATGTTTGTGCAGTCCTCGTGACTTTTCATATTGTGAAATATCAATAACTTTTTGTAGACTATATCTTTTAATCAACATGTTCTGATTTTAAACTGTTAATCTGTATACACACAATCAAGCCACACTTTGTGACAGTAGTCTCTACTTCTCAGTGAGAAATCCGTATACAGGCCACAAGTACCTGTGTGGAGCGCTGCAGTCGGGGATTGTCTTGTTGCAGTGGTATGAGCCCATGCAGAGGTTTATGCTTATCAAGGTACGCCTTAAACTTAAATGACCCTCCACACATGTCTGTAGTTCCATTTTAAAATCTAAGTAGAAATGTCCGTTGCTTCTGTACTCCGAAATGCCAATTATTCATGTACCCGTGGATTGTTTTATAGGCGACAACGCTGAAATGCTGCAACTTGCTCTACCCTGCAGAATAAAGCAACACAACACACACCAGAACTCCACTGACGCAAATCCCTCTCTGTCCTCTTTCTGCTGCAGCACTTCGACTTCCCCCTTCCCAGTCCACTGAAAGTGTTTGAGATGCTGGTGGTCCCGGAGCAGGAGTATCCTCTGGTGTGTGTGGCCATCAGCCAAGCCAGCGAGCCGGGCCAGGTGGTCCGCTTCGAGACCATCAACCTTAACTCCTGCTCCTCCTGGTTCACAGAGATTGGAACAAGTAGGTCTAGAATTTCTAAAGCATGTTTCTGCTCCTAAACAACACGCAGAAGCCAAAATAAGGCTGCATTTCTTTACATAAAAAAACAACTTGTATAGTAATAAAGAGGTAGTATCAAAAAACTAATGTATATCACATATGTATAAATGATTTGAATCACCAGTAATACATATTTTTTGTGGTATGTGGATGATCTGTTATTCAAGCTGTACCTTTCCACCTCGCAGCTCTTCAGCAGGTGGATGCAATCCATGTCACCCAGCTGGAGAGAGACACAGTGTTGGTGTGTTTAGACCGTAAGTACAATCTCTCTACATCAACTTGCACCACAATCTAGACAAGTGACTTATTTACGGTCTGGATGTATCTATGTTCTACCACATCATTTTTTACAGCCTGTTATTGTTTCTCTCCCCAGAAAACTTGAAGATTGTAAATCTCCAGGGCAGACTGAAGTCCAACAAGAAGCTGGCATCTGAGCTCAGCTTTGATTTCTGCATCGGATCAGTTGGTGAGATTTTCCACACACAACTCGAATATTAAATATTCCACTCCGCGTAGAGAAATGGAGCGACTAATGACCGTGTGTAATACCTTACAGCAAAACTTGTGGGAATTATACTCCCAGCATTGCAGGTCTACAGAAAAGGCTGATTTTATATCCAGCAAGGTTACATGTTACATTTACAATGAGCTTTTTGTAAACTCAATGAATTGCATTGTTCCTCTTAATGAACCTGGCAGTGTTTCAGTGGCTTCCTTGACGTCTTGTGCACCGCCACATGGCGTCTCATCTTTTGTTTGTGACAGTGTGCCTTCAGGACAGCGTCCTGGCCTTCTGGAAACACGGCATGCAAGGAAAGAGCTTCAAGTCAAACGAGGTAAAGAAACATCTGACCATATAAAGGCACCTAATTATAACCTCTGGTGAATTTAGGAGATGCCCACGGACGCAAATGAACGCGGTACAAAAATAAACACCTCAATGCGTATTTTGTATGTTGTCCCTAAATACAATGGTGTTTGTTCTACACATGAGAACACCTCTGGCTCTTAACACAAAGACCCTGAGTGTCTCCGCGTGCCGACATGCTGGAGCTGATCCCGGGAGATTAGACCTCAGGTGGAGCCAGACAAAGTGCCTTTGTATCGGGCCGAGGTAATGAATTTGTCCTCCTTTCACGGAGGGATTCCATGTTAACCGGATCACAAGCGGCGCCCGCCAGCGGATTGGAAGTTCAAGAGATCACGGGGAGGTGAAGCATTCTGTTTTCATGAAAAGTGATACGGGGATGCGGGCCACCGGCTTAAAAGCTCGCCGCGCTCCGAACGTACAGAAGGTCTCGCCCGACAAGTCCGCACTCCAACCGCCAGTTTTTTTTTTTTAAATGTCAGCTGCCATGCAAAATTCATGCTCAATCATAAACGACAGGGAGCAGCACTAAATAATGCATCCTCTGGCTCGTTAGGATTCCTCTGGGGGGGGGCAGGCCTGTTGATCCGTGCCCGCTTCGGTGGGTGCTTCTCCGAACACCCGAGACAGTGTTCTCGTTTAGACTCCAACAGATCGGATCCCTCCTGAGGCCAAGGACTTACACCTAGCAGGTGTCACCCGCCCACTATCGCGCATCTGTCGACGCGCACCAGTGCGTTCTGAAGGGATGCGTGTTCTCTGTGACGCAAAGTGTCGGGCTGCACCTGGCGACCGGGGCATGTGAGCCCCCGGGATTGAACGCGGAGACGGTTTCCTTTAGTCTGTGCAGAGACATGCAGACATTTTGCTGTTGACACAATGAGTGATCCCAACGCACAACGTCCCCTTTCAACCGGAACGCAAAACGCAGGCCGGCAACTCTTTCAACATACAGACGGGCACTTGACAACAAGTAATAATAGTAATATTTTGTGATGCTAATAAAGGTTCTTGTCAGTAATGTTTGTTTGTTAGCTGAAGGCTGTTTATAATTAGGGCTAATTCTTAAGTTAAAATCAACTAAAATGACTTGTGCATTATTTTGATAAACTGTACACATAGAAGAACACACTTGGTTGCAATTGTCTCTAAGCCGGACAGACACTGAATAGATTAAGCAGAATTGTTGAGAGAAACTTGAAAGGTTCTGCAAAGAAGAATGGCCCAGAAACGGGTGTCCAGGGCCAGTAGCATCATACTCAAGTATTGAGCTATGGCTGTGAATACTTGATAACTACATACTACATGATATATTTTAGTTCTTTATTTTTAATAGATTTGGGAAAAAAAGCTTTTTTTCACTTGGTGTATGTAGAATTTTGAGTAATCAATTTTTGAATAAGACACAACAAAATGTGGAAAAGTGAAGCGTTGTGAATACTTTCCAGACGCACTGTATCTTCCTAGCTTTCTGCGTCTTCTTGCTTTCATAGTACACTTGTACAGAGAAAACAAATTATCATAGATTTTTTTCAATTGTCTGAGTGTGTCCACAAAGACATGTTGGATATTTAGTAGTATCTTTGTGGGGCAAACGGGCTTCAGTGTCATTCAGTCCTAAATGCCTCCTCAGCACCACCACTACATCAGATACACTGAAAGCCAGTTGTCAGCTTGTGTTTTTTCATTTCCCAGGTGACCCAGGAGATTTGTGATCCGAGCAGAGTCTTCCGCCTCCTGGGATCCGACAGGTTGGTGCAGAGATTTTTCCATGTTGAGCGACGTCAGCGCATCGAACGCATCGAGAGGATGTGCAACACAAAGGGCTCCTACGACACGACACAACGCATCTCGTCACAAACAAACCGCATAACAGATCTCACTCCCCCTCCTCTCACACACGTTTAGTTTTTCCGTCTTTACGTCCCGGCCGCTGTTAGTATATTTTAATTGACCCCGTGAGCTCCCTGCATCAGTCGCTTGGTACCACGGCGCTCCTCCCTCAGGTCTTGTTACCTGGAAATCACCAAACCAGCCGCTCACCTGCTGCGTTGTGAGTCCACAGCGTGCATCTCTCCCTGCGCCGGTCTCTGCCTGCCTCCCCTCGCTTAAACCCCTTTGCATCTGTTCTTGTAATTAGTTTTGACTTTCTGAGGACTCTTAGCCCAAGTGTTCCGGAATTCCCCCCCTGACGTCATCCTCGAAGAACATCTCGAGATATAAAATATATATATATATAATCGTATGAATCTTGAAAAATCAAACCGTGTTTGGAATTTTTGCTTGTCAAATTACTTTAGCCGTTTTCAATTCCTTTTATCACTGATTAATCTATTCAGAGATTAATGCAACAGTCCTTTTGTCTACGGTTGGAGGATGATAACTTCGATATATTGATATATCCAGATAGATGACATCAAATTTGTGTCGTCTGACGAATATTCCAAAACTTGAAGCATGAGCAAAACGGCAAATCTGCACCTTCTGGTTATTATCTTTAACTAATAGAATCTATTTACGAGCCCCCACCACCCCGGCATGTTTTATTCACCGGCGCCGGGGCACTGCCAGCCTGGTTTGAGTGTCTCCGTGACTCTGTAATTCCATCTGATGGAACGGACCGTGTGGACTGCAGCTTCCCTGCTCAGCTGTCACCACCACAAGAAGACGTCCCGATCTGACTGACAGGCCATCAGTGCCCCACCGTATTTGGGTGTTCTCAATCATTCTCTATAGAATAGGTTTATATTCCAATATGTTGAAATGTTCCTTAATGTACATGGGATTTATGACAAATGATAAAAGAAAGACTTCCGCCTCCCGGTTGACGATTAAGTTGAGTTGCAGACATCATTTAGTATTTCTGTGCAATGTTCTAACTGTGGTGTCTGTGTTTTTTGTAGGGTGGTGGTTTTGCAGAGCCGACCCACTGACAACCCCACGGCCCTCAGCAACCTCTACATCCTGGCAGGTCATGAGAACAGTTACTGAGCCTCCCCGAGAGAAAGGAGGATGAGATGCGAGTCTTTTTGGGAGGGAAACTCCAGACCTTCACCCCATGCGCTTCGAGGGGAAGGTCTAGTTTAAAACCGTTATTGGGAGCTTTTGTTACTGATGGCGGGATCGACAGGTCGGTAAAGAGAGAAGGCTCTTGAGGTGGATTCATGAGTAGCCTTACACCAGCAACACGTTCCCCGTGGCGCCGCTCATCTCAAACGACAAGGAAACCATTACGAGCTGCAACGGGAGAGCCAGTGAGACGGGCACGTGGACTGAGTTACAAATGATCTCCAGGTATTATTAATAAAAGTGCCATTAAAATTCAACTTGTGTAATTTGTATTAGCGAAACAGTGGGAGATTTATTGTGGGTTCCATGTCACTCATCTCTGCCAATAGCTTGAGAGGAGCTTTCACAAGCTCGGTAGTCAAACAAATAGCTCACTTTAAACAGAAACCCTGAGCCTTGTGGGGAATTTAACAATATTTATTAACATTTACTGGCCGTGTTAACCGATGGTGGCAGTCCTGCTGTGTGAGGACTAACCTAAGGAACAGATGTTCAGAAGCTTTGGGTTGTTTCTTGCCATGTAATATAGTCTCCTCTCTCCTGCGTTTTTAGAAGTCTACATATAATGTACATTTTTTTTCTTCATCTTCCTCTTTTATAGGTCTTTTACTTCTCATTATTTGCACCATGTAAGCACTTTTGTACATTTTTTTATTTAAAATAAAATGACAAAATGAGGGACAATGCTAGGTTTTGCTAACAGCTTTGCATTCCCTTCGCAAAATGTTTAATGTATGCTGTCTTTTTTGTAATAAAAAAGCTGTTAACGAGATACCTGGATGGGCTCTGGTTTATTGTCCGTGTTGAGATTGGATCGATGCAACAGAGCTCATGATTGCAGAGTTACGGAGGTCTGATGAGCGGAAAGGAGGATTACAGGTGAGTGTTAGTTTCCATTATTTCCCCGTTCAGTCTGACAGTCCTCCGACTCCTCAAACCTGCACTAATTAGTCTCAGTGCAACAGGACAACATGTTAACTTTGACTAATGAGGTCAGATGAGTTTGATGTGATCTCAATCAAAAACGTAAAAGGGACTCAACGGTGTAAGAAAAAAATAGGATAGAATTATGCAGCGTAAAGTTATTTACTGCCAACTTTATGATTTGAGTTTTCTTCAGACGGGAGCATCGGTGAATTCCTCCTCTGAGAGAAAGTGTTTTCCCTGATTGTAACCCCAGTGGTGGAGGCTGTCATTTACCTGCCTCGATTGTCTTAAAATAGATTCTACACTATCAGGTGTTCATATATATATATATATATATATAATATACATAAAAATAAAACAACTGCATGCTTTTCCTTTTTATTATGGAGGTGGAGGTAATCTGCTGTTTCTTGGTGAATTTAGGGGTCAGCGGTAGAAGTGCGTCAAGTCAAGAACTGGTAGTTAGTAACGGATGTCACTTGATTTCACCTTCAAAATAAAACCAGTAATTTGATCGCCTGCAGAACAAGAGAATAAAAACATGTGATGGCGTGTTACCATGGCCCAGAAACTGTACATTTAAACTTGGATTAATCCTTTGAGTCAATGAATTGACGGGGATGGTTGCTCATTTGGTTTTATTTTGAAAGGTATGGCCGGATGTCTTTATTCCGTTTTTTTTTTACTCTTTAAAAGCGGCGGTCCTTGTGCCTGCAGAGACAGTTGGTAGGTCGTCTTGTGGTGGTCCACCTCGTCGTGTTTGGAAGAACGGACCAACATCTGACAACAATTTTCCACCGAGTAAGTTTTCACATTTAAAATTTGTGTTTTTTATATCTTGTTATTTATACGTCTTTTTATATGTATATATTTATATTTTCGGTTTACATTTTATATATAAAATATATATATATATAATTATTTAACTTACCCACTTTTATGATCTGCTTTTTTAATGAGGAAACATGTGCTGATGCTGCAAGATGATTAACTCTTTTCACCACAAACAAACATGCAGCTTGAGCTGTTTATTCACGCTTTTTTATATTCTAGATTTTCGTGGTAATAAGTGCAGCGCTTTGATTTTATTCCCCTGGCTTTACTGTCTTTGTTTTGTGTTTTCGCTCCCTATCCCCCTTGGCCAAATGACCTAATACACTTTGCAATGCAAATGTTTTTGTGATGCGGTCGAGCTGCTGGAAGACGGGTGTAATGTGTTTAAGCAATCAGATCAGTTTATGGGATTCATCTTAACATTTTGGTTCCTCTATCTTGAATACTGAATTTATTAATTAGTTTTGATTAAATATACGTCGATGCATGTAAACGTCTTGGCACTTTTTATTATGTTCAGATAATTACGCTTGTTATTCATTATTATGATGCAGATGTCAATCAAAATATTTGAATAATTATCACAACCTGAAAAGCAACCCAAATGTAGATTTACAAGAGGCATTATTGTGTCTTTTCAAGAAAATATCCATCCTACAAATGACTTAATTCGGCTGCCCATACTGGATTTATTCCAGCTTTCGTTGAGTGAGCTGGTGCTAAAGACGGCACGTTGTGCCTCCTCCTCTCTGCATCCTCGCTGAGAACCTCCTGTGCCTCCTTTAAAGGCTGCACGGACCATCCTACCTCCTTGGATCTACCCGGCAGAGTATCATACATTCGGGTGTCTCCTGGTCCAGTCTGAGGATGGAGAAGTATGAGAAGATTGCAAAAATCGGGGAGGGCTCCTACGGCGTCGTCTTCAAGTGCAGAAACAAAGACACCGGGCAGGTCGTCGCCATCAAGAAGTTTGTGGAGTCAGAGGACGATCCCATTATAAAAAAGATTGCACTGAGGGAGATCAGAATGCTTAAGGTAACCGCACGGTGACAACCTCTTCATCTTGTCCCTGACCTCACATTTATGAAGCAGTAGACTATGGAAGCACGTTCCTGCCAGCAAGGGTTTACTCAGGATGTAAGGCCCAATATATGTTGCACTTGTGTCAAAGATTGAGACTTTGTTAGTGAAATTTCAAGATAGTACACAAATGTTGGCAAAAATAGTGAAATGGAATGAAATGGTGGTGTGACATGAAGTTAAGACCATAACCAAAGCGATGAAATAGTAAACAATTGAAAAGTTGAAACTCTATTTTCTTTTTAATTCCATACCTGTTTGTTATCATACTTTTAATTAATGCCAACTAATCCAAACGTAAACTAATCCAATTATTTTATACTAAAATAACATGAATGTCTAACAAACAACCTTTTATGTTTTTATTCTTTGTCCTCATCAGATTTCAGTCTGTTATCATTTTTTTTTTGCTACCAGTGTATATTTTATCCTGGAGATTCTACAACGAACAGCTAAACAAAAAGCGTACTGTATTTACATGATGAAATACCATATTTTGACCTTTTTAAAGATGCAGATCCAGGTTTTAGTGTCTTCCTAGTGTGCCAAGAGTCTGCAGGAGGGACAGCGCGCAGTTAATCCTGCAGACGGAGGGGAAGCATTTTTGTTGTTGAGCTGCACAGAGAAAAGAGCAGCGCTCAAAAGAGGTTCACAGTCTTGTAATTAAATGAAGCAAAAGCTCTGCAAGGGTCCGGACCCACCAAGTACTTCGACTAAGATGCAAACTATCTGTCAAATTAGCAGGAAATGAGGAGATGAAAATCACGAGGTTAGCAAATTTGTTCTGGTTTGTCAGTGTTTGTTTTTAGCTGGTTTTGGATGCAAGATAAATATTTATGTGAATGAATTCCCTTTAAATCATGACGTTATTAGAGAATTAATCCACTTGAAAATAAACAACAGAAAGATCAGAGACCGTAAACTCTTAGTCTCTTTAAATAGTTTTCATTCATGCCAAAGGCTGAAGCCTGTTGGTTTAATGCTGCCTAATGATAATCAACGACGCGCTTGTTGCTGGTGTAATTAGTCATGCACTGGGAGGGAGAGTTAGTGGCCTGCTGGACACCAGGAGCTCATAAATAGGACCGGATGGGGACGGGTTGTCAGGGGCAACCGCATGGTTTATTACCATGTGGTTAGAGTTTAGTGTGTTTTGATAAGGGCAAGCCACAGATGGGGGCAGATCTCTAAGCAGCGGCTTTGCTGGTGTGTTTGTGTGGGCGTCACTCTGACACGTCGTCTTCTGCGTTTTTCGTTTCTCTGCAGCAACTGAAACACGGCAACCTGGTGAATCTGATCGAGGTGTTTCGGCGGAAGCGGAAGCTCCACCTCGTGTTCGAGTACTGCGACCACACGGTGCTCAACGAGCTGGACCGACACCCCAGAGGGTGAGTGTGGCTCCTCAAGTTAGAGGCTTCCCTTGTTTTACTCTTTCCAATAGGTTACAAGCACCAATCACGCTTTCCAAATGATTATATTGGATTAGAATTAACTGATGCTTTAATGAAAAAGCAAAACATTTAGTAAAACGGTGAGAAGTGGCTTCACAATTAGCCAGAACTCAAGGCGTTCCCACTTTGAAAGCTGCAACCATTAAATGCTTGAATGCATGAACAAGGACTTTGTCTGATCAAAACAGTCCAAGTAAAAAGTACTTTAAATATGAAGAATATTATTAACGTACATTCCCGTCCAGAAATAACCGATTGTTGATATTAAAAGAAATGGTCTAATAAAGATAATCTCATAGATATTCATAATGCTTTATAGCAATACTTATAATACATTTTATAGTGACGTATACGGTCAAGACACTTGCTCGTGACTTACACATCATAGTGTGATACTGTGTTCATAGTTTTAAATGCATTACGATCACTGTAAAGCATCTTGATTGTTCTAGGTGGTCATTGAGTGCACAAGTGAAGTAATGACATTTCTGAGATTCATTACATTACAAGCTGGTTATAAGTGCGATCGTATCATTAAAACACGCACGACCAACAATAATAACACATAATTATTGTCATATTATTATGAGTATTAACGAGTGCTTGTAACACTAATTATACAGCAATACAAGCAGATTATATCTCTGTCCTGCATTACTGACATGACGAGTCATCAAAGTCTTAACTAATGTAAAATAAATGATTTCACCTGCTCAGCTCAACGTTTCATTATAAAGCATAAAGCATGTTCAGGAACCTGCAATGTAACAGAAACGACACATTTAGCCACTGGAGGACTCGTTCTTGTGTGGAACGTATCCGTTTACTGCTCATACAAACCCCGAGATGATGAGAGCGGCTGATCCTGATTTAGCAAAGCGCTGCGCGCTCTCTGTTACATCGATACCTCGCCGTACACCGCGCCTTGTCCGGCCGCGACGGGCACGCCGCCTGTCTCTCGGGCAGCTGACCTGCTCGCTGTGGAATGTTTACAGAGATGCTCACCCAGAATGCATTGCTGGCGGGGAGCCGGCGGCACTCTTTAGGCTCGGCCACATTTCATACGGAGTGTTTTCGCTGTCCGATTTCCCCCAATCTGGTCCCGGCCCGTCGCCTCCGGGAGCACGGAGGGTTCAAAAGAAGAGACAACAAAGTGAGGCGACGGGGAGGGAGTGTCATTAATTGCCGGTCACAAGGCTCGATTTAGCCATTTCCCCGGCAACGCGGGCCGATGACGTCCCTGAACCAACAAAAGCCTCAGTGTTGAACGGCGGAGACGGGACTGACCGCTGTCCTCGACAGAGCCCTCTGCGGGAGAGCAGATGAGTGGAAGACTGAAGATGACACAAGTGTCGTCCTCGCTGAAATGTCCCCCCAAGTGTTGGATGTTCATGTTGAATCCCACCTGTAGGCTGTAGGGATCCTCTGGTTGTTTTGCTCTTGCACCACCGTGATGTTGATATCTGCCGTTCAGTGAAATGGCTCCACAGCCGTTGGATGGATTGCCTTGAAACGTGGACCTTCGCGTTCTCCTCTTACGGGGCTGAACGAGGCCGCAGAGGGGAAATAGTGGCGGAGGGTTGTGGTCTGTGCAACACGCCTGATGTGGGTCAAAGGTTCCGATTTATCTGGTTTATTTTGATCCATGCATTTAGTTTTTTAGGAAAATGTTTCATTCATTCTGCATTTACATCTTGATTAAAAACTAAACCATCTCATGGCCTTCATCAATAGACTGTGAAGGAGAATAATCCGTTGTTTGCTCGCTGGCTACATTTCCAAAGTCAACACAGAATTTAAAATAATTTTCTACTGATGAGTTCAGCGATTTATCAAGCAGTCCGACACATTGACGTCCTTCTTGTCTTCCAGGGTCCCAGAGCACCTTGTTAGAAGTATAACCTGGCAGACACTTCAAGCTGTCAACTTCTGTCACAAGCAGAATGTAAGTGGTGATTCTTCTTGTTCGTCATGGAGCTTCATGGTGTGTGTGTGTGTGTGTGTGTGTGTGTGTGTGTTTCAGTCGTAAAGAAGCTTCCCCTCGGCTTGTTTTTCAACTCCTCCGGTCTCCTCCCACCAAGCCTTCTGCTTTGTGACTCTTTTTACAACAAGAATTCCTTTCCCCTGGCTGAGCAGCAGTTAATGTATCACCTAGACACAACAAATGCTACAAGGGCCCCCGTTTAACGGCACCGCCTCCTTCCACCGCCCCTCACGTGGCCCCCTTTCATCCTCCCCATCTCACCAGGATGTGAGCGCTCAGTCTAACTGGACCTTCTCGTGTCCCCGCAGTGCATCCACAGAGACGTCAAGCCGGAAAACATTCTCATCACCAAACACCGAGTCATCAAGCTCTGTGACTTTGGGTTCGCACGGATTCTCAGTAAGTTTTAAGACCCGCTGAACTTTTCTTAAACGGCGCCACCTGGTGGACACGTTGTCTTTTTGTGTGTGCGTGTGTGTGTGTGTGTGTGTGTGTGTGTGTGTCGTATTTACAGCCTCAGTCATTACACTCTGCGTGCTTCAGGTGTGTGTGTGCAAGTATTTATTATTATTTTCTACCCTGATATTTTCTAGGAAATATGTAACAGTTTAACCTCTCTAAGCTAGAAGGGAATATTCAGAAGCAACAATGTGAAGGGAATCCACCCTCTTTGTTGACTTTGTCATGTGTACCCGGATACAAGGGTTTGTTTTCCTTTTGACCAATGGGATTGGGCCCCACTTATTTACCACACCACAGACACTTAACGTATAACTAAAGTACCTCAACCCATACTAAACCGTATGTCACACGTACCTTTGATGCTTCAATACAAACGCACACACCTAATGTCGTGTGTGTGTGTTTCCCGCCTCCAGCCGGCCCATGTGACTACTACACGGACTACGTGGCGACCCGTTGGTACCGGGCCCCCGAGCTGCTGGTGGGGGACACTCGGTACGGCCCCCCGGTGGACGTGTGGGCGATCGGTTGTGTGTTCGCTGAGCTGCTGTCGGGGACGCCGCTGTGGCCCGGGAAGTCTGACATGGATCAGCTGTATCTGATCAGAAAGACTCTCGGTAAATCAATCAATCAGTCGGCTGTACAGTGAAAGTATTTGTTTAATGATAACATTGTTGTGTTTTGCCTTTCACTTGCATTAAAGTGTGATATAATGACAATTCACACAATTAAACTGGTAAATCCAATCTTTAGGCCTTATAATGAAAACGCTTTATTTCAGTGAATCAACCACAAACTTTAAGCTTGATTGCATATTTGAAATACCAAACGTTAAAAGATACAATATATACGTAAAGTACTTCAGGGAATAAAACTTAATGAAAAACATCTTCCCTCAGTCATTTACATCGTGTCCTGTTTTAAAGGACAGGGTGAAATTGTAACGTGTATCTTATGTCTCAATCATTTCGATCCTTGAAAGCATCCACAGGTGTAACTTGAGTTCTGTTCATCTTTCTCGTCCTCTGCAGGAGATCTGACACCTCGACACCAGCAGGTCTTCAGCAACAACCAGTTCTTCTGTGGAGTTTCCATCCCAGAGCCACAAGACATGGTGATTAAGCATTGATCAACATTCTCTGTGTTCTAAAGGTTCTTTATATGAATCCCCGTGTTAGGGATTGCTAGACAAGTGAACATATCATAAAACATACTGTATCTTTGTCTTTTCTTTTTCCTCCTGTAGGAGCCTTTGGAGAAAAAATATCCAAATCTCTCGCATCAAGCTCGGAGTCTCATGAAGGTAACGACGTCGCCCCTGCAGTAATATAACGCATTTCTTTTTTGTGCTTGTTTTAATAGACTCAATAGTTTGGATTTAATCTATTGAAATTAGGATTTTAAAAGCCCCATGTTTGTTTAAACTAAATAATTAAGAGACAAATCAGAAACTGTGAAAAGTGCTCTGTGTTCCCAAATCACCAGAGGACATATGACGCTTAGTTACTGGTATAATGTCGGCAGCTGCTGGTGGTTGAGGGAGCGCGTGGCGTTGCCTTGTCTCCTGCTGATGGCTTTGATGGTTTAGGGCTGCCTGAGGATGGACCCGTCGGAGCGGCTGACCTGTGAGCAGCTCCTCCAGCAGCCGTACTTCGACAGCCTGCGAGAAAAGAGCTCCGGCGCCTCCCGGGAGCACGACCGCTCCGGCCACCGGAGGACGCGGTTACCTCGCAAACACCTCCCTCCTGGGGTCAGTAGACCGGCGGCACCGAGCGTGAAATAATCTTTCATAACATGTTATGTTACACATTGAGAGGGACCCCTAGATTGTCTAAGAGTTGTCCACATAATGCTCCGAAAATCCACACTGAAAGTGTTTATTTATCCTTCATGCAGTATTTGCCGCAGCTCACCAGCAGCAGTATCTTCCCAGTTTTGGACAATAAGAAGTACTACAACAACCTGCGCAAATTCAACTATCATCTACCGAACATCTAGGCCGGATCAAACCCACAGTTTTCCTGACAACTGCTGATTCTGGCAGCGCCTTGGTTTTGGACTGGAACCGACCACTTTGTGTCGCGTGTCTCACAATACTGATGTCGGTCTTTGCACTACTTCATAACACGCGGACTCCATGCATGAGGCCTGCTTCTATAAAGACAAGGAGCGATGCTCCGCTCGTAGTCTGAAGGGAAAACGTTACTGCTCTGCCAAATGTTTTTATTTAGCAATGTACTATTTAAAAAAAAAAAAGTGACATGTTTTTAGTGATGAGTAAGTTGCAATGTAGGACACTTTGACTCTTGAGCATTTCTGAAACTATTTATTGGCATGAGTGAATATTCCTTTAACCCACAGTCACTAGCACAACACACACACAGGTGCTAAAGATCTTCAAAGCCATCAACCTCTTTGAAGATGGAGTACAAATGCCAAATGAATCTAAAGATAAATGATTTGAAAAGAGCCAAAGTCTTTTTGCATTTTTATAAATTGTTTTCCTCTTTGTACCCACATGGATTCACCTTTAATGCATAAATAAACTACAGAACAGTTCCATCCATTGCAAAAACAAACTGCTGACCACATTTTAAAGTGCTTTAACTTTCCTTTGTTCCGGCCTGTTTCCTCATTAAAGCTCGATCGTATCAAGCAGAAAGGTGACACAACTCCCAACGACTAAATCATTCACAACATAAACACACGCGAGCCCTTCAGCGCCGGCGTCCGTTCAACGAGCCTTCCGTATTCTACCGTTGAGGACGTTGTTTGCACATCAGTCCAGATCGAGTGAGAGATCCAGACGCGGGAGCGCCGTCTGTAGTCGGTCAACCGTCGTCTGTCTGTCTTTGATGCCCGGGAGGTCGCTGAGGAACAGATGCTCCAGATTCCTGCGCGGGGTCGAAGCATCAAATCAACAAATGGATTTTGTTTAAATGATGAAATAAATAAATAAAGGATGTTTAATTCACTTGAGCCTGTGCAGGGCGATGAGGCCCTTGTCGGTCACATTTCCACACGACACCACCTCCATCGTGTTCAAACTCTCCTGCAGGTTCTCTATGGAGCTCAACCTCTCCAGGCAGGTGTCCTCGATGTACATGCTCTTGTTGAACTTGATTTCCTCCACGTGTTTCAAACCATCTTGAAAAAAGAAAAGCGCAAGATCTGTTACCTCTTTGCTGATTACATTTGCATAGAGACTCAAATAAATCGGGGCGGACTCTGACACCAGAGCGTGTGTGTAGTCAGTGACGGCTCGGTGTAAAACACCCCGCTCGCTTGCGTCACTTTTGGATAATCAGTGTGGCAGAGATGTACTTTCAGCGCCGAGGGGAATCGCTTTCAGGTAAACAGTCGAGCTCATGTTAACATACTTTATTTAAAATGTACACTTTTTGGTTCTAAAACAATGTTTGATCATGCTTGTTTTTTTTAAAGCTGCAGACACTGAACATTTGTTTAATGAAAAGTGGATTTTGTAGATACCTTATTTTAAGATATCACAAAATGAATCAGGAAACCCAGTATGCTGTCATGATAAAGCCACCGTTAGGCACTTGTCTGAAACACTACAATTAGTCATTTAAACCGGCTCTTGAATGCTGATTAGGTCAGCTGTAAAATGTTGACGTTTATTTATGGTGTCATGTTAAGATGTTGATGAAGCTAGTTGCACAAAAAGGACTTGAATCTAAATCTGACAATGTAGCTATAAGATTAACTTGAGGCGCTAAATTTGGAAATGTCTCCTTAAATCTATGACCAAACGGAGGGAAATGTAAACGAGAGGAGGAGAACCTCCCACACACTGACACTCACCCAGGTGGTCAAACCCTCGGAACATGATGCAGGACTCGGTGGCGTCGATCGCCTGGATCTTGTATTTGCCCAGAACCCCAGTTGGCAGCCCGTTGTAGTCGTGCTGCCAGCGATCAAAACCTTGAAACCTCACTTTGGCACCGCATCGGAGCAGCCACTCCGCTGCGGCTCGGTCCGGACCAACGGCTTTGATTCTTTCATAGTCCACCCTGAAGATGAAGAACACCACGGACACTCCGCATGAAGGAGGTTCATGACGCGGGTCACACAAAAGGGAACAAGGGGAATGCACCGGAGCTCATCACCCACAATTTAGTACATGGAAAACAAAATAATGCCTGAGTGCCACTTAATGAATGGGCATTTTTTGACACTTTATGGACCAAAGTATAAAGAAATGGCATTATAGAAATAATTTTACTTCATTTATCATTTTATATCTTAGGTCACAAAAACCTGTAATTCTGACATCACAGCAACAGAGATGGTAAAGACATCTGTATTGTGAATGGCAGATAATGTTTATCATATTCTATAACCTGAACGTCCTTTTCTAGTTGTAAAGGCAACAAACAGCAGGGTTAAACATTACAGTCAAATGATGAATGGATCTTCTACTTGCTCTCACACCAAATTAATTAATGGTTATTTAGCGAAAAAAAGTTGTAACGCATCTTGATCTTGAGATCACTTTGTTTACTAAATGATTTAATAGTAATACATAACTACAGCCTGAATTAAATAATTGACTTATAAATTACTAAGAAAACAAAACATCTGCACGGTATTGTTATAAATGGGATGCACAGCATATTTATATTAATGATAAGAGCTCTTAGAAACCATGCAAATGATGCAGAAAAACAAACCGAACACGAACCCCTTGACGGAGACACCATTGATTGCATTCCCGTTTGTAATCACCGTAAAGGGAAGCGGCGTTAGCGGCGGACGAGGCGCACGCGGAGCTTATTAGCCATTAGCAGCAACGGCAGCGAACTAACGCGACGCCGCTTCACTGAACGCGCGCTCACTTGTTGAAGACGGCGTTGAGCCAGCCCCAGAAGCGCCGGCGGCCCCGCTCGCTCGGACCCGCGGCGGACCGCGCCGCCCTCGACAGAAGCCTCATGTCCGAAACGCACACGAAGAAGACGCGAAGGACGCCGGGCGAGCTGCTCGCGATGTCGGTGAACCACCGTCAGCCGCTGTGACGCAGCGGCGTTATTACCGCCCCGCCCCGCCCCCCAACGCAGGAATGTTTACACACGTAACGCCGTCGGTCGCTGTAACCTTTGACCCGGTGACGTGGAGAAAACGCGCCCTCTCATTGGCTGCGCCGGAGCGCCACAGAGGGGGCGCCCGCCTCTCTTTACGGCGGCGCAGCTGGACGGGAGGAAGTGACAGCGCGCAACTCCCAACGAGTCCCGCGGACCTTTTGCGCGATGAAGAAGTGAACGCGAAGGGGCTTTGAAACGCGGCGACGATGATCCGGACACTGAGCGGTTTGTCCTTCAGGGCTTCCGGGGCGGCGAAGGACTTTGCAACCAGGCGGCTGCACAGGTGAGACTCCCACGACACACACGGGCGGCTCCTGGGTTAAAATGAATGTTAACCGGTGTTAACTACGCTCACCACAGGCTGATGAATTAAGAATAGAAGGAGGAGGGGGGGGGTCAGTTCAACAACTTCGAGTTGATCCCAGTCATTGCCAAGGACGTTGTGCACGCAGGAGTCACATTGCACAACCTGCAACCTGACCCGCACTCCACGCCTCCACGTGCCCAATGCACACACGCACACACACACACACACACACACACACACACAACGCGCTCTGGTCGCACTCGCAGGCCTTTGGAACATCGTCAAAGCGCCTAATAGTGTGACTTTAGTCAGCCACTAGTTCCGTGCGAGCTGCTCCTTCTGGGAAAGGCCGTGCCGCTGCGTGTGTAACCGATTACCGGCTGGCTGTGCAGGCTGCTCTGGAGGAGTGGCCCCTCGTCTTATGCAACAGAGCCCCTCTCCCGTCCAACTAACTGAATAACAGATGTTCCGTAACAACTGGAGGACTTCTCTTTTGTTAAAGGAGTCCACCCAGATAGCAGAACCCTGTTTGATCACCGATCGGTTACAAATATCTTTTTTTTTTTAATTCTTATCTCCTGAATGTGGAGCTTTTAAAAAACATTTTCCTGGCTGCATGTTTCTGAAATGAAAACAAGATGTTTCCTTCTCCCCTTGTGGCCCCTTAAAACTGTTCTCCGAGGCTTGAGAGTTGCATTCTTTCAAGCTCTCCGAGTTATGTGAACTCTTTTTGGCGAAATGTTGACATTCTGGAACTGCCGTTTGAACTCTGAACCCCCCCACGAGAGTGGTTTGAGTAGTCCGAGGTGGATATTGATCTGCACAAGTAGTCACGACGGCAGTGATCAGTCCCAAAGGTCCATCGGCTCCTAAACACAATCGCGCTTACTTGGACGTCGAACCGTTGACCCTAAATGTTCTGTTGTGGTTTCTACATTTTGCAACCTCTAAATCTGGCTTCTTTATCAGTAACCACTTTGAATTTGAAATGTCGGTGACCTTTTGTTGTCGTTCGTATTTCAGCACGTATGATGTGGCCGTGGTGGGGGGCGGCATCGTCGGCCTGGCGACGGTCAGAGAGCTAATTCTGCGACACCCGTCCCTCAGCTTCGTTCTGCTGGAGAAGGAAAAGGAGCTCGGTGGGTGCAGTCTTGAACGTTGTGCCTGCGAAGGAAGACCTCAATGTGTTTGGTTTCTACCCCGTTAACTGAAACAAGGACTTTTAAGGTTGCGTGCCAAGCAGCTCTAATTTCAGATCAGGAATTGTTCCTATTTGTGCTGCTCTGCTCTGGCTCTGGCTAACGCCCTCGGACCGAGTGTCACCCAGGGGACCTTGTTCCGATGCTGAGAGAGACGGACAATTGTCTTTGTTAGAGGACTAATATAACAATGTGAGTTGTAAAGTTAGTTCCACATTGTAGCTTTTAATCCAACATATCACCGTTTCTCTTGATTTTGCACATGTCTGTCCTAAGCAAGAGCAGCTTGGACGAAGCAAAGAGAAAAATCCTCCTTTGTGTACGTTGGATGTTACAGGTGGATGAAACAAAGTGGGGAAACCTGATGATATTCCCGTCCTCGTTGTTCTTGTTCCTTCATTTTCTTGTGACTTTCTGTCTCGCCAGCTGTGCACCAGAGTGGGCACAACAGTGGAGTCATTCACAGCGGGATCTACTACACGCCGGGGTCACTGAAGGCCCGCCTGTGTGTTCGAGGAGCCACTTTAGCCTACGAGTACTGCGAGAAGAAAGGACTCCCTTACAAGAAATGTGGAAAGGTCCGTCTTAGCGCTTTGACCGAGTGAAATACCGGCCGCTTAACGGCAGTTTTTTTTTTGCGTTGTTGTATTGTGTTCTACTACTTGTCTACTTGTGTTTCTGCCAGCTCATCGTGGCTTTGGAGCATGAGGAGATACCCAGACTGCAAGCTCTGTACGAGCGCGGCATGAAAAACAACGTGCGGGACCTCAGCATAATCGACGCCAAGGGAATCCGAGAACGAGAGCCATTCTGCAGGGTGAGCGTCTCGGGAGAGGCTGCGGTTTGTTCCTACAAAATAAAAGGTGGCTGCGACGGACTGTAGTCACAGTCCACACGTGGTCCTTGCAGGGTTTAATGGCCTTAGACTCGCCGTACACCGGCATCGTGGACTGGAGGATGGTGGCTCTCCGGTACGGGCAAGACTTTGAGGAGGCAGGCGGCACGGTGGTTACGGATGCTGAGGTCGACGACATTACCACGGTTACCGAGAGCCCGGCCGGGAGTGCTGACGGTAATGACGAGCCTCTGCACAACAATGTGGAAGACAAAGTCCCAATTTAAACAAGACCTTCAGTTATTTGACGCTCAACTCAAAAAGTATGTTGTTTACTTTGCAGGAATGAAGTATCCAATTGCAGTCAGAGACAAAAAGGTGACTCGCGTGCAGATAAAAGCGGCCCAACGTTTTGGATTGATTTGTGTCGTGTCCAACGTTTTGGATTGTGTCATTTCTGCAGGGCAATGAGGTCCGCTGCCGTTACGTCCTGACATGTGGCGGCCTGTACTCCGACCGCCTGTCCCAGATTTCGGGATGCAGTCCGGAGCCTCGGATCGTCCCCTTCAGAGGAGATTACTTGGTGTTGAAGCCAGAGAAACACTTTTGGGCAAGGGGGAATATTTATCCTGTGATTTTGCTGAAGAAACGCAGGTAAAAATCAGTGTACCCCCCCCCCCCCCCCCCCATAAATCATGTGACCTGCAGATGTTTCTCATAACATTCCAGCTGTGCTACGTGACCTCAAATTGTTGAAGCCTCCAGTGCCTAAATTATTATTTGAGCTGTTCTTTTTAAAAGCGTTGACAGAATTCAAGAACTCCACAAATTCAGACCTCTGACCTCGCAGCAAGCTCAGACAAAGAACTTCCCCCAGAGATTTAAAAAGTATGAGATGATATTGCTCTTATCAAAAAAGCTCATAGTTTAAAACCACAGTCAGGGAATCAAGAACTTCGGTCTAAATGACATTGAGAGCATGTGTTGAAAGTGTTCGATAAAGTACTGCCTCAAGTACCTTTTTATTGCTTTCATAATATGGTCACCAGAAAAATTATAAATAGTAAGTAAATCGCTGCCCTTCAGCACGAAATAGTATCAGCCACCAAACGTTGTGTATCGCATTTCAATAGTCTGGAGAAAAATAGTCCCCGTACGTCCATGTAAACGGCATTGGGTCTCCTTGCAAGATCTGTCACCATCTCATTCATTCACATCGCTCATGACGTCCACCTGAATTGTCCGGTTCCGAAAGCTCGCATTGCCCCAGACCGATCATTTGTGGGATTTCCCGTCCTTTTTCGGGAGTCGCCACTGAGCTAAAAGCTGTAACTAACGGTCACGCAAAATCTAACCGGTCACTTTGAGTGCGCAGTGATATGGAGCGCTGGGGTCAATGTGAACAGCAACTATACATTATTGCTGAGTAACGCACACCCCGTGACTCACACTCAACCAATCAGAGCGCCGGATTTAATCTACCCGTATTATAATGTAGAAACAAGACGCTGTCATTGGACTGAATAAATAATGCATAGATGCTTCATTTTGCTTCTGTAAACTGTTTAGGTCCCCGACCCTCGTTTCCCCTTCCTCGGAGTTCACTTCACCCCGAGGATGGATGGAAGTGTTTGGCTTGGCCCGAACGCAGTACTCGCCTTCAAGAGGGAGGGCTACAAAGTGTACGACTTCAATGTTCGAGACTTTGCAGATGCACTCTCATTCAGGTACCACAGAGCGCTTGATCTGATCTTCTTTGTGTATTGTCCTGCAACTGTTTTGTTTGTTTTTTAATTTCAAAGACACCGATATTTGTGAGATCTTCCAATTAAAGTGCAGCAATGGGTGATGTATGAGTGTTCAATCTGTGTTTTCTATCTGCAGGGGCCTTCAGAAGCTGGTAATGAAGAACGTGACCTATGGGATTGGAGAAATGTATAGAGGGATTTTCATTGGTGCGCAAGTTAAAATCCTGCAGAAGTACATCCCTGAACTCTCGCTGAGCGACGTGCTCAGGTAGTGCAACAATGCAAGACCCCAAAAGTGCATCAACATTACACTGGGTGCATCAGATAAGAGGAAGAATTAAAAGGTTCGATGCAGTTTTTCTGTAATCCTGGCTGTTTCCTCTGCAGGGGTCCTGCAGGAGTTCGAGCTCAGGCTCTGGACCGCGACGGAAACCTCGTGGACGACTTTGTGTTCGACGGCGGCGTCGGGGACGTGGGAAGTCGGGTGCTCCACGTGCGTAACGCTCCCTCGCCAGCGGCCACCTCCTCGCTCGCCATCGCTGAAATGGTTGCAGACGAGGTGGAGAGTCGCTTCGCGCTGTAGAGCAACATGGCAACGCAGAAAGCAAGAGAGTAACTCCAAATATTGCAGCTGGAGGTGGCTGGGTGAATGTGCTGTTAAACTGTCACTTCCTCCGCATCACCGTCGTCATGGGGACTTTTTATTTCAGGTCCAGCATTAAATTAGGGGGGTAAAAGCAACATCTTTGGCTCGATTACATTTTACAGTTTTATTTTACTTGTTTCTATAATGCCAAATTTCAAGTAATGTTTTTTTTTTTGTCTACATGTTTAAAAAAACTCCCATGTTACTAGTGAAATTGTTGTGGACAAAAAGGTTCAGCTACCGTTATATTTTGGACACACTGGTTGTAATTTAAGCAAACTTAAAGATTTTCTTTTTAAATGAGAGATTTTATAATAAATGGACCTGTATTTTCTAGTCTTCCAACCACTCTGAGCGCTTTAACACGACATGTCATCATTCATACTATTTCTTACAGTGATGACGGGACACAATCAGGACTCTGACTTCTTACCAGCAAGGAGACATTAGCAGGTTAAGTGCCTTGGCCCTTTGTACTTTGGAATCCATTGTCTCTTTTTCAACTATATGAGAGAAATTTGTCTTTTTTGTTTGAGTATTGTAACGTCTCCTGGTTTCAGTTCAATGTGTCACAATCTTTTGAGAAATAAATCTACAAAATGAAATCTATCCCCTGAATGTATGTGACCAAAAGAAAGTGAATTGATTGTCTATGCATGAATCCATCTGAGAAGACTGGGTGTTATTTTTATTTAATTTTTTTCCTACAACATTTTTGAAACTCAAAGTATGTAGTTTAAGAAGTGTTTTTTACTTTGGACAGACTTGTCTGCCAAATCATTTGAGCATTCAAAAAATAAAATCAACAGCTGATGTTTGTCCCACGCGAACATGGAAGTAAACAGAACACCGATGTTAATAAGTTGTTTCTTTGATCTAATTCTGCTGCTCTTTTTAACTGCTTCAGAGGCTTCACATATTGGCTCTAAATAATGCACTTGTGAATGTTTTACTCACCTTATAATTTTTGATTTTCTAATATTACCAGAGAGGGGATTTGTCATTACACTTTTTAGTTAAATGGTGCAAAGAAAACCTTATTGAGATTCCTGTGTACCTCACCTTTGTACCTTTTGGGGACTGACTGAGCAGTTGCATTAATTCCTGCAAGAAGCACTTATTCCGTCTGTCCACAAGGAGGCAGAATCACTACAACAAACGCACTGCGAGCCTCAGTGTCATCAAAACATGTATTAATTTAATGGTATTGCCTACGCTAATTGTTTCTCCTGAAAATATAGAGAAGTTATACGAATAGCGGATATTTTTTGCATCAACTGGTTTTATAACACGCTTTTGTTTAATCTGTTACACTAGGACAGTTGCCATAGTTTATCATATTATCTCTATATAAATATATCTATATTCTTAACACTATCTCGATGTGTCATAAGAAGTCCGGCTTGTTTTTGTTTTTTCCTTCGGTCCAATAAAATGTGAAATTACGCAGCGTGCGTGTATGACAGCGGACGCACAGAGAGCAGCAGACAGACGGACAGACAGACAGACAGGCAGTCAGACAGACACACAGGCAGTGGAGTTGGTACGAACATCTTCGACTTCTCAAACCAAAAACACCTCGACTGCTCCTCAGCTGCGCCGCTCCACAGAAATGGCCCGGACTCGTCGCTGCCCTTCGGAGAGGCGGCTCGCGTTGGATTTAGCGTCCGATCCCCGCGGACGAAGACGCCCGAGCGAGAAGTAAACCGCGTAGGAGAAAGTGTGCCTTGTTTTGAGCGGAACGGGTCGTGCGCCCCGACAGAAAACTCGGAGCGCATCAAAGGCCAGTAGCAGCCTGTAGCGACAGTTAGCTAGCCGGCTAACGCTAGCCTGCTAACGTCACAGGTGTTTGGGCAGCAAATAACCAAACATAAGTCGCACCTGCAGTTAGCTGGCAACACGCCGAGCCCGCGGGTCGCGACTCACCGCTGAACTCGACGTGCGCGTTATAAGCTTTTTAGCAAACGCCAAGTAGCAGGTATGACACTTAGCAAGCTTGTTGTTAGCCGCTAGCTTTTTAGTTAGCCGCTGTCCCGTGTTTACAGCCGCGGCTAGGCTAGCCCCGCTAGCCACCGAGCTAGCGAGTTAACTTTGCAAGCTACATGTGCTTATTTTAACGTTGTGGCTCGTTATTCGCTGTTTGACTCGACTCGACCGCGGACCTCCAGCGCGGTCCAGCGAGACTCTTACGTATTTTTGCAAGCGAGACGGTTCGACTTGTTTTTCCCTCCGCCGTGCCTGCCCCGGACTGACCCACCCACAAGGACTATCTACCCGGGGCCGATGCTGACAGTTCAGCCCGGACCACGGCAACGCCAGGAGCCGCTACAGCGATGCAGCCCCAGCAGATATACGACTTTTCGAGTGACGAGAACAGTCACAAATGGAGAGGCCTCTTCGTGCAAGCGCTGCGGAAGGTAACGACGCGATTACCACGCGTACTAGTCCTCACAAAGTCCCGCAGATGCCTTTTCCAAACACGCGTTTCCATACATCCACGTTCACTTGCGTTGTGCAGGCGACGTTGCTGTTTCCTCACTGGATCCAACTTTGGTCCCACGTTTCTAACCTGGTCCGATCAACAGCCCTACAAAGTGTAAATGTTCATGTCGTTGGTAGTATGACGAGCAATTCAACCATCTATTGGTGCAATAAGCAGACAATGTCGTTGTTGTGGGGTTTTAATGATGCGTTTGAATGAACTTGATCAGTTTGCTTAGTGTTTATATGTGTTTGTGTTTCATAGTTTTGAGGGTAAACAGACGTCAGGATGCTGATGTTACCTCTAAGTTCAAAAGAACCGAAACTTCCTTGAAACCGCTGCCTCTAACTGGAAGTCTTTGTCAAACCCTTTTATTTGTTCCTCATTTTCACATTCTTGCTGCGAACAGACTTCAGACAATTTTTTTTATGCTGCTTACATTTCAAATTTCCTTTTTGGTTTTTACAAAGACATGGCATTTAATTCTCATGGATCGAATTACAACTTTCAGCACATGAAATATTTTGATGTCCTTGGTCAGCGGGACTTAAGCGTTTTTCTCTCTTCTTGCATCATCTTGGCTTCTCCCTGTCATGACCAGGTTCATTTTCTGTCTCTGCCAACTGAACACAAAAAAGCGCCATTTTTGTTTCATTTTAAATGTGTTTGTTTGGCTGTTCCATACGTTAAATGCCGAGAGCATCACTGTTTAGAGACTGCATGTTGAAATCGGCCTGTACGTAAACTCACAAGATTCCATCATATGTTCACGTAGACATTCACGTTTCTCCATTTATGATGCATCATTTTATGTCTAAAACTCTCTTGGAGTAAAAAAGAAAACACCAGAACATGCAATGTTTATTTAGCACGGTTTTACCTGTAAGTTGCTTATACTACATATGGCTCTTTATGCAGTACTATGGAACTTGAATGTTGACTTTCGACTTTTGCTCTGAGGTCACGTTTTGGTGCTGACGATCTTCTCCTCCTTCGTAGTCAATTACAACACATAACCGTTGATGCATTTAGTTTTAATTTCCTTTTCTCGGCCCGTTGTCCGTACCTCCTGTAGAGGTGGTGAACCAGGTGAAACTGAGCCAGCAAGTGGTGGGCCGAGGTGCCGCGCTTTCATTGTCTCAACTTGTTACACAACTGCCGCAGGGAAAGCCTGTCAGGATGACGCAAGAGAGGTTTGTTATGGTTTTGACAGACTGTGACTCGCTGTTTTTCACAGCTGTCCACTGGTGGGGGGACAGCCGGGGGGGGAGGGGGTCCTTGTTTGAAGGAATCATCAGTGGGTGACTCTGTCCCTGAAACTGATTTTGGATTATTGTTTAGAGGCAAGATTAAGGAGGCACCTGTTGATAAGCGGCCGCTCCGGAGAGGCGGATTAGGGGAGTAACTTTGATCGCCCAGGCTGATAATTTAGGAGGTGAAACCTTCAGCTGACTGTGGGGTCACCAAGAATTGCAGCATAAATTACACAGCATTATCGCTGAAATCGGACGACACGCAGTTAGCGCTGTCATATCTTTACGTTTTGATAAAAGTGACCTTAACGGCACATCTGGAATGATGAACTCGTTGTTGAGAAATCTGATCGTAGACATCGATCGCTGTCTGATTCACAAGCACGTTTAGTCCTCGTAGCAGCTATCGGAACAGGTCGTAGTCGTCTCTAGATGTGAAGCACCTGAGACTAGAAGGTGTAGTCGGCTAATTCATTGACCGTTAACCACAATGTCCGTGCTTGTTTGCTGTCATCTCCGGTATCTTTGTGCCTATTAAGGGACGCGACATTTCGATGTTTTCCTCTGCTGTTCCTGATCGCTGCGGCTCGCGCTGGGCGACACGCAGGAGCATCGCTCCGCCCGCGACCTGCTGACGCGCCCGTGGCGACAATCACTGAGCATTCCCCTGGTCTGCTGTTCCACTGGCGAGGAGGAGGAGGAGGAGGAGGGCCGAGGCTTTGCCAGCGACCGTTTCATCCCGTTGCCATGTCCAGTTAGCTGCAGAGTTCACAGGGCCTCACTGGCCAACTTTTAAAGCCGAGATTGGTCGGGTTACAAGCGGGCGCGTTCTTTCTTTCATCTTTGGAGTAGTTGCTTAAAATTCTGACCGGGTGAATCCACAACAGGCCGAAGCTTCCTGCTGAGGTCTTGTTTTATTTTAGTCAGTCGGTCTCGCCTCCACTTTCATCCAGGCTGCACCGAGCTGTTGTCACTTCACAATTAGACGGGTGGACTTATTACAAGCCTCTGCTGTGGCTCTCCACCGTATGAGGTTCTGCAGCAAGAGCTTGAAGTGTATTCATGACACGCACGTGTCGTGGCGGAACTGCCGTGCTTTTTTTCTTCCTTTTTTATTAGACATTTTTAGAGGGGGGGGGCTGTTATAATAGTTGGGAACCCTTCCACATTTCCGCAGCGACTTTCAGTTCACCTTTTACTGAATGCGTGTTTTGAGCACAGTAGTATTTAATGTTTTATTTGCATTTCATTGTTCTGCATTGATGAGAGGTAGCAGGAAATGACGGGATGAAGACATCAGGCCTGATGTGATGCCCAAATACAGCCTTCAGACAGGTGATTGTCAGAGTGACCTTTGCGTTTCACCGGTTTATTGGTGATGTGTTTTTTCCGCCCGATGAAGGCGCAGTGACGTGTTTCTCTGGCTTTTCTGAAGAAGAAAAAAACCACAGCTAAGATTCTGAACACACAACAACTAGAAAGCAGAGCAGCGGGAGACAGTTGGTGCTTCGCTGTGAGGACTCGAGCGCCTCCTTTTAAATAACGTGGAAGCGCCGTTAACGGCAGCTCGCCGGTCTCGTGCAGCGTCACGTCCTTCAGATGAGATGTGTGTGTGTTGGACAAGACGCTCGCGGTAACAGGTTTCACTTCCTGTGCACCGGGCCGGCTACACAGTCAGGCCGATTATCACACACACACGCACATGTGTGCGTGTGTTCTCCACCCTTCCTAGAATATTGAATCAAGTCTGCAGACGTCAGTTTGTCCTCAGACGGAGGATGGGTGGATGAAGGCAGGCAGAGGCCACCGGGGTCACGACCAGGCCACGTGCTGCCGACGGCACGTCCACCAGCCATTGTCTTCATGGTGTGATGTGAAATGTGTGCGCCTGTGTCTAAATGTTCCGATTTTTAATTTCCTGGTTGTGGTTATGCGAGTTTTGTCATCCGCTGTATGTCTTGCCACTTGTGTGTACCTGTTTGTGTGTGTCCAAAGATTACCTATGTTTATGTGGCTTTTGTCTTTGTGTGTTTGTGCGTGTGCCTGTTGTCTCAGCGTTGATCTCTGGCTGGCCTATGCTTCCCCAGACAGTCTGGTTGTAATGGCAGATGATGTCATGGCATGAATCACAAACAGTGACACATGCTCGGGTATAATAACAAGCCCCACCCCCACCTTTACAATGCACACGCACATACTCTCGACAAAGCCACATTACCTGCAACCTGAGCCTGATGCAGCCCCTCGTACACAGCCCGGAGAATGATCAATTGAATTAGAATTGTTAACCCTGCACCAACACCGCCCGGCCTCTATTATTACCTCCAACTTTTCTGTTCCTTTGCCGCCGTGTGTGTGTGTGAAGACGGTGACCTGCATCTCTTCACTGCAGTAACGCAATGAGTGACACTGTTTCTAAGCTACTCGTTCATATCTCCGTGTGCACGTAGCAGCTCTTTGCTACAGTTTCCATGACTAGCCCAACCCTTCTGATGAGGTTGGACTTTTGGGGTAATAAAATCTTCTTCTGAGGCAAATGACCACGGTTCGGAGATTTGGAGAAATGCTGTGTGTGCTTTTTCCGTTTGAACGACTAGGTTTTGCCCCATAACTCTCACTTGTGAGCTCCATTGTTTTCTGTGGGCTCATTGTTTCAGCGTGGTGAACAGACGGTATGTAACTAATACAATGATGTTCTTTAGATCAGTTTAAACACTTTTTAAAATATTTTTTTATTAAATAAGAATAATAATACATTGAATTTGTAATGCACTTTATATTTAAGCAAATCCCAAAGTGCTACATGATAAAACTGGTAAGCGCTAACAATAAAAACACAAAGAAGGTTAATATGTGCGTGATATTATGTTTAATACGTGGTTAGATGGTGCAACAACACTAGTTTTACTTTTTTTTTAAACTTTTTTTTTTTTAAAGGTTTTATTCAGTTCTTGGATCAGTTTTAGAAAACGACATTCAAATGGAGACACTCGTTTTGAGCCGCAATTTAACTGATAATATCAGCAACCTGGTTGACCGCTTTCTTTTTGTTCTATATATAGATCAATGTGCTACTAATTTCTTAAATGCTCGTTTTGTCTGATCTTTGTTAAAAAAATGTAAAACCGAAATTTTTTAAATTTAAGCTGCAACAATTATTTGATTATGCCAACAATGAACAAAGTTTTTTTTTTAATCTTTAATCAGATCATTTATTTGAGAGGGATGATGCACAATGACAATGTTTCATTCAAATAAAAGGCAACCGATGGTAACGAGGACAGGTAGCTGTAGCCAATATGCATTTAAGACATTTTCAGGCGTAAAACACAAAATACAGCCCACTGATACTTTAATAGAGACAATACAACAAACAACTACATACATGGTGAATTTGAAGTAATGCAGTTTGCAGCCAAATATTGAACTCTCACATTGAAGAAGTTCTATCCGACGTCGCCAGCTCAGCAGATCAATTAATGAGCTCATTGTTTCAGCACTGGTTTAACTACTGATGGTCCATTTCTTTTTATGGGACATTTGCGTGTAATTTAACTATTACAATGGCAGTTAGTGTAATTGATGGATCAGTTTCTGCCCGCTGGGTGGTCTCCTCTCTGCAGACGCTTTATGCAGCATATCCTACGGCCTCTATGCGGATTACAACCTTGTTTTTGTCTGACGGTGAATCCTGGTTTTCCCTCCTCTGGTTTTGTCTCTGCTCCAGTCCGCCTCCCCGTACACGCACATCGATACCTCTCAGTCTGCTGCTATGATCCCTCCACTCCCCCCTGGGGGCTTTGCTCTATGTGGGGAGAGAGCGGGGGGGGCAATGGAACTTCCTGTACACTAGCCTTTCTCTTCCTAATGGAGCTGACCCATGAAACTGAACACTTTAACATGGAACAGGAGCATGTGCATGAACGCTTACATGTGATCGAGATACTGCTTGTTCTAATCGAATCTGTGCAGTAGCAGAGCGGGAAGCGTTAGATATAAATCCAGCTTGATTGATCAATTGTTTCATCTAGAGAATTTCCAAAGAGCCCAAGATGATTTCTAGAAATGTTTTTTTTGTCTGTCTAAAAATCGAAATACTAAATTCACAATTGGGCGTCCGCTGATTATTTATACCATGGGATAATTTTACATACATACAAATATAAATAAGTCAATACTGAACGATTATGATCAGCAAATAACAACCATTTTAATTATTAATAACTTTGGTCAGAAGGTTTTTTGATTTAAAACGTATCTTTGGTAAAATGTCAAAGTTTTTAAATATTCTACATTCAGTTCATCATTACTTGTTAAATAGAACAACCACTAAATCTTCTAAACTGAGAAGCTAGAAAATATTTGGATATAACTTTTGTGCTCAAAAAAGACAATGACGAGCACTAATTAATGACATTAGCTGGATTAGCCAAAATATGCACTTCAAATTGACAATTATTTCTGAATTGATTTTTCCTGTGTTGCAATTTGAAAATATACAGTCTATTTGCATCAGAATTTGCCTTCTATTGTAAACCGGAACGGTAACCAATTGTTACTCAGTTACCGGATGATAAGAATAGAAAATAAGCTTTGTCTTTTAGCGGTAACGTTGGCAGTCCATTCATGACTTGTTGTTGGAGAGTTTCCCAGCAGCTGTAATCTTTGTGTTCTTATTCTAAGTCAAATGAATCTGTGTTTGTGTCGGTGAATCCGTTCTCTCGAGGGTCCGTCGGTGCACAATCACAGTGATGGTGATTCCCTTTTTTTTTTTTTTTCCACTCCGTTGCTTTCACTTTGCCAGCGCTTACTTCAGTCTCTGACGCCAACTGTACCGACCACGCTGCATCCATCGGCCATTAGAGTCGGGTTTCAGTGGCACTGTAAATACTCTGAGCCGTAGTCACACCTGCACATGCTGCGCATTCAGTCCTCCGTCGAGCAGAACTCAGATTCACTGGCAGCATCTTCTCTTCTCCAAACGTCCCTCGGTCAAATAGATTTATTATGTTTCTCCTATGGAAGTGTAACTCATTTATGATCCGCGCGGACGAGGACACAGCTAATGAGTATTTGATTTAGTTTGACAATCATTTGTTTTCTTCAGAAAAAAAAAGTTGTCTGAGACAACCGTACCGCATTTGCATTACCCTCTTCAATTTCTCTGTCTATTTAATCAGAATCCCGAAGCTTTTCAGTTTATTGCCGCGTTGGAAGCTGGAACAAAGGAAAATATTGACCTCAGGCAACGGGAAATAATTGTTCTCGTATGAATCCACTAATGTTCCAGCTCCACCAGCACGTCTTGGGTTGTGGCTCAGCTGCTATCCAGCAGCTCGCCTGGTTCCCTTAGAACGGTTGCATGCGTTGTATTTGAAATCGCTTTCAATTGGTCCTGTGGTTCAAACGGCATTCAGATGAGTGTCTCTCTCTGTGTCTCATCCTGACATTGTTGCAGAGGGACGACACTTGTTGCATGTGGGCCGCTCGCAAACGGGCCAACTATTTGGCAGACGGAGTCGAGGGAAACCCCCGTACTTTCAGCGTGGTGACTCACCGCTCCTGGTGTCCTGTGGAATTTGGTCAAGTGCCTATTTGTGAGATGCATATTCTCTCGACCGCAATCTACTTCTGCTTTGATGTGCAATTTGTTTTCCTTCCATGTAGGGTTTATTCAATGCGGCTTATTTATAACTCTTAGGTCTTGTGAGTGTGCATCAAAACAGAAATGACGTGCATGAGACCAGAGCCGGGGTTTCACATTTTCCAGCTACTGCTTTTTCTTCTCTTTTTTTTTAATCTACGGGCATCTGAATGTTGTTAATGAATCGCAATTTGAATCCAAAACAGATCTGGGAGAACTAGGGGGTATTTTATAATCCCCCCAGGGAAGAATTTCACTTTCAAATTCAACCAGTGGACTTAAACTTGAGACGGAGGGGACATCCTGCCTGTCTCTGCATCTTTGTTGTGTCAGAGCACAAGAATGCATAAAGCTCTGCCTGCGCTGACCTTTTAACTCTCCTTACATTCCTAAACCATGGGGCGGGAGGGGGCAACGTTCTGCCATCATACTGCCCCACTTTACTATACGCCAGCGTAATTCCATCACTCTCATGTGAACAGGCCTGGCGTTTGTGCCGGCAGAGTAAATATTAGGCTGTGCTTCTGTCCACCGCTCCTCCTCTCCTTCCCGCCCAGACGTTTTCTTTTTCTCCCCCTCCAAGTCTGCTCTGGGTGCTATAATAGTGTCCCAACTGACAGCATTCCTGCAGGAGGGCACGGCCTGAGGGAGGGGGTGGTTTTTTGTCCTCCTCTCGTAGACCTGGTGAAGCCACACCCTCTCCACTTTCTCCCACCTAAAGCCACATCTTCTGTGCGACCAGTTCCACCCTCAGGAGTCCCCCTCGAGAAATCACTACAAGAGACCATTTTAAAGGCGCATGTCATTCCATTTATGCACAGATGATATTTGACGTGTCTTTCAGCTTAATTTGAGCTTGAATAATTGCTTTGAGTAGATTCATCTGTTGCGTGCAGCCAGATTTTACACAAAGATGCAGGTGGAAATCTTAATATTACGACATTGCAGCGTAAAACTTTCATATGTTCTCTATTTTCCTGCATTCCAAGCAGCCGCTATTACTCACTAAAAAATGACCAGCTGTGATGAAAATGATGCATGACTTGTAGTTGCAGCTGAAACAAATATATGCAGTGTTAGTTTTCCATCCGTCTTTGCCTGTACTTGCTGCTTTGACGTCATTAAATGTGACCCTGGCCTCGTTTAGGTGCATCGTGCCAGGTGTTGCCATAGTACACAGTTTCAGTCGAGGACACGTCAGCGGTGCAGAAAAGGTTCTTATCCTCCGAAGTCAAAGGAGCTCACGTCTCACCTCTCCTCACGTGTCTTATCACTCAGGTGCAGAAGCAGGTCCACCCAAACCTCACGGCAAAGGAGGATGCCCTGCAGCACATCGAGGAGCTGATCCTGCAGCTGCTCAACATGCTGTGTGTGGCCCAGCCTCGCTCCGTGCATGACGTAGAAGTAAGAGGGCGTCTAAATGCATATTCAGAGTGTTGCAAATTGACTAAATGTAAGGCCATTTTGGAGAACACGTGCTACCACGGCAGCATCCCACTCAGCCAATTGAATACTTGCAGCTTTCAAGCGCCGTAAGCTTCCAAGTTGATCAAGTGTTAAGTTGGTCATATACTTTCTCTTTCAGGAACGGGTCCAGAAAACCTTTCCCCATCCGATAGATAAGTGGGCGATTGCCGACGCCCAGTCAGCGATTGAGAAACGCAAGAGGAGAAACCCTTTACTTCTGCCTGTGGAGAAGATTCACCCTCTGCTCAGGGTAAAGATTCCTCCCAACTCCAAAATGAAGCATTCCCATTGCTACTTTTTTCTCATTCAGGGAACTGTTTAGGTTGAAAGGCACATTTCAGTAGACAGAGTCTGGACAGTATCCGGGTTCACCATCTTGTTAGACGGCAGTTGTTGTGAAATATTTTTAATCAGAGTTACCTTACTCGTGTTGGCGGCTCGTTTCAGTCCTGCATTGTCTGAGCACCGCAAAACGCAACCTCCACCGAGCCGCCTGCTCTTATGACCAATTAGTTCTGCAACCCAACACAAGATCCACGGCACTAAACTAAATTCCCTGTGTGGATGTGGTCTGCCGGCATGTTGAAGTCTTTGTCGCCATACATGCAAAATAATTCCATTGATATTGTTAACTATGTTGTTTCTCCCCAACAGGAGGTTTTGGGCTATAAAGTGGACTACAATGTGTCCCTGTACATCGTGGCTGTGCTTGAATACATATCGGCAGACATACTGAAACTGGCGGGAAACTACGTGGGCAACATTCGGCACTATGAAATCAGCCAGCAGGACATCAAGGTGTCCATGTGTGCAGACAAGGTGAGAACATGCGAGGAGGAGAGCAGCTGACGCAGAGTCTGATGGATGCTGGTTTTGGGCCCGTGCGAAACCTCACGTGGGACAAATGGCTTTGACTCTCGAGTCTTTGTTTCCAGGTGTTGATGGACATGTTCGACCAGGAGGAGGACATCGGCTTGATGTCCCAGTGCACCGAGGAGCCGTCGTCCTCCGGGGAGTTCACGTACGACGACCTGGTGAGGCTCGAAATCGCAGAGGAGCGGCAATACCTGCGAGAGCTCGACCTGATCATCAAGGTGTTCCGCCAGCACTTCCTCTCCAACCCCAAAATCTTTACGCCTCAGGTGAGGAAGACCGGCACACTCAATTAAAAAGACTAGACTTGAATCATGGCCATCCTCTTTGACACACATTCCTTTCATTGACTACTAAAGCCACCAGGCGACTGCATGTGGGTTGGTTTGTAATACACAGATGTCAGAGTTTATTTAGTACAAAGAGTATATTTACAGTCTCACAGATTCATTCATTCATTCATTATTCATGATGTGGTTCCACCTCAACCTCCAGGCATCATTTTGCCTTATTTGATAGAATAGGAGCCCAATTACTGCGATAGCTTTAAGTGAAGTTACTGACAATAATGCTGCACTTAATAAATAATGAGCACATTTAATTGATTTAATGGAGAATATTGCTATTAACGCAAAAAACAAAGGTCAATGACCCATTGCAAGATGACACCCGCCCCATCCCAACGGATTTATAGATAAATACCAATTCATGTATTCCTTAACCTGGCACCTACACTACCCACAATGCAACTCAAATCTGCCTGTAAACAGTCGTTGATGTGTAAAATCAGTGGAGATGCCCTTTTTAAGTAGGGTAATTAATCCAGCACCAGACTTTCCGAGCCGGTTTAAAGATTCAGACCTTTCTCTTCCCTCCAACCTGTTCATCACCTTTCCGCTCGTCTGTAGGATGTGGAGGTGATCTTCAGCAACATCCTGGACATCCACGAGCTGACGGTGAAGCTGCTCGGACTGATCGAGGACGCCGTGGAGATGACGGCGGATGGCAGCCCTCATCCGCTGGTGGGAAGCTGCTTCGAGGATCTAGCAGAGGTACGACCCTTTTCTGACCTGAAAACCGTTGGACTTGTTCTGTTTGTGATGCTAAAAAAAAACAAAAAGTGTTAAGAGTTGCATTTCTGATTTAAAACATCTTCACTGTTTGTTCCATCAAAAGCAAAATGCCTTGCTGTAAATTAGCAGCTTAATAACTAATACGTGTTCAAATACAGGCAGCTAATGTTGAGCACATGATACACGCTGGTATCTGACGTAGCGCTCGCATCGAGGCCTCCTCATCGTAGCGTAATAATACCGTCAGGTGTGGACGCTAACTGGTGACTCATTGCCTTCTCGTCGATAGGAGCAGGCGTTTGACCCCTACGAGACCCTGTCTCAGGATATCCTCAGTAAGGATTTCCACGAGCACTTCAACAACCTGATGGCACGGTCAACCGCCGGCCTCTACTTCCAGGTAAGGTGTTCGGTGGTCTGGACTCTTCTAGCAAACGCAACGCAGAAAAGTTTCATTAGTATTCAAATAATGACTATAATGTACTACGGCATGTCACAATTTTGAAAGTAGTAACAGGAATCCTTTTCTAATGTGTGGTTGGAAGGAATTAACACTTTAATAAATGGTTGGTATTATAAATAGTACATCATATTTAAGTGTTAACAGCGTTACTGAAGCATATTTTAAGTTATTTTTCGATGTCAACGACTTGTAATTTCCAGCCTTTACAGCCGTTGTGAGTCCAGCTGCTGTCATTCTCAAACACAAACTTTCCTATAAAGACAAAACAAACAAAATGCCATAAACCTGAAAAGAGAAGTTTCCTTTTTAAATATAAAGGCGTATCATATAAAGTGGGTCATTCATGTGTTCAAACGGTGCGTGAATACATGTTCCTGTTTTGCTGTGAAGGGGACCTGCTGGAATCGTCTGAGAGCAAGTCATGACATATCCAGCGTCCTGTGTACACTTTATTCACTGCTGCCGCATTGTTTTATTTGGACATTCTTCACAAGAATAGCATTGAATTATGCTCAATGGGGTGCAGCTCGGCCGCCTTTTGAAGATGAAATATTTTCTGGTGTTTTCTCAGGCCGGAGCCCAGCGAGTCACACCGTTCACATGGGCCGCCGTTTCAGACTGCGTTTATTGTGCGAGTGGCGGGGGGGGTGGGGGGGGCCGTTGCCATTCCTCGAGTTTCTCAACAACAATCTTCTACTTTATCGGATGGATATGAAGTTCTTCTGTTCCTGGTCTTAGGAGGGTCTTAAGGTCAACCGTGTGCCGGTCACGGCAGAAGCGATGGAGCGTCTCGCCGCTCACTCCTCCGACCACTAGTCTACACGCCAATGGCACTGTCCTCCGATTGCCAACGCCCACTGTTTATTTTCATACACTCATTGTACGCGAGTGGGGGGGGGGGGGCGGGGGGAGGAGGCCGCAGGAGTTAAAAATACAGCTTTATTTTTGCGCTGCGGTTTTCGTTTAAAAACACCTTACATTGTTTCACTTGGTGTTTTTCTATGAACAGCGTGTGACCTGAAACGCGTCTTTGAGTCCATTCATCCATCTTCACACCGCTTATCCTGCACACAGGGTTGTCTGAGTACCGATGCTTATTCTAGATACGGATCATAAATTTATTAGTTAATGGACAGAAAATAATCAAAACAACAGTTATGGGGCAGTCCGTTTTTTTTTAAGCAAAACATTTATTGATTCATACGCCAAGTTCCTGCTCAGAAAAAACAATTAATAATGAAAATATTTTGTATTTCAGCAAATTAATGATTCAGCTCTGATTTTAAAGCTTAATCTATTGGAAAAAAAGTAATTGGCAATAGTACTCTTATTTTAGGTGGTGGTACAATTACCAAACATTATTTGTTTGGTAATTCACATTAATTTCCTATGACTGTTGTTTCCTTTTGAATCATATGATGGTAGAATTCATTTCTTATTTGAAGATATTAATTAACTTGGTATCTTTAATTAACCATCAATCATTGCGATTGCTAAGCTGATTGTTTTCTCCATTAATAAAGAAAAAAACGCCATCATATTTTCCAAAGTGACTTCATCTTCAAAAAGGTTATTTCGTCTGGACGACAATCCATAAATCAAACCTTCATTCACTGCCATCATGATACGGGCCGATCGATTTCAGCGGACTGACCAATGACATCATCTCTGTAGGAAACCTTTAGAAATGTATAACCGGTCAAAGGTCGATGTACTATCGTGCAAACCAGAGAAAGCCATCAAGTCGCCACATTTGAGAAGCTGCACCCACTGATTGGTTCATCTTACCTAAGCACCTCTCACTCTGCGTTCTGGCTCGATGGTCGTTCCTCTTCATTTTTATTTTTATTACCGTATTTTCCGCACAATACGGCGCACCGGATTATAAGGCGCACCTTCAATGAATGACTTATTATAGAACATTTTTCATATATAGACGCAGAAGATCCTGCAGTCAAACGTTTGACGTCGGGGGGGAGGTGGAGACGGTGCTTCCAGGGTCCGATCGATGCTGCGAGGTTCATAGCACAATACCGCCATTATTAAAACGAAGAATGTTTACGAGAGAACGGATCAGATCGAAGAACTTTTGTCGGAAGAAATGCGTAAATATGGCCGCTTATACAAGCCGTCATTGGCGGACTATAAGGACGCGCGGACGGCTTCCCGGTTCACGGAGGAAGATCTCCACAAACGTCGGTTTGCCGGTCGAGAGGAACAAAGTCGTGGAGGAAAATACGGGACAAATGTGTCCGCAATGAAAAACAGCAGCGTCGATGCACGGGGCAATAAAGTCTATGATAAATAAATAAACAAACTATCGACTTCCACACACAAAGACGTGACTCTCTAGGTCGTCTTCAACAAAACACGTTACTCCACCTGTTGTTCTGGCGGTGAATCGCTCTGCAACACACGCAAGACTTTTAGAACCATGAATTGAAACAAGTGCGTCGACGCAACGACGCAGAAACATGCGCCAGCCTTTAGAATAAAGTTAAGATGGTTCAGTTACTGTAGAGAAAAGGGCGCCGTCTCTCACTCTTTAATCTCATGAAGTGCTCGACGAGAACGACAGCTTTGTTTCTCCGACGCGCCCTGAAACAAGCTCCATATCTCACGCGCTTGAGCGCCGCTCAGCATCTCGCCGTCGTAGACCGAGCTTTGGCATGTTTGGCAGAGCGCCTTGCGCGCCGTGTACAACCAGCATGGATCAACCCATTAACCAATTGATCCATATATATATATATATATATATATATATATATATATATATAAGGCGCTCCGGATTATAAAGGCGCAGGGTCGTTTGTTTGAGAAAATTATAGGCTTTTAAATGCGCCTTATAGTGCGGAAAATACTATCTCATGCGCGTTGTCCTCCTCGCCACCCGGTGTAACTGCTCCCATACATCACCACGTCTGCGGTGGTTCAGATCGAACCCCCGGGTGGCATCACCCTCGGCTCCTGTGCTCGGCCTCTCCAGCTTTTGTCTCATTGCGTGTGCTCCGTCTTCCTCACTCCATCCTTCCTGACCCCCCCCCCCGCCCTCCGTCAGATGGATGTGTCTGTCGAGCACTCAGCCCCTGAACTCCACAGCGTCTGGCATTGTGGGTAAATTACATCGCCTTTATAAAAATAGAACAGGCTGCCACACTGCAGGCCATTTCTCTCCTGGGGAGGGAGAAGTGGAAGAAGAAGAAGAAGAGGAGGGGAGGGGAGGGGGCTGGTGGCTCGCAGCGCTTTTCATGTTGAAAATAAGCTGTGGATTAAGACGGCAAAAGACCAGCGGCGTGAGCGAGACGTGGACGCGTTGTTCTCCGAGTGGCTCTGCGCCGTATTCTTACCGCGCTTTGTGTTCGTAGTCGGGCTGCCGACGCGGTGACGCGTGCTCCTGCAGAGACTCGTCTCAACACGTTACCCAACACAGTATCGACTTCATTTCCAGTCTATCTGCTCGGATCAGAGGTCCCTCAGTCTTGACATTTTGAAATGCGTGTGTTGGGTTGAGAAGCTACATTGGCTCATCAAGCATTTTGTACTCAAATAGCATTTTTGTCAAGGATACCTTTTAAGTTTAGCTGTTAAAACCTATAAGAAAAAAGATGATTTAATACAAAGTGGCTTAGAATAAGCTTACAAAGTGACTTATATCACATTAATATTTCACTGCATATCATTTTTTGGACTATTTTTGTGGAGAAAAACCCACCATGACTTTCCCACTACACTTTATATAATAATACTAATAATTCATCTTTTTTTACTACCAAAACTTTCATTCATTGTTCAATCAATCCCAACTAGAGTCGGACATTTTTGAAAATTCATTTTTGTTTAATTCAGATGAGAAGATCAACACCATTGTCAATAATACTATTGATTTTAGCTACAGCTAGAAGCCAGTTAGCTTAGCGAAAACGCTAGAAGCAACATGTCCTGTGTCTCACATTTAAGGTGAATCGCAAGTTCCTTGAGTGTATAACTATATAAAAACCTTGTGGCGCTCTAAAGCATGCTGGCCGTCTGTGAAGCTGCAGGTTGCTGATGTATCAAAACGCCTCTAAACTTAGGTCATTGTTCCCCCGGCTGTCCATCAGCCTGCGTCGGCCAGCTGATGTCTGTCTTTTGTTTTCCGTGCACACGGCCTCTGTTCATTCCCTCCCGCGGCCGCTGCTGTGGCGTCTGAGTAGCGGCAGCGTATTGATTCTGAGTCGTCTATCAGGGGAACGGGAGGTTTAAATGGATACTGTGACGGCCTCCTCTCCGGTTACCCTGAAGCCGCCTCTCCCTCGTCCTTGCTCGCCACCCCGCAGCCTCCTTCACTCTCTTACGTTATGAAACGTGCACATTTCAATAACCTCGTGTGCACAGCTCTGCTTTTATCATGTGCAGTGTGTTGGACTACTGTATTGCAACATTTCTTTTATTCTATCAAGAGGAGCTGTATTTTGTGGTTATTTTTTTTATCATTGTGGTCACATCTTAGTCGCGGCATCATTGTGCACCATGTGAACGTGTAAATAAAACAAACTCTGTAATGGCTTCTTCACAGGCCACAAATACCTGACACAGGTGGGAATACACTGATTTAACATGAGACGTTTCATATAGATTGGATTTATTTTGTATATTCGTAACATTTTTGTTTCAAGCTTCTGAGTGCGAATCAAGGATTTTGGATTTGGGGTGTTCTGATATAATATAGAGGGATATATATATATGTATATATGTGTGTGTTAATTATGTTTGTTTTGTATATGTATACAGTTTTGTTTACATTCTCCCTCTTTCTTTCTACTGCGCTACATTAACATTTCAAGGATAATTAATCTACCAAACCAGAGATAAAATGCACAATAAACAAAGGTACAGGCTGATATTGTTAATATTGTTATTCGTTTTTACATTTTCTATATAATATAGTAATAATAATGAATTATTTCATATGACTGTAATTATAATCCATAATCTCGTTGAAATGGGATTTTCCGCAGCCCTCAACAGTCTTCATTATAATCCAACCAGAAGTAGAAGTTGACTAACGTATCGAACCGAAAACATGACCTTTAACCGAGTAAACTCTCTGCCGCATGCTGGTTGGTTCAAATATGTCCGTGTCCATCACTAACAGTTCTTCTGTGTCTCCAGTCAGTTGCAGATGGCTTCAAAGAGGCAGTCCAGTACGTCCTTCCACAGCTGATGATGGTCCCAGTATACCACTGCATGCACTACTTTGAGCTGCTACAGGTACTCGCGCTGCGCAAACAGGAGATTTTTACTTTTCGCTGTTTTAGTTTTCAATACATTCTTTTTTTTCCGCTAATTATTATGCTGCTTAGCTTTTAATGGTAAACATTCTGGATGGACATTTTGTGGCATAATCATGCCTGATTCAAAGCGTTTGCTCAAGGATCCAGCCATAAACAAAGCTAAAAACAAAAGAAAATCTAATTACCAACTCTGTTAAGAATGTCACACAGACACATTTTCTCAACCAGAAGATATTTAGCTGAGCCAAGTTGTCCGTTGCTGATAATATCAGTAACACGCGTGCAGTCGCTGCTGTGACCAACCTTTAGATGCATCATGAAAATGCAGCAACATGTCTTATGTGGGTTTTTTTTATGTGTGTCTGGCATTTTTGCAGCAACTTCAGGAGCGCAGTCAAGACCAAGATGACCGCGAATGTCTGAAACAGGCGATCACAGCGCTGCTTAATCTCCAATGTAGCGTGGAGCGCATATATGCCAAGCACCAGCCTCGCCGCAAACCCGGGTACGCCTCACCATCCATTCTGTCCACCGGGTATTGAATGTGCCGATGACCAAATGGCAGAAAGTAGATTTTGTAGTTCAGCAGCTGTATCGCAAACCTGTTCTCGCATGAAAGCAGCAGCAGGGCCTCAGACAGAGCTGTGATATTCCAGTGGTTTGATGTTTGCAGTGGTTTGATGTTTGCATTGATCTCTTTGGTCTTCGCTCATCCCTCACAGGGAGCCCATGTACCGCCTGTACAGCAGGCAGGTCCGTAGCAAACAGCTCGCCATCAAACGCATGAACGAGATCCAGAAGAGCATCGACGGCTGGGAGGGGAAAGACATCGGTCAGTGCTGCAGCGAGTTCATCCTGGAGGGGCCGCTCGTACGAGCCGGCGCCAAGCACGAGAGGCACAACTTCCTGTTCGACGGCCTGATGATAAGCTGCAAGGCCAACCAGAGCTCACGGCTTCCGGGTTCGGGCAGCGGCGCGGAGTACCGCCTAAAGGAGAAGTTTGTGCTGAGGAAGATCCGCATCGTGGATCGCGAGGACTCTGGGGATCAGCGGCACGCCTTTGAACTGATAGGAAAGGATGAGAACTGCGCCGTTTTCTGCGCACGGACGGCGGAGGACAAGGCGGCGTGGATGGCGGGGCTGGTGACTCTGCAGTACCGCTCCACTTTGGATCGCATGTTGGACACGGTGCTGCAGCACGAGGAGCAGGCGCACCCTTTAAGACTGCCCTCGCCGGAGGTTTACCGCTTTGCCGTGCAGGACTCTGAGGAGAATATTGTGTTTGAGGACAAAGTGCAGAGCAAAACGGGCATCCCCATCATTAAGGCCGGCACGGTGGTCAAGCTTATAGAGAGACTCACCTACCATATGTATGCAGGTAAGCTGCTGCAATAGACCACCCAGTCATTTGAGATATTTACACTTTGTCAACTCGGATGTTTAATTATGCAAGGATAAATTGTGTTGTTTTCATTTGTCTGTCTGCTATCTAATCTGTTTCATCTGTTTGTAGATCCTAACTTTGTGCGCACGTTTCTTACAACATACCGATCATTCTGCAAACCACAAGGGCTTCTCACCCTGCTGATAGACAGGTATGATTTAACCAGTGCGCTGCTCACTGCGGTGGATGTTTGTTGTTATTGTTGAGAGAGGAATACGTCAAACTGTCTCTTTCTGCACAGTGTATCCGTCAAAGAGGTGGTGGTGTGGGTGCCCTGACATCTTGAAATATCACACGTCTGATGGTTCTTTCCCTTTTTAGGATTGAGATCCCTGAGCCAGAACCGACTGAGGAGGACCGCCAGGCTCTCTGGAACGGCGACCAGCCAATGGCGGCCGAGCTCCAGAGATTTCGCAAGGAGTACGTGCAGCCAGTCCAACTCAGGTACAGCGACCGTCTGATCCCAGCTGATTGTCAGACAAAACCACTTTGAGAAGCGCAGTGAATAGAATTTGTAAATACCTCGTCGCTAATTGAAGGGCAGGTGCGTAGGATTTAGGAGGCGGATTGCAACCAACCCAAACTAAACGAGATCCGCCAAGTGCACAAACGTGATAACTGATCAGCAGGACCGTTGGCTCGCCTACCCCAGGGGCAACAAAACGCAGACGGTGGCTGACTTCTCTGCGGTTTTTACATTTGGCTAATCTAACGAGAGCCCACTTGAGCTGGTGTTTGGTTAAACATGGCGGACGCCGGTGAAGATATGATGACTAAGCAATGAAAAAGACCAAGATTGTGGTTTTTACACTAATAAAAACATTTCTTCTCAGTTTTATATTAGATTTCTGAAGATACATCTCATAAATCCTATGAAATGGCCACTTATTATATGAAAGTAAAGAAGAAGTTAGGCATATTTAGAACGAATGGGGGCCATGAGACAAGGAAAAATAAGGCTGTGGTAGAGTTGGGTTTATTTCTCACCTCATCTTAAATCTGCAGGGATCAACTTGAATTGCGTTTTGTTTTGAAAAGTTACTTTTGCAGGTGGAGTTACACAATTTGTTACATAATAATGTTTTTGTCTCGAGTCTATTCCCGTCGCTAAACGTGTAGACTAAATGTAAAAAGTTGTTCTCAGCTGCTTTCTTCCTATTTTCCGGTAAGGCCTTTCAAAATGCACAAAAGAGCTTGTTTCTCTTTTGTCTCCTGTTGTTGTTTGGCTCTTTCACATTCTCCTGTTAAGGCCTGAACCTTCTCAGTGAGCCACAGAATTACTTTTGCATTAGGCTCTGTGTCCTTATAAGGAGCGACCGTCGGGAATAGTCCCGTAAGTACCATTAAAAACTCCGAGCTTCTCGGTATCAGACCGCTGCTGCAATTGAGAGCAGACGCAATAAACTCCCTTCAACTTTAGTCATAGAAACGGTTGAAGCACGAGACAGCAGTTTCACATTGTGAAGTCTGCATGTATTCTTCATCCCGGGTTTTGTAACACATCCAAAGATAGCAGTCGGTGATAAGGCTGCGTTCAGAACAGACACTATAACTCTGATAATAATAATCTTTCTGTATTCAAACAGTTACAATGAGGTTCAGCAGTCTACTTTAAATACAGGAGACTAAACACACATGAAAATAACTCTTCAGACAAAGCTTTCGCCCTCTTAAATAAAGTTTCTATTTTTAAATACCCACTCTGTAAAATGGTGAACTGACAGCGTGAAGAGTAAACACTGGCCAGCAGCCAAAAACTGTTAAATGAAGGACTGCAAGGTCTGCAAATTGTGTCAATTCCACCAAGCGCTCTGTCACTCATCTACTCTTTGATTAATCTAAAGTAACAATTCAGTTGCTCGAGCTCCGCTGCATGTGCAATGGTTGCCGTGGATGCACCTGGCACACGGTTGGCATTTTGATCCTGCGTGTGTGTGTTTCACAATCATTATGAAGTTAGTTGTTTGTTTGTTTTGTTTTTAAACTATGTTGAAAATCTCAGCCAATGACATGTTTTTATCCCTCATTCTTTTCCCCACCAACTGTCCAATAAAGGCAAAAAGAGAGAACAACTAATTTTGCAACAAAACGTTTGGGGTGGGGATGTTTATTTACGTTTAGTTTTACAGAAAATATTGTGGCGTCGACAGTTTTTACAACTACTACTTTTACAAACTGAAGGTGTGACATACTGCACGTGGGGAGGAGGACATTTATATATATTAATATTAATTAATTTATACATTAATACTGTAATTGTGTTGTCGTGCAGGGTTCTCAACGTTTTCCGTCAGTGGGTCGAACATCACTTCTACGACTTTGAGAACGATCCAGAGCTGAGAAGTCGACTGGAGGAGTACATCTCCACCAAGATTCAGCTGAGAGGTCACAACTACACACCGTTCAAATGTCTTTACTTAACTAACTTTGCTCAATTTAGAGTGTCAATAAAGTGTTGTACGCTTGAGGTAATCTCCCCAATCATTATTCAATTTGAAAAAAATGCATGCAACATTAATTAAGCAACCTTCATTTGGGTTTGTTAACACCTGCTTCGACAAGATTTTAACCCTTTGTTTTCTTTTTAGGCAAGTCCATGAGAAAGTGGGTGGAGTCGATCAATAAGATCATCAGGAGGAAGCTGCAGACGCAGTCAAATGGCGTTAGCCACAACATCACCTTCGAGAGCCCGCCTCCTCCCATCGAGTGGCACATCTGCAGAGTGGGTCACGTGGACACGTTTGACCTCATGACCCTTCATCCCATAGAGATCGCACGGCAGCTGACTCTGCTCGAGTCCGAGCTTTACAGGTGGGCATAATTAGGTCTTGTACTTTTGCGTTTTCTTCTGCTGGAGATGAGATATTTGTTTGATCTTTGGATCAAAATAGTTTCCTCGTCTTAGATAATTTAATAATATTTGTGTTCCTCATCAGAGCCGTCCGGCCGTCGGAGCTGGTCGGCAGCGTTTGGACCAAAGAGGACAAAGAGAAGAACTCGCCGAACCTGCTGCGCATGATCCGCCACACCACCAACCTCACACTGTGGTTCGAGAAGTGAGTCTCAGGATCCAAACATCCTGTTTACGATCACATGCCGAATTGGTTTTTAAAGTCAAACAACGTTTGTGTTGTCTACCTGTGTGTGTCGTTGTCAGGTGCATCGTAGAGACGATGAACCTGGAAGAGCGGGTGGCCGTGTTATCGCGCGTCATTGAGATTCTGCAGGTTTTCCAGGAGCTCAACAACTTTAACGGCGTGCTGGAGGTGGTCAGTGCCATCAACTCCGTCCCAGTCTACAGGCTGGATCACACCTTCGAGGTGAGGGAAACTGTTGGAGCCATCAGGAGAAACATGTATTTAACTAATACTTTTAAACCGCTGGAGATGAATAATAAAATCCCACCAATGAGCTTTTTTTTAGATCTTTACTTTGGGACTGGTACGACAAAAAACAAACAACATTTGACCTTTTGGACATGGGAAAGTCCATGTTTAGCCTAAATCAAAAGGGATAATAATCTGTATTTACTGAGGCTTTTTAAAGGAAACACACATTTTTTTTTAGTCATTTAGAACGGCCTTTGTTTTTATTGGGGGGGGGGGGGTTTATTGACAACATGCACACTGTTGGCTGTGTTGAGATGCTGTTGTTTCGCCTTATATCAACCTTATTCAATTAGCTATTGAGAAATATCTCTTTATAGTTTTGGCATGCATTTTAACTGTTAACTTGCTCAGACCATCATTCATGGGACCTTTACTCCCTTCTGTCCCGCAGGCGATACCAGAGAGGAAAAGGAAAATCCTGGAAGAGGCTGTGGAACTGAGCCAGGACCACTTTAAGAAATACTTGCTTAAACTCAAGTCAATAAACCCACCCTGTGTGCCTTTTTTTGGTAAGTCTTCTACAGTAGTGTCACCCTTATTTATGTTCACCCCAGTAAGCGGCTCCGGTTTCTTCATGCCTGTATTTTGAACCATGTTCTACCATATAACTCGTCTAGGTATATATTTAACCAACATCCTGAAGACGGAGGAGGGCAACCCAGACTTCCTCAAGCGCCACGGCAAGGAGCTGATCAATTTCAGCAAGAGGAGGAAAGTGGCCGAAATCACAGGAGAGATCCAGCAGTATCAGAACCAGCCCTACTGTCTGAAGGTGGAGCACGACATCAGGGTGAGCGCTCGCTACCGTCATCTTCCCTCTCCAAAAGGTCTCGCCAATCCTTAACTTAAAACATCCTCCTCTCTGATGTTGTCGTTTTCTTGCACAGAGGTTCTTTGAGAACCTGAACCCGATGGACAACAGGAGCGAGAAGGAGTTTTCCGACTACCTGTTCAAAATGTCTCTGGATATTGAGCCACGGAATTGCAGGCAGGCTCCTCGATTTGTAAGTGTCCATACTGCATTTTTTCTGTGCCCTGAAGTGAGTCCCGAATACACAGTCACCGCAGAGAGGAGAAGGAAAAAAACGACAAATTTGTCAAACAGACGTTTGACTGGTACTGTGTTGTTGACACATTCGTCAGCATTATCATTTGTCGGAGCTGAAATGAGGAATTATCAAGCTTCACTTTGTGATGCAAAAGGCTGTTCAGACTCAATACTTGCGGTAGAATCCGCTCTGGTTTCTCTAGTTTGACCACTCTGACTACAGGATACTCCTTTGTGATAAAACCAGGCATCCCGGAGTACATCGTTTTTTTGCCCGCTGCAGTCTTAACAATTTGGCTTGACGCAAGGAGACATTTAGAATGGCAAAGGTTATAGTGGGCAGTTTGCAAGAGGAAGAGAGTCCGTTGCATCGGCCGTCTAATCGTCCCCGTGTCCTCGTCCTGCAGCCCAGGAAGACCGTGTACCCACTGAAGTCCCCCGGGATCCGGCCCGTGCGAACGTCTACCTCCGGCACCCTGAAGTGCCACCCCGTCCCCCTGGAGAGGGAGCCCCCGCATAAGATCACCTTCCGCAGCATCGCCGAGACGGAACCGGAGCTGCCGGCGTCGGCCTCGGTGCCCACCTCCCCGAACACGCCGACCCCCCCACAGTCGGCCTCCTCCGACCTCAGCTCGGTCTTCATTGATCACGACCTCAGCAGCTCGTATGGCGGTGAGTTGAGCGTTGGCTTCAGACCGAATGCATTGCGTGACTTCTAGCTGCGGTGGGCTGCGTGATGGAGGCGTGGCTGTTTTTAGCATTGCAAAGAATGAACGTTTAACTGTGGCTAAATGGACAGTTCTGTTTCTGCCTGAGAGCAGGCCCCTTTCTTCAGAAATCAATCATCTTCTCCGTCTTTAAATTTTACAGGTAGCAACTCCATATTTGCTCCTGTCCTTCTTCCGCCTTCAAGTGAGTTGTGGCTTTTCTGTTGTCAATGAATTATTTTTTTATTTTTTTCCTGATTGCTTTCTTTCCCGAGAATCTGTCCTACACTCACTTTGTGATCAATGTGCCGTGACAGAGAGCTTAGAGGCCTTATACATACCGTTTTTATTTATTTTTTCTCTTGTTCTCAGAGTTCCAGTCTATGTCCTGTGGCAGCCTCCACCATCTCGGGGAGGAGCCGCAGAAGCCTCCACCTCTGCCGCCGCGAAGGAAGGACGCCATGTCTGAAGCCAAAGTAAGATCGGGGAATCGCTCCCCACCAGTCATACCCGTAATTAGACACCTCAGTCTGAAGGAAACGGGTATTAATGTTTGTATAAATGTCCTCCGCCGTGCACGATGCGTTAACCTTCGCTGAGCGCGGAGACGCGTTGAATGATGCTGCGTTGTCTTTCTCTGGACGCCACGCTAATCTGCATCCGTCTCTCTGCCTCAGCTGAGCTCCAGGTCCGACAGCCCCCCCGCCATCCCGCCCCGGCTGCCCCCCCATCTGCCGAGGACCCAACCTCGACCGCTGGTCTACAACGGCCCCCCCATGGACGGCCCCCTGCCCAGCCCCCCTCCTCCGCCCCCGCCGCCCCGCGACCCTCTGCCCGACACGCCTCCCCCGGTGCCCCAGCGGCCCCCCGAGATCTTCATCAACTACCCCCTCAACATGCAGCCTTCCCCCGTGGGCCGATACCACTGGGACTTCAGCAGCTCCCCCAGCTCGCCCAACACGCCGCCCAGCACGCCGTCGCCCCGCATCCCGCGGCGGAGCTGCCCGCTGAGCGCCAGCCAGAACAGCCTGTACCCGCTGCCCGTCTCCTTCATGGCCCCGCCGGTCCCCCCGCGCCACAACTGCAGCCCCCAACTCCCCAAACTCCCTCCAAAGACATACAAAAGGGAGATGCTGCTGCAGCCGCCGCCGCCGCTCCAAGGCCTCTCATTGGTGGAGAACACCGACGGCAGCCAATGAGTCTGCGTTGTTTTTTTTTTTAAACAATCTTGAAATGCAAACACAGTGGACTTCAAGCTACTGATCAGAAAGAATAACTGCTCCACGCGCTCTTTACTCCACCCGCATCCACCAGTCCCCGCTGTGCCTCTCAGGGGATCAGTAGCTCCGCCTTCATCATGAACCCTCTGTGCCAATGAGAAACCCTCACCGGTGTGCCAGCTAATAAACAACAAGGAGTGGAGTGTTTGTGTCTTTTTCTTCCCTGTGGAGCGGGACTGTTGCTCCTGTTGGAAGTTCTCACCCTTCACACACTTAACTTGCACCTCACGTCCCACTCTTCTGTCAGTGTGTGTGAGGGGGGGGTGGGGGCGGCGCTTGGGGGGGGGCTTTTGGCTTTGTAGCGTCAAACGTCATGCTTTGTTTCTTTGGGCATTGACACCATCTGGAGTCGTGCTGCAGCTCACAGGTTTACGGCCCGTCTCCTCAACGAGTCACTCGGCCGTTTTCATTGATATGTTTTTCCTACGAACTGATAAATAAACAGTTGCCAAAGTCTTATTTTATGCAGGGGGAAAAGGGATTTTTTTTTTTTAAACAAATGTGACATTAAAAGAAGCTCAAGGCGGAGGCGACATTGAACCCCCCCACCTTGCATCTCCACTGTACACTGTGACTGTATAGACGCAGGTCAACTGTCTCCACTCTTTGTTTTTGTTTTTAAATCTGAAGACCGGCCTCTCCCGCGGGCACAAATTCTTGCCTTTACGAATCCAACAGCGGTGACCTCTGACCCCGGGGCTGGGACGGCGAGAGCCGAGAACACTCCATTTGCACATCGAGTTTGGGCCGAGTCGGCAGGTTTCGATCAGACTATTGAAACCGTCCCTCAGCGGGGAGGACGCCCGTCTCCCTCCAGCCCTCCAGAGCTGATGTCTTAACCGATCCCCTTGCAGACGTGCGCTGCGGTCTTGACACTGTGCTCTTCTCCGAAACCCCCCCCCCACGCCCCCCTTGACCAACTCGGCACTGGACGCACGCAGTCTCCTGTCAGAGCTGGCGCAGCGCCCCTCAGTGGCCCATCGAAATACCTAAAGAAAAAAAACTGAAAAAAACATGAAAAAGAGGAACTTTTTAACCCAACTTCTTCTTTCTGTCTCTTTTTCTGCTTGAAAACGTTTTGTTTCACTTTGGAAAGACTGAAATAATCCATGCATCATGCTCAGATGTGCCTTTTTATTTTATTTTCTACTTTACAGAAATAAGCAAATGGTGTCTAAAATGCTAAAAAATAAAGTTGCCTTTGTAATGTTTAGAACAAAGCTATACACTATGAAATTGTACATGTTTGTGGATACTGTGTATATATAACATGTATACACTAACTAAATAATTTGTATAAAGTGGCAAGTTTTTTCCCCGTTGTATTGTACCCTCATCCGCATCTGTTCAGTCAAATATTGCCTAATAATCCAATGCTGCTACAGTCGGATAAAAAAAACAAAAAAAACAAAACCAGAAAAAAACAGGTCACTGTCACTAACTTACTTACAGACAATCTCCAGTTGAAACACTGGGAGTATTAACTGAGGAAAGCCATTTTCTCCCCCGCCCCTTAGCTGTTTTAAAGCAATGAAAAAAACCTACAGTTCAGTATGCCAAGCACTTACTTAGACGTGTGCTTCACTTTGTACATCCTACTAATTGCCTTTTCTCCTTTTGAACGGTTTGTTAATGCCAACGTCCAGTAAACAGGTTGGGATCGTATTAAACCTGCAGCTGAATACACAAATGCTTGTATTCAGCTGCAAGTATTTGAGTAAAGTGAAGAATTGGACTTTTTTTTTTTCCTTTTCTGGGAAACACACTTTGTGCACTTTAGGCTGTACTGTTGAAGAGCCACAGTTGATAGGTCATGTTTGTAAATGGTCCTATGCAACTGTTCAAACTCCCTTTCCACGAGCACGTCGACCACCTCTCTTTTATCCACAAGACGCAAACGGCTGAGGATCAGACAACCGCAAACAGGAACTCCACAAAATTTAGAAGATAATCTTGTGCCCTTTTACCTCTTTGTCTCGCTGTATTTTGTGCACAATGGTGGATCATTAAACGTCTGATCTGACTCCAGTTAAAGGGGGAGTGTTGGATGACTTCATTCGACAGCTGAATTCAAATAACTTCACTGTCTCCACTCGTGTTCTGTCCATTTTCCAAGTCTCCCAAGCCAGTACTGGTGGTCGGGTTCCTTTTGCCAAATTCATCTTTTTGTTTACTGTGTTTGTTTGTCATTGTCGTTGTTTTTAACCCCAGCCCCGACAGAATAACACATTGGTTTTCCTCCAGTGGCACTGTAACCGCTTGATCCAGCAGTCGGTTTATTTGATGGTATGTGGCCTTTTAACTGCTTTGTATTAAAGGTCTTCATGAGATTAATAAATCACCCAGTCTTATTTTGTACTGAACTACTCATTTCTCTCCTCGTTTTTTATTTTACTGAAAATTCCGCATTTTGCAAGAGCTTTTGTTCGTAAGTTGAAAGCAGTAGTTTGAGTATAAAGTGAAATAAAGTATTTGCTGTCTGTGTATTCATATGCAACTAGCATTTGGTTAGCTTAACGTTCGTTCAGTGGAGAAATAGCTGCATTTATACACACAATCGCCCCTTTTATCTAAATTCAGGCTCCTGTTTGAAACCTCAACGTTTGTTTGCGTTTCGTTGATGGTCTGGAGTCTGCAGGGGTCAAACGGTGCTGCAGGGACCCTCGCTGTCCTCACTGTCCTCCCACAGTCCTGCTGCGAGGTTCCCTCTGTGCTGGGACGGGCCCGGTCTAAAGAGATGACAGAGGAAATGGGTAAAAGTAGATTTAGCTCATCAAGTCCTCTTCACGAGTATATTGTATCTGCATTGATGCAAGCCCCTCCAGCTCTGTCGCAATTCCACGACGGTCCTCACCTCAGATTGTCTCTACTGGGGTTGAAGTTGGGCGGTCTTTGCCTCACGGGGGTTTGAATCGGTATGAAGCCCTGTCTGTTGTCTTTCTCTGGAGCTGCATCGGCCTGTTACATGGAGTCAATGAATCAAGAGCCGCTTCAAATGGATTTAACACCACTGCACCCATTTGACAGGAAGACATCGGCTTCACCGCTAAAACAAATTCACATTAAGCATGTTGAACTCCGTTGACGGCTGCAGTTTAGTTGCTTTCATAAAAATAAACTGCTGATTTCTTTTAATGCCGATATCTTTCTCATGCCCTGACGCGCCGTGCTTTGTTTCTGAAAATGCTTTTTACTGTGCAGGTCTGCTTCGAGGACCGAAGTAAGGTTTTAATTTAAGACATTTAGGAGGTCTGAGTAGCTCTGGCGCTTCTGCTTTCTGGGTGATGTTCTCACGGTGCCACAAAGGATGCTGGGACGGTGACACGCGCACAGCTCGCTGTAACAAGGAGACCGATACCTGCTTGGAGGGGTCATCCCAGATGGGCCTGAAGGCACTTTTTGGATGTAAAGGAGGTGACCCCGTCCTGACATTGACCACCCTCTTCCCGCGGGTGCTGCCGAGGCACGGCGCCGGCCCGTCCACGCGCCCCCCCGCGGCGTTTCTCAGAGGAGGGTGAGGCGTTAATCTGGGAATCTGCCAGCGCAGACACACCGTCCTCTCCTTGGGCTGCTGCTGCTGGCCGTACGAAGGCCTCAGCAGCACCGGCACCTCGCTGTCCTCCTCCTCCTCCTCCTCCTCGCCAGTGTCGCTGCCCGTCGTCTCCCTGCGCAGGGTGGCGTCCGGGCTGCAGGAGGTGACGGAGGAGTAGTCGAAGGCCGAGGTGTCGTCCTGGTCCGTGTCGCGGTCCTCGGGGCCGCGGTGGGCCTGAGGGGCCTCCGGCCCGTTGGGGGCCTGGCCCGTGAGCTGGCTGTAGGTGCCCTGGCCCGAGTCGCTGTTGTCGCCCCACGCTGCGGCGTCGGGGGTGAGGAGGGAGCAGCAGGCGTGTCCGCAGTCTCGGGCCGGCTGGTTCAGGAGGCTCAGGTCCTTCCTCCTCACCGGGCTGCAGGACCAGCACTCCAGGCGCATGGAGTGACCCCCGGTGACCCCATTACTGACGGCCCGCTGGTCCTCTCTGTGGGGAGGAGGGTGGGGGGTCATCGTAGCAGGATGTTCTTTGACATAAATGCCAACTCTTTTGATCGAGTGCTCCTTCCACATTCTCTTGCTGGCTGTGCGGACCGAAGCCAGCAGGGGGCGACACTCACCCATGAGCTGCAGCGTTGGGCCGACTCAGAGACTCTCTGGTCCGTGGGCTCCCCGTGCAGCACTTTGCAGAAGAAGTACCAGCAGCGGCATCGGGGCAGCTGCTGTCATGTCCATATGAATGTATTAATGAGCCAGAAACCAAAGCAATACAAATCTACATAAAATAGTGAATTATTACGGAATCTGCTACTGCTTTTGTTGATGCCCTGACCTTTGTCCTCCTCCTTCTCCCTCGTCCCACTGGACGTCTTCCTCCAGGATCACATGACAACGGGACAAAATGCTCCTCAGCGCTCGCTCGGCCCCCAGCAGGAGGCTGCAATCCGGATGCTCTTTAACGGTCCACTGCAGCAGGTTCTGGAGAAGGAAAATAATAAAGAAACAAGTGTGAGTTTAATTAATTTCAAATAAATACTGTTGACTAGATCGTTTCTAAATATGCCTTTTAATTTTTCTGACGGTTTAGTTTATGTTATAATGATCTCTGGCCTTCAACTGTCCTTCAGCGAACATCCTCCGTGGTTTATGTTCCGCTCTGGATCACAGTTGTGGTGTGTTTCTCGTTTTGAGAGCTTCCTGGCTGCAGTGTGGCACCTCGTCGAGCCGCTGACTCACCTGAATGTGGCTCAGGTATCCATGGATGCGAGAGACCGGCGCCAGCAGCAGGTAGAGCAGCCTCATTTCCTCCCTGTCCATCTGGCCCGTCTGTTGAATGGTGACAGGAGATCAGCGTGTCTGCTCTCTCGGGGACTTTCTGACTGAATATTGTTGCCGCTTTTGTCTTCAAATACCTGCATTTTCTCACAGTGGTTTAGTCTGTTGAACTCCATCGAGAGGAAGGATGCCAGGGTGGTCGTGTATCCGAGGTACATATCCGAAAACGCTGTCTGGACGAGTCAAAGCAGTCGGTGAGCAGCACCTTTGATTTTTTTTCTCCAGTGAAATGGACACCCGGCGTTTCCTTTTAAAAGCGCACCAACTTACATCGTTTTGTCCGATGAGCTGCACCAGGATGTCGCCAACCACAGATTTCCAGTGCTCAGCAGTTAATCGCTCCTGCAGGGTGTTTCTGAAGAGCAGATGTCGCTGTAACAGCTGCTCCACAAACTTCAGATATGTCTGACTGAATCACGACACAAATAAAACAAGGATTTTGATTGCAAATACAAGTTTAAGGCAAAGCCCAAATATTCAAAGCCTGGTTCAAAGAACGTGTGTAAGCAACCAGTAACGATCTCTGCAGCTCAACTGTCTGAAGACTCTGCTTTTTCTGCACTTACTACAGCTCCAGGGTCATCTGGTGGGCTTGTGGTGTCTTGTATTTATCGTACAGCTGGTTTAAGGTTGACACGTACTCCCACTCTGAATGTAAAAGCTGCATCGCCACCTGATGTCGTGCATCTGTACGAGAAAGAAGACGCGCCTCAATGTTCATTCTTCAGCAAATAATGTGACAGTTTCTGAACGGAAGTTGAAGCGAAGTGATTTTCATATAAATACAGATAATCTGTTTACTATCCATGTCTAAAACAGTAACAAAAGTATTGCAATATGAATATATTTATAGCACCATGATTGATGCAAATGATTCGTGCATCTCCTGACTGCTGAACTCACAAATCGAAAGAACTCGCTCAAGTCTTTGCTTCAAATGTGGCCTTTGAAAACATCTCGTGAGGCTCCTTCTCATTCGGCTGCGTTCCCGGTGTGTTGCAGCGGCTCACCTGTGCCTTCGCTCAGCCCCGCTTTCAGGCCCTGCAGGAAACAGTGCAGGAGCAGCTTCCCTCTGGACAGAGCGGACCGCCGCCCACAGGCTGCTCCTGCTGGCTCGCTGCAGTGCGCCACGGTGGACGGACGGGAGGACGTCTGAACAGCGGTTGTTTGCTGTCCGCCACTTAAAACGGTGACGACATCAATATGAACATTCAAACATGAAGAAGGCCTTTGTGTCCTATTCTCTGATTTGACTGAAGTTTGCAGCACAAACCAGCAGAGAGTTGTGCTGATGTATGAGAGCAATGTTCATAGGAAATGCAAATTATTTGATTTAATTTGCTTTTTGTCCTTAACGTGTGAGCTGTCCCTCTCGCATGCATTTAGTTATTTCCAATATTTCTATTTCATCTGGGAAATTAACAGTAGCCAAAAGCTTTCAGCCTCAACCAAATGAAGTGAAGTCTAACGACAAAACCAATGGGAGCCTGTTTTCCTTCCCTTATGAATTAAAAAGTGGGAAAAGTTAGATTTAACAACATTTTGAGAGAGAGGTTTGTTCCCTGTCTTCTGAACTATGTTTTTTTTTAATACACCATATACCTGATTTTCTTATGTGTAAAGCTGCGTATTGTACACATGTTTGCTTTTCACCTTTCTCTGTGTTTGGATGCGCAGCTCTTTCCGTCCTGCTGAGGCGTCTCCCTTCTGCTGTACAGCTGCAGGATCTGACACCGCATGTCTCCCAGTTCTTCCTGCAGGACGACAAGACGCAAAGGAAGTGCAACCAAACTTCTCCCATGAGATCCTCTCACCAGTGAAGCCGACCTGAGGCCTCACCCTCAGAGACTCGACCAGCGCCTCCAGCCGGAGAGCTTTCTTCTGGCAGCTCCTCCTGTTCTCCTGCAGCTCCTCCCTCAGGTACGCGTCTCCGTGTTGGATCTGGCTGAGCTCCTGCAGGGCGCTGGTGAACCCCGTCTTCAGCTCCGAGACCATGCATTGCAACTGAGGGGACAGCAATCAGGTTCATTAACAAGACCACGACATTGTTGCCGTTTGCACGTCTAGAGGGATCCTATGAATATGAGAGATGTCACGTTAAGGTCGAGACTATTTGGATTCTGGATTGCAGGGTTGTGCTTCAGAGGTGAAGCTTAATACTTTTGGGATGATAAGAGCTGTTAAAACACGTTAACTGTCCCTTTAACAGAGCCGGGCTGCTCGATGAGGGAAGGGTACCTTGGAGATTTCAGTGACGAGCTCGGCCTCTTGAGGCTTCATGACCTGATCAGAGAGACACACAAACAAGGCTGTTTGCAAACACCCAGTCGATAATATCTTCACAAACAGTTACGTGTTTGTGTATGAACTGTGACGAGCACAGCTGAGTTTGTTATTGACCCCATGCAGAGAAAAAAGATCAGCATTCACACAACGAGACGAAGCAGGAAGGTCACCGCGTCTTTGTTCTGTGAATCTTTCACATCTTCTTGACCAAATGCACCGTATTTGTTCTTCCTAAAGCCTTTACGATTAGCTACTAGACGAGATGCAATAACATTCTTAACCAGATGTAATGTTTTTTGTGTCGTATTCTTGTTTGTTCGTGGTACCTGCTCAGATGTTGCCCCTGCCAGCAGCCCCTCTGCTAAGGAAGTGGCAAGCCAGCCAAAGAGCTCAGCCCTGCAGGGGAAAAGGCTGCAGCAGCCAAGATCCCTCCTTTTAAGTGTGCTGACAGAAGGCACGGATCAGCAAAAGGATAAATAAAATAAAACAATGTGTGAGGGCTTTTAAACTACAAATATATATTATATAAAATCAGTTCAGAAGCCACTAAAAGCAGTTATCTGTAGAGCATTTTATAACACTCAAGAAATGAGAATAAATCGCATCTCTATTGTAGATTATGAAATACATTTTTGATCATAAGCATTAATATCTCCAAAGTAAAATCATGTTTTCAGCGGTTTCCTGATTATGAAAGAGTTAAACACAAAACATGAAAAGCCTTGAGTGCTGTAGCAAAGGGAGGAAAAGGAAGGACACTTACATTACATTGCATTACATTACAGGTCATTTAGCTGACGCTTTTATCCAAAGCGACTTGCATTACATTTTTAACCCGTGGCTTTTTACATTTTTGCCTGGGGAGCAATTAGGGGTTAGGCGACTTGCTCAGGGACACTGAACCACCAACCAATCTCTACCCCTGCGCCACGACGACCCCCCTTACCTCAGATGCAGCTCTTTAATGTTGCGCGTCGGACATCTGAAAAGATCCAGTCAATTCAAAAAGACTTAAAATTTCCAGTATTTCTTTTGCTGAGGAGAAACTTCATTCATTCCACTCATTCGCTGTGCCTGGAGACGTGTGTGTGGTGTCTCTCTGCTCTGTGGGGACACCAGATGTCCCGCACGACGCTCAGTGAGCAGCTCTGTGACCAACAACACAAACCACATGCCCCCCCAATGGAAGTATACGCTCTATTTGTAGTAATTCTATAGAACTTTAGGATTGCATTATAATGATATTCTGCTTCACTGTAATTTTACACATTGTTTTTCTTTTATTTATTTAATTAGTTGACATAACATTTTAAAAAGATTTTTGATTTTCTACAAACATTTCTTGTGGAGTGAAATATTTACAAGTTTAAAGAAACAATAAATAAGAGATGACATTTGAAACACTGCAATACCGTGATTACATGAATGATAAGGGAAAAATAAAGTACTGCATTGATTCAGTAGCCATTAGCATTGAAGTGTCTCATGCAAATCAATGTATGAATGACTCGTGCATAAAATATCAACTTTAAATATATAATAACATGTGGACGTGAATACATGTATACACATATATATGTGTATGTAGTACATGTATACATATACTTTTTTATATGTATTTGATTTTGAATTTAGGCCTCATACATGTGTTCAATGTTCAAATCAATCAGATATCATAATAAAACCCAATACAAAATCTGTTTCTTACTTTTACAAATAGATGCTGTCGCCGATCACTCCGCCCCTGCATGTCATTCGGCAGAGTAAACCAAGCGCACACGTGCGTAATCTGTTTAGTGGGGGGCGTGGCTAACGGCCGGTACGTGAATGTGATTGGTCGCTGGTCTCAGTGAGTTTTTAAAATCGGAGCAGCAGCTGACGGAGCTGTCAAAACAGCCGACAGGAGGAGACCGTGACTGGTGAGAAATAACACAAAGACACATCGTAAATGCAGTCACGCGTGAACAGTTGTGTAATACTAAACACCTCTCCATCTTGTTTTCTAATAATGGTTAAACAAGGATTTCAGGTCATTGTTCTCCGTGTCGCTGATCCGCTCAGATAAGTTGCACAGCTAGCGTTAGCTAATCGCTATCTGCAGCAAAGGTCTCTCTTTGCAACATCACACTAAATGTATTATTTAGAATGAAATGTTTCCTTAATCTGAATCGTAATACCTCAGTTAATGGCTGGTTAAATGGCTGGTTAAAGGGCGTTTAGCTGGCTGCTAAACGTAGCATGTGTGTTAGTTTACAGGTGTATAGCCGAGCTACTTCCAGCGGTTCATTACACGTAGAAACTCATACAAAGACTGTGCATTTCCGGGGAAAAGCTTTAAGTAATCAAAAAAACGTCACTACTTCGAGAGGTAAATCAACAAGAACTGAACATTATCATCTTCACGACAGGAGGATTCACATGTTTTGCATTGTGATTTCATGTACAGTAGTTTGTGTTGCCTTCCACTGTCTTTCACTTAGAATCAACAGAGACTTGAAAATAATAAACAAACATTTTGTACCGTCCCAGTGTCTCAACAGTCTTTTGGGCCGAAGCCATGAGGACAAGCGAGTTTGACTCTTCATCTGAGGAGGAGGATGCTGGAGACGAGCAGCTGACGCCCTTCCACATCTCCTGGTGAGATTTTCGCAGTTTTCCTTTGGTGTTGAGCCACCAAAAGGTTTGTGCATCAGTGAAAGTCAGTTAGCTTGTAAATGGTGACATGTAAACGTTTATATATTTTGATTGCCTTTTAGGTTACCTCTGTCCATGGTCGAGTGTTCGCAGTTTCTTGGGATATGCGCACTACCAGGTAAAGTCCTTCTTTATCTTTCGTATACGTGCATGTTGCTGTTTTTACTTGATTGTAATGTTGTGCAAACTAAAATATGTTTCCTCATCTAACTTCAGGTTGCAAATACAAAGACACCCGCAGGAGTCTAGAAAGAGATGTTGGTAAGTTGACCCTTTTCTTTTCTTTTGAAAAAGCCAATTCCAGTGGATTCAGGGAATGTAATGTAAGATTTCAGAGAATCACATACAGTGCCGGCTGATACTGCAACTGATACTCATTTTGATTGTCAATTCACTTTTAGTTGTTGAATCATTTGATCTCTAGAAAAATGGAAATTTGTCAAAACCTCTAAAGGCCCTTTAGCTCCTACCAATCGCTTGTTTTGTCTACAATTCAAAGGAAACTATTTTGCCGTCACATAAGACAAAAGTCCTTTAATAAGAAGCAACAGAAACAGAACCAGAAACCGTTTATGTTTTTTGTGGGAAGATTTAATAAAACCGTAATTGTCAAACCAAATAGCTGCTTTTTAGTCTGACCTGCTTCAGATTAAGTTCCAGACATAAAATATGCCATATGTGTTTAATAAGATGCAAATACAACAGAGAATTACTGGAAGTATTTTTCTCAGTCCGAGGCCATGTTTGCAAGAAACGAGACGTTTAAAGCGCTCTTTGAAACCCGCCTCGTCAGAGAAAGATGCCAGAACCTTGACTTCCCGTTGTCCGTCTTCGCTTCCTCCCCGTCAACAGAGGAGCTCCAGAACCAGGGCGTGCAGGAGGTGTTTATTTTCTGCACCAGGGGGGAGCTCAACAAGTACCGGGTCCCCTCCCTGCTGGAGGTCTACCGGCAGCGGGGCTTCGCGGTTCACCACACGCCCTTTCCAGACGGAGACGCTCCCGAGCTGGAGCAGTGCTGCCAGATCCTGGACGAGCTGCAGGTCAGCCTCCAGAACAACAGGAGGACGGTGATCCAGTAAGTCACCTGTGGACGTTCTGAATCCAAAGAAGGTCTCAGAAAGTTGCATTATTAAACTATTCACTTGGCTTCTGTCATCAAGGTAATCAAAGCGTGTTTAAGTTACTGTTGTTGAGAGATCGCATTCATACACCACGAACAAACACAAGTCAGCCGATCTACATGGAGAAGAGGATCCTTGCAGTAGAAAGTAATGCAAAAGAGTGACATTTCTAACTCTATCTATTCAGACTTAATGCAAACAAATGTTGTGTCGTGTTGGCAACAACACCCGCTCCTCAAATACATGACCGCAGCCTCCACGGGAAAGCTGCTGCTTCAGCGTCCCTTTGTAAAACGAGCCGTGGCCCCCGGGAGGCTCTTGAATCCCAGAGGGAGCTGAAGAAGCTGCTCGTCAGGCAACAGGAACAAACTGGTTGAACTGGACTCTCGTGTATGAGGCTCTGTAAATGCGAAGCAGTTGATCGGAGCACCGCTCGCCACGAAGCCCTCGTGTGCAGCTTTACGCTTTTAATACTGTTGTTTTTCTCCCTTCCCCCTTCAGCTGTTACGGAGGCCTGGGACGCTCTGGATTGAGTAAGAATATTTATCTTTTCCTTTAACTTTGAAAGTGGTGCTTCGTGTACTTTGTCACGTCAACCAATATCAATGTTTTCTTTCTCCAATACGTCAGTTTATGTTAAAGTTTACCCTTTAGAAAGAGCGAGATGGGAACAGTCGGATCCCTTTCGCTCCCTGCTCTGACCTCATGCATGTGTCCTGCAGTCGCTGCCTGTCTGCTGCTTCAGCTCTCTCTGACAATGACGGCGAACAAAGCCATCGAAATCCTCAGGGAGCACCGAGGAGGAGGAGCGATACAAACCGTGAAGGTGAGAGCTCACTTCTGCTCCTCTGCACTAGGCTGCACTCTACTTGTACTTAACTGAATACTTATTCCCTTACTCAACAGGGGATTGAGATATTTATTGAACGATTTGGATTGTCAGTTTGTTCTTCACGATAATAAATCTGGTCCACCATCAAAATCCAAATCATGGATCAAACCCTCCATTAGATCACCAGCCAGCTAACGGCAGTTAGTTTCTTTTTTATTTGTTAGAAAATGGAACTCAAGAGAAACTTTTATCACAGATGAATCTGAAATGCTGTAACGGTCTGCTGATAAATGAATACAAATGCTTTTTGCTGTCATTTAGAAAATGGTAGTGTGAACATGTTGGAACTGTAAAATGTCCTTAATTCTATGTGCACGCTGGTCCTTTAATCGAATGCATTGATTAACGGACCAGCGTGTGGGGTTTGTATTAGAAGAAATGGAATATAACAGATTATATTTCAAAGTGTAAATTCACCAGAAACTGATGAGCCTTTCTCACACACACACCGCGAGGTTTGTACAGCAGCCCAGAAGGGACAAACCAGACGCTCTGGTTCACGTTGCCTGAGCTCTTGCAGAGAGAAGCGTTGCTGTCTGACAGTCTGCATCCTGCACCGTTTTAGAGTGGTTCTTGTTACTTTATACTTTTGTTATAAAACAAAATCTTAGTCTGGTATTTGAGAGATTGTAAATGAAGTAGCATCTTTTCTTTTTCATATGTTATAGTGGATACTTTAAGGAGATTGCTAAGCTAAAGCTTTTTAATTTCACTTTCTCCGTAGCAATACAACTTCCTCCATGAGTTCCGGGAAAAGTACACGACCTTCCAAGAGAGCGTGGCGGTTTCCGCCGAGCGCTCAGTGTCCCGGTGACTTCTCTCCCAACCAGTCAGCCCAGAAAATATTAATTGTAATTAGTCAGCGCTTCTCTCCTGATTGTGTGTGATATGTAATTGTATTCTCCAATGATTGCACTTTAACAGAATACTCTGGTATATTGCTTTTTCTCATTAAATACTTGAGGATATTCTTGTGGGATGTTTATTAGCAAGCTCACATGTTAGCATTGATATTACATTTAAGAATAATGGCGGTGTTCTGGTTGAGGATGTTAAATGAGTCTCCTTTCCCGCTCCACCTTATTTTTTAAATGTCATTAGCCACTTCGCTACATGGCTAATAAAAACCTTTTGAAAAAGGTTTAGTTAAAACGTTCTAGTCAATAAGAGGGGGTTAGTTTTTATTTTTATTCAAATAATCAAGTTGTTTTTTTACCTAGATGTGACATGATTTAATACATTAAACTTGTTATCTGAGGAAATAACTATACAGCTTTCCCTGATCTATGTACACTCTAAAATAGCAATAAATACTCTAGTTGTCTGTTGAAATGAGCCGACACGGAGTGTTTGTCTTGGAGACTGGAGTAAAAATGCAAAATCATTGAATAAAACAAAGTTCCTATCGCTGCAGAATATTTGGTTTGGAGACGACAAGATGCACAAAGGAGTTACATTTTAAAAGGTACATTCGACAGTCACCGTTTTCCTCCCAATATTCACCAACAGGGATAACAAGCTTCCTTTAAGCTTAAAGATATTTTCTGTTGAGTCTAATTTATTGATTCTACAGAAACACACGGCTACTCTGGATTCACACTTAAATATTTGATTTAACAAGGATTACATCAAGTAAATGCGATGGATAAAAGTATGGAAAGAATCCATCAGTTCTAAAACCAGGTAGCGATTGTTCCTGTGCAACGCGTTTCACTAACAACCCATCCATTAAAAGACCCTTTAAATCTGTGGGCAAAAACAGAAGTCTAGTTTTGGTGATAATGAAACACGCTGCAGGTAATGATCTAGCTGTAAAGCCCAGAATCTACTTCACAGGGAAAACTAATGCAGTTCAGCACACAACTCAGTCTTGTAGATCAAGCAGACCGGAAAATTGTAAACACAAGTTTGGGAGTCAAGATGAAAAGATCCAAAGCATCTGAAATCACAATATTAGGCAAAAAAGAAGAAAAAAAATGTCCGTTCAGAGTTTTCCTCATTTTCTATCAAATTTAAACAATAGTGCTGAGGACCGCAGAGGCTGAGATTCTCTTAAATGTTTCCAAAGTGTGGGGTGGGGGGGGTTTAGTGTTCGTCCGCATGAGATGGCGTCTCGTGTTGCTTATTGGTGGTCTCCAGCCGGCCCAGTACCAAGATCATAGTGTCTGGTTGTCGACTGTACACGCAGGTCCCGTTCCTTCATCTCCAGCTTAAGAGCTCACCAGAACATAAATCATCCTGTTTGAAACGGGACCAGAAAGCAGGACGGGTTAAATAATTTCAGTAATAAAAACGCATAGTACAGTTCAATAAAAGTTCTGCATTTTGAAGGAAACACTTATTTACTTTCTTGCCAATATTTCAATGCTACACGTGTAAATAAAGAAGTTACAGCCAAGGGACAGTTGGCTCAGCATAGTTTAGATGCAGACCGGATGTTACACAGTTCTCAAATCCACTTGACTGGTTATAAAATTGAATGTGTTATTAAGTGAGCATAATGGATGCTAGCAGATGGATTTTGTTCCCTTTTGGCAGAACCGAGGCAAGTGGTTATTACCACTTAATCCTTTTCCCCTACAACTAACACTAGATTGCTTATAATAAAAATAAAGAGTCTGTACCCATAGAGATAGTAGAAGAATGACAGCAGGTAGAAAGCCAGTTTGCACCAGCCTTCTTTTTGACAGAACGCCAGGATGTCGGCGTTCATGATGGTTGTTGGGTCGTAGAGTCCTGGGCAGCTCATCACGGGTCGGCTCATATACCTGCATCACAGCAGCAACGCGTTCACTCAAATCACTCTGCACGACACAGATTTCCACCCATGGACTGTGAGTGTACGTGAGCGACTCACCTCCACACGTGATAAGCCAGCAGTGGCAAGTTGAGACACAGGGTGAGCCACTCGGCCGCACAGAAGAACATCACACAGAAGAAGAAATGGATGAGATATTCTGGGAGGACCAGCTGAAAAGAACAAAATGCATAGAGAGCATCAGAATAGTCACGGGTCCGTCTAACGCCTGTTTGCAGAATAATTCTTTAACTGCCCACACAAAATACTTAAGGAGCCACATGGAGTACATGTAAAAGTTAAGCTGCTCACAATAAAAAAACAGCATCAAGTAGCAGACAATTCGGCCTCTTTGCAAAGAAATCTGAGCTATTTAATAAAGGGACCTCACAAAATTGCCATTGGCTCCGATGGGAGTCCAAGACAGGAGTGAAGTACTAATTATCTACAGTGAGATTCTTCTCGTTACAGCGCATTTACTAAATACAAATATTAACTGTTGCACACTATCAGGCCCAGTTTAAAGTCCAATTGCTGCACATTATGACATGTGCAGTAAAATGTCCCCCTATGAGCCGTAATCGTGCACCGGTCGGACACAATGGAACAATACACAGGATGAATAATTAACTAGTGATTACATCACCAAGATTCCTAAACTGAGGAGCGAAAGACCCACTTAAATGTCCCAATGTCCCTTGAGATGTCCTCTAACGCGGCAAAACGTGTAGTCAAATCATGTGTCCCATTGAGCTTTTAACACCAACTTATTATTGCTGTAAATCATGCGAATTGATGTTGAAATTTACTACACATTGTGTCTAAAGCAGGTTAATTTCCCACGTTGGTTGTGAGTCATGCATCATCATAAAAAGAGGAGGGGGGGGGGGCTTGCAATGGACAATAGCTGCAAGTCTCAACACATTTGCAGTGAGGGCAAACTTACAGATCATCCCAGTTCTGACAAAGTGAGCACGGCGGAGTGCGACCATGCTGTGAGCACGAGCAGTGTCGGTGCAGCAGCCTGCCTCGGGTTGACAGGGCTCGGTGTGGTACGAGGGTTGGGGGGGGCGGGGGTCGGGGGCAGATGGAGGCACCACATGGAAGCCATGCATTCAAAAAAAAAAAAAAAAGAGCAGTGGGCGGAATGGTTTTGGCGACGTGGGAAGGGGTGGGGGGGCAGCCCACAGATGGAAAGGTGAGTGGCGTTTAGGAGGAGGGGCTATAATGTGTCGACTCCCTGCACTGTGCTGCCAAATAAAACAACTGGTCACAGCACAAAAAAACGTAAGAAGAATGTCCACAGTTAAACCTGACAGGTAATACAGTGAAGTGCATGATGGAGAATCTCTGCTGTATCATAACTCCTCCTACCCCTGGTATCACTAACCAACCAGGCTCCCCAAATATCGCTGAGCGGGATTGTGCGGGTTCTGCAGCCATCTGGTCTAAACCACGGGTGACGTGGGTCAGCGCCAACGCTGAGCTAATGCACTCTGACTCAGTTCTGCTAACTGCTGAATATGAAACTGCAGCTTGTGCGTCCATAGGAAAAAAAGGGGGAAATTGCGTAATAATAAAATTTGAAAACGTCAATTTAAAAAGTCCTCCGTAACCACGATCCACAGCTTAAAGTACCTGATCGGACTTTACATAATTACTCTGAATACTGTTGTGTTGATGTGCCTGGTGTCATGTTTCTGTTGTCTAATACTTAAGCCATGTTTTCCCACTGAGTTAACTGGGAATTTAATGTACCAGTAACTTTGACACCATTTGCAAACAAAGGGGTAGGCTCTAATAAAGATCATGCATGTTTTGAGCATTTGCAAGTCTTTTCAGTTGACTACACTTCACCAATACTCAGTAACATTGGGTTTCTCATCTCAGCTGATACTGTCCACTACTGGATGCAACGTGGCTCCTTTACTGAACGCTATAAAAAGGACACGAGGCGGTAAATTTATATTCCAGTTGCAGGCTGCACTATAAAAAAGGTATAGGATATATAAAAAAAATCCACAACAGTCAGAAGGCTCGCAAAAGTATAAAAACAATACACTATATGACCCGAGGCGTAGGTGGCATGTTCTCCAATCCCAAATTAAACTGCCTTCAACTCCTGAGATTAGTTAACTGAAAAGACGTTTGCAAACACTTCTCCGTGCAAAATGACAAGACTGCAAACTGAGTTGGACTGAGCGGGCATTTTAAAGATTGGTACAAACCTTTATTGCAATTTTGATTCTTTTAATCTTTTTGACCTTTTCAACTGTCTTTTTCCCATTAACCAAGTGTACACAAAAAAAAGCAGATTAGGAAAAAGCAAAACAAAAAGCGTTAGAGTTTGACAGCTAACAAGATATCTGAATTAATAACAGGCAGGTTATTTAGCATAACAGTGCAGAGAAATGATTTGAAAAAGACAGATAGGCGGACAAAATTATCCTGAAATAAATGAGACCTTTCGATAGAGCATTTCTGCATGCAGTCAGAGGCAAGGAAGGTGCGTCAGGTTTGGCGGGGTCACTTACCGGATTTAAAGTGTTGCACTGATCTATAGGATTCTTGTAATCAGTCTTCAGCTCATCAAAAGCTATTATCTGGGGGGGTAAGATGATCACCATTTAAAAACATCTACAAAGAGCAGCAATGCTGATGTTCAATTTATGAACATGCAAAACATACAATTGTAATGGACAAAAGATATGTTTAATATAATTTCCCACATCCAAGAATGACGTTTAAACGGTATGTTTTGTTTGACTAACAGAACATAAAACACCACAAGCAGCAAGTCCCCACATCGCAAAGAGTGCTTGGAAAAGATGGTCAGAAAATCTAATATTCTGAATGATACAAAAACTATAGCGCCCAGGGGTTTTCCTATGGGGTAAACATGAATGCGGTTCATAATAGTTTACATTCTGCACTTTGTAATGAACGGGATGTGTTGATATGATGCATGTCGGGAAATGAGGGGAAGCCGTAAAACGGAGCGGCTTGTCGTTTCGGGATCGGACGTTAGCTAAAGTTGCTAACACGCTGGTCGGCTTGTAGCTGCGCTCCTCTCGCTTGAAAAGCCCGATAAGATTAGTTGACATCTGCGACAGTCAGACTACGACCAACGAAAACGATCAACAATGGAGGAGGGTGACGATAACACGACAACGCGTTACGTGTTTTAGTGACTGTGGTGCGTTGTTAGCTAGCTTTATCTGCTAGCCGACGGTTGTGTGTGTGTGTGTGTGTGTGTGTGTGTGTGTGTGTGTGTGTGTGTGTTATGCCTTGTAGCACGGATGCGTTGCGCGGTACGTGTGCTGAGCAGTTGGCATGGATACGTCCTGTCCAGACGTTATCCCCTCCGACCCCCTCCGCTCGCCCCCCCAACACGTCCCCGCTATGTAGCCACAAAGCTGGCCTAGCGTTAGCTTCACCGCTCGTTCTCCTCCATGTAACGTTGGAGCGGCGGGCCCGGGGGTCTGCGACGTGTACTTACGTGCCAGATAGCGAAGAAGATGAGCGCGGCCGTGAGCAGCAGAGCGAGCATGTAACAAAAGGCCGCGAATGTGAACGCCATTTTTTCTCGGGTTCCGCTCGTCGGTTCCTGGCTCGGTCGGCAGAGGATGCGGGAAGCTTCGCAACCGTTTGGAGATTGTCGGCTCGTCTTCTTCTTCTCCTCCTCCTCCTCGCTGGCCGGGATCCGCTTCGTCGCATTACCGCCACCTTCTGGAGTAACGCGCGTCCTTCAGTCTCCTCATTACACCAACTACACCAACTCTGCCTTATACTGGGTTTAAATAGTAATATTTACACGGCTATGTTCGGTTCACGTCGACTGTTTGCTTTGAAAATGGTGATGAATAATAATAAAAGATCTTAAAGCTGCTCAGATAATTACAATCACATTTATTTACCAAGTAAAATAGCATACAACACAGATTACACGTTTTAAAATCAATTTGTTCTATATTTATTTTTGTGTGCATTCTATTTGGAAAGTTGTAAACAATGACAATGATCCAATCTTCTATTTCATTTTATTTATTTAGATATTCTTTAATTTAGTCATCTTCACATCTTTACTTTCCTGTTCCTTGACAGTTCAATCATTGAACCCTTATGACTACTAATAAACTACTACCACTGCTGCAGAATGCATATTCGATTTTCTCACTCTTTTTCCAAAATATCTACTATTTACACATTGATGTGCATGCATTATCATTCATTTATTTATTCTGAAAAATGTTGCTTTGGAAACATTTGATCAATGCATATAAACACACACCACTGGTGAAGGGTAAACACCACTGCCATTTATTTCAACAATAGGACAATAGACACTTTATAAAGTATGGTAAAATACAAATATCTCAAGATTCACTGATGCCATGAGGCAGCTGGTAAAAATACACGTCTCAGATGTGTTTTCATTAAAAAGGAAAGCAAATAAAATAGTAAGCATTCGATTATAGAGGACACCAAGAGACGAACGACATGTTTGCAAGTTTGAAGTAAAATACTTTAAGAAGCCAAATATACAACTGGTTCACCAGGAGGGACACTGGGCTCCACGGGACGCAACCATTACAACGCTCTAAAAGGAACCCTTAGTTAAGTAGACCATTTAATGAGGGGATTGCTTTTGATTGATTTGATACATAACAGTTCATTTAAACCCATTTCTATAGAAAACGGCAGTAGCACAGCTCGATAATAATGAAGTATGGGTATTAAAACATCATAGAGCACAGTTGAGACCGGAGGTTAAAAATGTTGGCCCTTTTTAAAGATTTTGTGTGGAAATATATTCAGTATTATATTAATTATATTATTAATTCAATTAACGAAAATATAGGGCAGCATTAGGAAAACTGTTCAGATTTACCTCAAAGCATGCATTTCTTTTATAGAAGCTTTCCACAATTAAACTAGCCAGAACACACCATCATCTACTTTACAAAGGAGTAGTTTCACAATAAGAGCTGACATCAAGGGGCAATTTGTGGACATCATTTGTTCCTATTATTCTTTATGAGTCAGACTAGTTACAAACAGGGCCAATTGCACTCTCACACAAATATCTGCCTAGAGAACCAAATGTACAATTAGTTCTTTGCAGATTTTATTTTTTGTAGCGCTTGCCCTGTTTAAGAGCAACTGTTTTGACCTTTTAGTTCATTCTATTGTTTTAAATGCTATTTCTTCTTCTCATCAGTGGAAAACATTTAAGAGCGGTTTATTTCGGACACAACAAATATTCAAGTACACACAGTAGATGCCGCAAAAGCTTGTAAATTGACATTTCTTGTTGTTTCAACTCTTCTCCAACCCATTGGATTCCAAATATGAAGAGCTAAAACGTGCATTGTTAACCTCAGTCTGTGTTAATTGTATAAACCGATGTTAGATACGAGCAGCGAGCACATTCAATACGTAAATATGTTATGTTATCCTTCACAAAAGGTGCACTGGTCTAACCCTCCTCTGCATGGAAGATGGAGATGACATACCAACTCAAAATGTTGAGCACAACTGACATTTGGAGAAGTCACAAGACCTCATTGCCAAGCTGCCACCTCCAACATGTAATCAACTATGTCCATAAGGATAGTTACCCACTTAAACAATGTAGCCCAATAGGTCAAAGTGCCCCCCCCCCCCCTCTCATGTGTGCTGTGTTTTCAAGACGGTCGGGCCTGTAGGGTGAAAAGCAGCATGAGGGCTTCTGCCTTCGAGAAGGTCCACCACGTCAAATAGAAGCCTTCAGGACTGGTTTTAGTGTTATTGACTGATTACAGTTTTCCCCCCAAATTATATCCTAACAAATTAATACTGAACTCTATGTTGTTCTCTGTGGTTGTGGTGGAACTATGGTTGTCTGTTTTTTCCTCAACAAAAAGGATATTACTACTATAAAGTATATTCTTTAACCTAAACACACAAGGAAAAAAGTAAGACTCCCACAACATAAAAATATGAAACTAAAGTGGTTCAGAGTTACAAAAGACACAGAGTGTGAACTACTGAAGGTAGCAGAAATGATGGATACAATGCTTTTACATTCTCCTGGAAGAACATGCTGAGGAAGTGAGAACTATCACTGTATGTCCTCTTTAAGAGCTACTGGAGTATTGAATGCATGACTGGCACATTGGTTGCTTTCACGGGCAGCTGAAGCAGACCCGCGTCAAATAGTGGTTAAAGTTTTCGTCTGCCAGATGGGTGAGGTTTAGTTAGTTGCACACTGAATTGTAATACATTACATGAACTCTAATGAAGGGGCCAAAAGTACAGAAGGCATTTTCAAAACACTACTTATAGCAGTCCAGTACAGGGAGGAGGGAAACATTAACAGAGATTGTGCAATCTGGGTCCTCATCTCATCCCAGACCACCGGATCACTTCAGCCAAAGATCCCGAGTTTCTCTTTCAGCCATTCCTCCGTGAGGTCCTCCGTGTTTCTTATCTCAAACACCTGTAAAAACATACAAAAGGAGCAAAGGCAAAAAGTGGAAAGTCTTATGATGCAGTTCAGTGTAATTCTGGAACCAGTTGATGACGCATTAGATGTTACCAGCTGACAGTCTACAGCCAAGCGAGCAGCTCTGCACATACACACAACTCATGAACAAAGCCCAGAACCTAAATACACAAAAACACTAAACAAATAAATCCATCAGAAAAATCTGAGTAAAATTCCACAATACACCTATGAAAAAAGTAAAGTCAATACTGACACATCAGCAGGTATAATGTTAGTTAGCATGTTGGCGTGCTAACAGCTGCTAATCAGCACTAAACACAATACACAGCTGATGGGAACGTCATTAGATGTTTGCGCACTCGTCTGGCAGACTTCATCCGACCTGATTACAGTGCCGCGTTAGTTCATTATTTACACGTCGGCCGCCCATCGGCGTTCCAGCTCACTAACCTTGGACATTCCGACAGTTTGCACCAGTTTGTTTTTGCTTCCTGCGTACATCATCTGCTGATCTGGTCTGCATCCTGGTGAACCCAAACACTCAACATGAACATGTACGTCTGCGACGAGAGAAGAGCTGCGTAGCGTTCATTAGGCGATGACCCTGGAGGAGCTCTTACCCACTGGACTGGAGAAGATGAAGCACAGCGGGTAGGAAATGCGTCCGTCACCGTGGTGGTTTTTATAACTGTAGACGATAAATGTTCCTGGTGATAAGGACGTATTTACCGTCGGCCTGCTCTAGTGAGACGGACTAGATTACAAGACATTTTAAACTAAGTGGTCTGTATCAAGTAGACATCCAGCTTAAATACTATGTTGAACGAAACGTATGATATTATCCAATAGAAAAAGCACTTTAGTAGGATTTAAGTAAGAATGGTCCCTTAATCAAAAGGATATCTGGGCTGTCTCTCAGGCACGATATCCCTCAGATCATCAAGAGAAATATCCTGAAAAAAAAGACACATTCGCAATAAGCAGTTCATTGAGACACGTTGTCTCATGAAGAAAAGCAATTATTAATTCATATTCGACAGCTGTACGCCAACAGACACATTTGACTGTAAGAACTTAAAACGCGATTTATCATCACAGAATTGTTTGTTTAAGTGAACGTTGGACATTAACTTGTTCTGCATCATGCGCGGACACAAGAATAAAGTCGGTTCAATTAAGCGACACATTAAAAGAACTACTTTACCACATGTTCCTCTTCAAGAATAACCAGCTGCTTTTTTTCATCGATCTTCACTGAGGGGCAAAAAAACATTAAGTGAGTTTAGTCGGGAAGGTTAGGGACAAAGGTAACGTATTCGAAGATATTTTTATAGAAAAATAATTAAATGAAAGAAAGCATACTGAAACAAACATGTCGTATGATATTTCAGCTCATAGTTCCTATCGCAAATGTACTTGTTCAAACGGTGTGTATGCTGGATTCCACGGCATGCAGGCACACTGTTAATCCAACTGCAACAGCAATGACATTTTGATCCAGTGAGTGGAGGATGGAGCTGGAGCTTAGCTTGATACTCTAAAAGAAATGCAAGTCCACACTCGCTTAGCAGCTGCTGCATCAAGATGCAACTCTGATAAATACTGTCGCTCCCTAACCTAATGAGTTACAGTGAAAGTGACAACTTTTGACAACTCTGCATTCTGCCGAGAGTTTCCTGCAGACACAAAGAACCGGAACATTTGTATATCGCGTTTGAAAGTCTCAATTAGCCACTTCTTTAACCCCTGCCCTGAAGACACATAAAAGCTTTCGAATTTAAGGGAAGGGTATTGACTGACGTATTGCAAATCGGTGAATAAAATGTTAAAATATCGTTGACGTTGAAAAATAATAAACATTGATTTTGAGATGAGGATTCATTCCTGTTGGATCGTAACACATTATGAAGAAACAGGCCTGAGAACCAATTGAGATACTCACTGACGATGGCCGCATTATCGGTCTCCTTCCGCAAACGGAACTGCTTCACCTTTTTAACCAGCTCCTCGTCCACGTCGCACACCACCAGGGATTCACTCTGTAAAAAGACGGGAAGGACTAATATGTCAAACTCAGGAACAAAAACCTTAGTACACAGATTCAGCAAATGTTTAGTTTTAAGAGTAATTTATTGAGTAGGTTTTGTCCTCATAATCACCCTTTAAAATGTATGAATCTACTACACACAGAATGTGTGTATTAATGCTGCTGCCTGGTTATTCCCACACTTCCTAACCCACAAATCCACGGTTACATAACTGATGTTACTGACCGACCCGCTTCCGAGAGGCGTAGCCATTTCTCTGTGGTCGTTATTAATTAATAACCTTAATTTATTGATCATGGCCTGTAGGAGCCGGGATGTGATCCATGTTAAAACGGTTCAGATTCCCTCAAGTCAATCCACATGTTTACTAAAAAAAAAAGAAACTTAATGCAACATAAATTCTGGCACTATCTTTAACTAAGAAACCCAGGAGAAATCTTATTTCAGTATGCATGACTTGCTTGAAGAATAAACTGATCAATTAGAACTGGAGCAAGACGTAATAAGGCCCCAAGACATTCAATACAAACTGATGGACCTAATGAGCATTTCAACTGCTGTTATTGCTCATAATTAGAAAAATATAAATATTTAGTCATCTTAGATTTTAAATGGTATGTAAACTGCATGTTTTTGAGGATATTTGCAGAGGGTTTAGGTGTACGGCGGACAGCTGCAGAGTCACAGCTTGTAGCTTCAAGGGATTTTCATGCATTTTATTGCTTCAGTGTAAAGAAATATGTTGGTATTCTGCTTTTGCAAAAGTAAAAAGAAAAGAATAATTTCTTCAGAAAACTAATCTGACCCACAGATTTGGCTGTAATCCAGTAATCGCTTTGTTCTGAACCTCTGTCCCATCCACACACACACACACACACACACACACACACACACACACACACACACACACACACAGACTCACAAACTCCTCAAGAGTCTCTGGATTCTATAATTACACCTTCCTGAGCAGATGGCTGGTGGGAGTCTGGCTTGCACTGAGCTCAGAGAGAGATCTGCACAGATTAAGGGGAGGCTGCAGTGTTTGCGGTGGGGGCCGAGACAGTTGGGCGAAAGGATGCAAGGGAAGATACGACAATAACAAGCCCTTATTCGACATTGATGTTAGATTGGCCAAAAATAAATAAAATCATTGTCCATCACAATAAACTATTGAGCTAAAATTGATGCAGCTCCCCAACCCCAGAAGAAATACGTCACTGCTGCGGCAACAAGATAACCAGGCTTCGTTACACTGGTACCGGACGTCCTCCAGCATGGGCTTCAAAATAAAAGCACACACTACGGGACGTCTAAAAAAGTAGAGCGAGGATCATACTCGGAATTATCGATCGATCAGGAGAAATCAGCGACTCATTTTCAGAATTCTTCCATCTTTTCTATCACCACACAAGAAAAAATAGTTTTTTGACAAATATACAAACTAGCCTACTGAAATACAATATAAGATCATAAAAACCATTGTTTTGAAGTAGTGTGTGAGGTCAGACTCTAGATTTCTACCTATGTTTATCATAACAGTTAGTCAGTAAGTATTTTGAAAACTGTATTTTAAGTGAATTCAATTTTTCTAGTTGCCTTATTCTCCCCAATTGGGAAATGACATACTCTTCTTTGAACAGTATGTCATTTTAAATTATTTCCCGACAAACAGCATTATTTAATTATTATTTTCTCAAAAAGCAGGACTGCTTTTGACTGGAATGCGGACATCTAATAACATATGGACATTACCTGAAATATCATAGATGCTTTCACATTATCTAATTGTGTGTAATATATTTCTAAACTGACATCATATCACAATATAAATAAACTAGACGTTGTGATACAGAGCAAATAAATAAAGCAAATACGATAATGGTACGGGTTTTTTACCACACTCATTTATTTCCCCCTTGCGACGTTATATTGTGAAATCCATAACCGGATAAGCAAAGTTTCTATTTTGGTTAAATTGACAGTAACCCAGCGGACAGAGGATGGATCCCGTGCTATGCTAGCGGGCTATTGCTGCCGATCCATCCGCGCCCTCACTTTGCCTCCATGGTGTCCGGAGCTCCACGTTTGTTAAGAGCACACAGTTAAAAAGCAGAACAGTAGAGAAGCACAGCTCTGTTGCACCAGTAACTTACCATCGTGAGAAAGAGGAGCCCGAAGCTGCAGCCGCTGCACTGGATGGAAGAGACGCCAACAATGTTTTTTTTTTGCTTACTTCACATCATCTTGTGACTGGTTGGACCAATCAAACAAGCGCCTCCTTTGTCCAAAACATGGGTCATAAACCTCTCCTGTCTACTGCCCCACAGCCTCATTGTGTTATCACTTTATTAAGAATTCAGCCATATTAAAGTCACTGTTTGCGCCAGGAAAAATCATTTTGTATGTCATTATACAAAATAATTTAGTAAATATACATCTACCCAGCGAAGTAACGAGCAACTTGACAACTTTTTTTTCAGTCTAATAAAGAGAGGAATTTCGTAAACGTTTTCTATTACTGAATATTAACACTTCTGAAAAAGGTAAGTTAAGACCACAAAACCGAACATGTTAGATTTGTACATGGATCACTATATAACTATACCAGCGGTACAAAAGGCAAAACTTCAATTCCATTTATATCTAAGAATCAATGCTCAATACCTTCAACTTTTTACTGTGTTGTTTAGCGTTATGTTTTGTTTAGTCCAATTATCAAATTACTAATTCAGGCTTACTAACTCACTCTATATTGATATGTAGGCTATGAACTAGACTAGAAAGTACACCTTTTCTGTACTACATGTATTGTAGAAAGACAAATACTGGAAAGTTTGTTTTTGATTTTGATTTTAATACATTAGTTGATAATATACAACATGGTGCTGGTGCACGTTGGTCATTTCAGCAGTAGGCCTCTCTTGTTCCAACGGCCCCGTATCCTACAGACAGGGGCCACTCAGAGGCTGAAGCCCATTGTCACCCATCCATGTTAAAGTCACGCACATTGGTGTCACAGGTATGAAGGGAAAAGCAAGTTTATTACATTTTCAACAACGAGGCTTCGAGGACTCCAGCTGCAGTCTGTTGATCTACTTCTTACAGACCTGTGAACACACCGATAATAACACAAATACTCATGTTTCTTCTTTGTTTCTGGCCCATCACATTTTAGGTTGTGTGTGCGTTCGTGTGTCTGCCTGCACTTCCGGAACACTTGCACACGCGTCATCACTGAGGGGCGTGTCCGCGCTTCCTGCTCTCCCTGCCCGGAGTTGTAGTTAAGACAGAGCGGATTCGCCGTTAGCTTGTAGTTGTGTGCCTCGGCGGGCTAAATTAGCTGGCTAACTGGCATCAACTACCGGATAAAATATCGCTGTAACACACGTATCGTTTGAGAGGAGTTTATCGTCTGCTGAGGTAGCATGAAATGTCATTTTTTGCTACCGGTACTTGTTCTCCTTTGACACAGGGCAACTAAAATAACCACACAGGCTAAGTTAACCAGCTGAGCGTCAGCTAACAGTTAGCTACTGTTAGCTAGTTCGGTAGCCAACTATGTAACATCAGCCAACTACTATATTAGTCTCAGCGTAGCATCTGTACAGCTTGTCGTGTAATGGTATTCAAGATGTGTGGACTCGAATGGGTTTTGTTGTTTACCAGTCGTGGATGGAAACAATGACTGTTGTGTGTGTGTGTGTGTCATGCCCTCGGTGTTTGACAGCTCGCAACAATCTGTCGTTAGAACCAACTTTACCTCATAAAACTAATGAAAGTTGTGTTTTACTTTTTTGTTTATTTGTTTAGATCATGGCAGATTTCTCGGTAAGTACAACGGATCGAGACGTTTTTTGTGGTTAAAGCAGAGCTTCACTTGGGTTAGAGACTCACTCTGCCTTCCTCTTCTACTCCAGCTGTCAGATGCCTTAGGAGACGACTCTGCGGGCAAGGCAAATAAAATAGGAAACACTAACCCAACCGCCCCTGCCAGTAACCATCCACCGTCTGCAAATCCAGGATGGCCTGGTGCGGCCCCAGGAGCCCCCACCCAGCCCTCCGCCCCGGGTAACTTTGCTGGTGGATCATCTGGCCCAGGGGCGCCAGGGCAGTTCCCATATCCCTCTGGCCCTGGAGCACCAGGGCAATACCCGGGACCTCCTTCAGCACCTGGTGGCTTCGCCCCTGGTCCTGGGATACCTGGACAGTACCCATCTGCACAATACCCACCCGCCCCAGGAGCTCCAGGGCAGTTTCCCTCCAGCCCAGGAGCGCCCGGGCAGTTCCCCGGGCAGCACCCCGGGCAGCAACCCGGGCAGCACCCTGGGCAGTTCCCCGGCCAGTTCCCCGGCCAGTTCCCCGAGCAGCACCCCGGGCAACACCCTGGGCAGTACCCTGGGCAGTTCCCCCCTGAAGGAGCTCCAGGACAGCTACCTGGAGGCCCTGGTCCATTTCCTTCTGGCCCGGGAGCTCCCCCTGGGCCTTATCCGAATGTGCCTTACCCAGGAAGTCAGCCAGGAGGAGGAAATGGCATGTACGGACCTGGTGGTCCAGGTGCATTCCCCCCTCCAGCTGGCCCTGGTTCTTTCCCTGCATTCCCTACTGGAGGCTTCCCCCCATTGCCCACTGGGTCATGGGGACCACCTGCAGGTGGAGGCTTCCCTGCCGCCCCTGGCCCCTTTGGTCCTGGCCCCGGGCCTATGGGTCCGTACGGTGGGCCTGCCGCTCCAGGAGGCATGCTGGTGAGTACTAACCCTGTTTAAAAATAACACGTTGCTTGCTTTCTGCATTTCTTTGCTGATGAGTTTTTGCTCTCGGGGGCAGGGGGGCGTCTATATCGTTGTGTCTTTGGGGTTTAGGTTCTGGAAATTACTGCAGGCCCCCCCCCTTTTTTTTTTAGATGGTCTCCGGCGAACTTTACGTGGATATTGAGTTCTACTCTTGCACAGGGTTTCTTCTAGAATATTCAATGCGTTGGGTTATATTTGGTGTGTTCCTGTTACTGCTGACGGTGGAAAAGACTGCTAGTTTGCCACCTCGCTGGGATTTACTGCATGATGGGACATTTTGATTGTGTGCTGCATCTCCTTCTGTGTCTTGGGCTCTGCTGGGGTGCAAAGCATAACGCAGACTTGAGAATTCTTCAGAAGTAGTCATCAAAAATGTATTCTTGTCTTTCAGCCCAGATATAATCCACCATATAATTGAAAGCATGAACTCAACTTTTCAGTCGGACAAGGACATCACTTCCAGAATCAAGCGAGCGACTGAGCGTGTGGAAAGACGCAGTATATAGTTATGATAGGTGTTCAAACTGCCTGAGCTGTGTATTCATTGAATTAAGTGCAATATGATTTAAAAGGACGTATCTACCCAGCAGTCATATGAAATGAATGAAGACACATTTATATTCTCTGAATTCACACTTCTGTACATGTTTATAACTCAAGTCTATTTTTGTCTTCTGTCGGTTTTCTCAGAAGTCAATGTTTGTACTGTTGATGCCTTTGCTGTGTTCAAAACTGCTAAAGTGTTTTTACTTGGTTCTTGTTTCGACTAGTCATTGTGAGCGGCATAAAAGCGTCTAACTGGGAGGAGTCAAGGGGATGATGACTCAATGGGGTGTTTCATTTGGAATGTGGCAAGGGTCAAAGTTTTGAATAATGTTTAACTAAAAATCTCGCTAGTTTGTGATATTTAGTACTTTGCTGTTAATCAATCAATTGGTGATAAAATGTGAACAAATCTATTTCTGTTCCTGGGGATATCCTAGACAATGATTTGTTTTGTGTATTTTCCCTTAATAAACACAGTAAATCCTGATTTGTCATTATGCATCTTTTAAACTTTATTTCAAGACCGCGTGCTAAACGTACTGTCACAATTAAAAAATGTGCGTATTTCTCACAGATGTTGCCGTATGATCTCCCACTTCATGCTGGAATTATGCCACGACTTGTAATCACGATAGAGGCGGAGCCTGTTCCCGGTGCAGACAGGTACATCCGTCCTCTAATTCTTATGGCGAGTGACGCTTCCTGTTAGAGGAACATCACTTTGCATCCATTCTAATCCTCCAGACCATGTCAAGCCATATATTTCTTCTGTTAAGTGGACAGAAGACAAATGACGAGCTGTCGGACCTGATCTTTTTCTTTCAGATTCCAAGTTGACTTCATCAGAGGTCAAGATGTCGTCTTTCATTTAAATCCTCGATTTCATGAGCAAGCAGTTGTCAGAAACTCCAACCTGGGTGGCTGTTGGGGGCCTGAGGAGCGGGAGGCAGCATTCCCATTTGCTCCCGGACGCCGCTTTGAGGTAAAATGTTCCAGGAGTCGTACTGTCATTATAAAACCAGTCGTTGTTTGCGTTCCTTTCAGTCAGGTCAACTTGTTATCGAACTGTGCAGTCCGATTCCCTTGTTGGGACTCGACACATAAACATCCGATTCCCCTTCCCGTATGCAGCTGAAGATCCTCGTGGAGGAGGACTCGTTTAAAGTGGCGGTAGACGGCAACCACCTGCTGGAGTACGAGCACAGAGACGGCGGGCTGGAGGACGTGAACCTGCTGCGGGTGACTGGAGACATCATCCTATACAGCGTAGCCCCAAACATGATCTGAATCTCAGCCACTCAACCACATGCTGTGCTGGAGACGCGCCGTCACACTCGACCCACGCGTTTGAAATCCTTTCAAATACCTTTTATGGTGTTTTTGAGGCACAATAGTCAGTAAGGTGCAACTCTTGCCTTTGTTATCTATCACAGAACAAATGGCAGATTAACCCAGGTCTGCACAATTTAATTAGTCTCTTTTTTTTGCCCCTTACAATCCAATCTATTTAACAACATAACAATAGTGAATGAGAAAAAGCGTTTTAAGGAAATACTGATTTATCCCTAATGAAAACATTAAAGGCCAAGTGGAATATATTATCTGCAAGTTTGCTGTAACTCGTTTACGGTATGTGTGTTATCCTGTGCTTTTTATAGCATCATCTTGATAAGCCTACGTAATGCATGGGAGTGTGATGCTGAATATCAACTTGGTCTCCTTTTCCCCTTCTCACTTCAGGGCTGCTGAGGCCCCACGGCTCACTGCTCTGTTACCCTTTGTAGGCTAATGATGGAGTTTCCAAAAATGTATTTATATACTTGACTAGACTCTGAGCGCCTCCTTTCTTCAGTATAAATCCTCTGGAGCTCTTTGACGAGAGGGTCGTGTTTTACGAAGTGTGATTTCATGTTGAAGTCTAATGTAATGGTAAAAAGTCAGGCTCAATATTAAATAGATCTTTGGAAAAGAGAGGGATGGGATTTCTGATTTGTTGCCAAAGATACAATATTTTGAAATGATATGCTTAGAAATAAAGGCCAACAAACAAGTAATGACTGAAAATGCTGTTTGATTCAGAATATTGTACCCTTTTCTGCTTGTGCACATAATAAATACTAGTTTCCCTGTTCCCGTTCTTTACTTTACCCCAAAGTGGAGAAAGCTTATCCTCATTTAAAGGATACACTTCTATGCATTTGAGCCTAATCCCAAATTGAAATGGATTCGTTGCCAAATTGCTTGTAAGAAAAATACTAACTAACATTAGATAAAGGTATAGTTGACTTAAAATTGATTTCAAACTGAAATAAGACTAATAATTAAAGATAAACCAGATGGATAAAGGCATGTGTTATACACTTGATCAAAACCCGGGCCTTCAAAAGAAGTAACTTCTCTTAACTGCTCAATCACAACGAGCCCGCGGGACTTGACTGGCGTCACGGGGAAAGCCACCACTCTGTCTTACTGTCAATGTTTATATTTCAATATGTCTGAACACATATGTGCCCTCCTCCTTGTTTACCATGTTACGTCTCCATGCTGTCACGTTTTTTCCGGTTTTCAACGTCACATTGCAATGAATTGTGGGTAATTCCCCTGGACAAAGTCTGCATCCAATGCGGAAAGGACCAAGAAGGCTGCATGAGAGCCTCAAACCCTCACGGAGTCCCCAAGGGAACTTTGCGACCCAGTTTCTAGTCTAGAAACACACACGACACGTAGAACGGACGGTTTAACGCGACATCGACGTGGGACCAACTTATTGTAACTTTAGTTATTCTACGTCTCTGAGGTCGGCCTGCGGTTCCGCCTCGGCCCTGCAGGGGGCAGCACGGCCACAGACCGCCGGCCGCAACCGAAGGAAGCAAATCGAAACTCCTCAATGAGTTCACCTTCGGATAAATAGTTTGTCCGTTCTTCGCGGAAGACGTTCTTGGCAAAATGAACGGCTCGGCGCACCCTTCGCCCGGCACGGTGGACATAAAGCTGAAGCGCGGCTCTGCGGGTAAGCGGCGCCGGGGGGACGCGGTTAGCACGTAGCGGCTAGCTGCTTTAGCTGCGCAGCAGGCGCGAGAGAATGCTGCGCTGTCAAGCTGGCGCGTATCCCGAAGCTAATGGCTAATTCACGGATATAAAGGAACTTCGCCGCATCCCCTCGTTCTTTTCGTGTGGTACTTGGAGGGTACGTGGGCGTTAGAGGCCCGCTGAGCTCTGTGAAGCCACGTTATTATGAAATGTTTGCGCTCTTTGCCGGTGTTTATATCTTTGGGCCTGTCGGATGCCATCGGAGCAGATGGAGCTGGATAGTTATGGAAGTTCATTTCGCTTTATTTGACATCCCAACATGTAATTTAAACCTGTTATGCGACATTGTACGAACCGTCCGAGTGGCAGTGCGGCGTTGGCGTGATTGATGGCGCACTTTGGACCTTTGTGATAATCTCCCACATGTTCTGATCGAATCAGCAACTTCTGTCCAGGTGAACCGTTGTGAGTTGCAACCCATCGACTATTCACCTGATACCTGCGTGTCACGCCGCTGTGTGTTTGTAGGTTTGGGGTTTAACATCGTGGGGGGCGTGGACCAGCAGTACGTCGTGAACGACAACGGCATCTACGTCAGCAAACTGAAGGAGGACGGAGCGGCGGCGCTGGACGGGAGACTCCAAGAGGGGGACAAGATCCTCGCGGTAAATGTGGACTTGCTGAGGGTGCAGAGGAGGAGGCTGTGCGAGTGACTATGAAAACACAACCCTGTTTAGTTTAGTTCAAACAAAGTGAAGAAAGGGGTGAATACATAATACTGCCAATAATGTGGGATAAACTCAAGCTACCCCCCAAAAAAGATAGAAAAGTAAGAGTACCTCAGCATTGTAGCCCGATACAGTACAGTAAATTATGAGCGTTTTTGACAGTCATCTTCCCAGAGAACGTCCCTGCCGTTCCCTTGTTTTGTCTCCGTCGTGAAGCGAAACGGTTGTTTTGACTTGAGTTTAGACCAAACAAACGCTTCGACTTCACGACCCTGGGCCTTTTTTCCCACGATGTTCTAAACTTTAACACTTTAAAAAAGTAATTTCATTTAAAGCGACTGTGAATGACAAAGCACATCCACGTTGTCTTCTTTTTTTTTTATCCATTGTTTTTCGTGTCTTGTGTAGATCAATGGAGTGGCGCTTGAGAATCTGACGCACCGAGCCACGGTGGATCTCTTCAGGACCGCCGGGGAGCACGTGGAGCTCCGAGTTCTGAAAAAGGTGGGAGGCGTGATGCTTTAAAAATACCTCCTCTTGTTTTTAAATGATTGAGTGGTTTGTTGTCTGTGCTTTTGTATTTATTATTAAGCAATTGGGAGGTTTAAAAAAAAATTATATTACCTTATTTTGCACCACAATGTAAAATTGTCACCAAAACATAAAAGCAGTGAACCAACATGCGGATGTGAAACAAACACTAAGGAAATGCCATCAATTACATTTCACAACAATGAGAGATAATTAAAGTCACTTTGATAAAGCTGAGAATAAATCGAGCGCACGGTCATGTTCACGCATCGTTCAGCTCCACTTGAATCCACTCCGCCTGAATACTGAGATCTATTGAAACCAAAACGTGTCCGACATTTAAGTTCCACCAGAATGTAATAAACCAAACGGATGGGTGACGCCACTCCGCCTGCAACTGGGATTTGTAAAAGATTACAAGTGTATTTCTACATAAATATCACCTCCAACTTTCTTGTTCTCATATCTGTGTCTTGCAGTTTCCTAATCACGTCAATGGACCGACGGGCTCACGACCCGAGCCCAATCCTCCCGTGTCTTCTCTGGAAGTACTGGTCGCTTTAGGCGCAGTGGTAGCTGTCTGTGCCGTTCTCTTCATGCGGCTCCGTAAGAAGCACTTTTAACAAAGCCAACGTCTGTTTTAGGATCAAAAACTTTGCTGAAGGCCAAAGAAAAGAAAAGGGGGGGATCAAACAATCAACGCTGTTATTTTCTTTTTTTAATTTGTAGGGGAACGTGTCGCTGATGAGTTTCCCATGTTCATGTGTATGTCGTGATTTAACGGTAGCTCCTCGACACCCTTCCTCTGCAAAAGGAATCTCTTACCACAACGGCTCCCTTTTCATCGTTAACCCTGTGACCGTGCGGAGGATGAGGAGGGTTCTATATCTATTCCTGCTGCCCAGGCAGAAAGCAAACGGTGGCCCCGGACACAGAATACAATGAATCCCCTTTGGTCAAGTGGGACTTGTTCCAACTCCGGGGTCCGTTTGCGAGCTGAAAGGCCGCGCTGTGTTCAGTCCTTCGCAGGCCTCTGTGCACCTCTGGCTCAGAGTGGCACATCTGTCCGAGCGTCAACATGACAGAAACCTGCTGCACGTTCAGTCCGTCAGTGTTTTTGAGAAGAAGAAAAAGTATGAGGCGACAGTTTGTTTTTTTTCGTTTTGCAACCTCTTGCAGTGGTGAGAGGAGCGGCAAACCTGCTGTGCTGAAAGAGGCCGGTAGTTCACGTGATGCACTGTCTTGGAAATGACCTGAGTGCCTTTTTTTTCTGTCTATTAAAAGCAGTGTTTGGTCGTGAGGATCAAAATGAAAATCAACCCAATACGTCCATTAACGCATTCAATTAAAGGATGTTGCTGGCAATAATCTTTCTCTCTTATTGTCAACAAATGCCATTAAAAATGCCAAAACCAACAGTTAGTTCCTCTGTTTATTAAAACTTTACCCACCGTAATGCACACATGAAGAAAAAATACACTAAACACAATATTTAGTTTTACTTTATAAAATGTCTCCTGAAACCGTTGGGCACTGTAACTAATTATAAGTTGCTTAAACACCAGTAAATTGTGCATTATTGTGGGGAGAGACTATTTACAGCTGTGGATAATACATACTTTGTGCTGTAATCAGTACTCTGGGCAGCAGGAGGGTGAGTGAGGGCGAGTGTGACTGAGTCCAAATAAACGTCAGTGTTAGAAACATGTCAATCAGTGTAACAGTGCTGCTCAGTGATGCATTTTTTTATCTCTTTTTGGAAAGCAGTGGAACTCCGTTGCACAAATATATGTCGGACAATACTAATGAATTTGTTGGTATGGATCTTTAAATGGGATTCTCTTAAAGTAAGAAAAACACTATCAGACCTCTTGAAAAAAGCCAAATATGCTTTTAAGTATCACCAAGTCTTTTCTTTTTTTAAGGGTTTATTTTAAGTCATGTGGTCGCTGGGGAGGAGTAACTCGTTTCAATCATTCCTTGGATAAATTACATGTGGTGAGCAGCTCGTTGACTCTGAGAGATGCGGCAATATTTTTGTTGTATGTCACAGCCATTTCAGATATTGTTCTAATGTTTCATGAGGCCAGTACTAATAGTCCCATTGCACCTTCTGCCGATGAATTGATTTGTGTTATGATTCAGTTAATTTGTGTGAAGAATCAACAGCTTTATACAGAAAATCTATTTGAGCAAGCTCAATGTTATGAAACGTTGTTTTTCTTTAGACAAATGAGTTGTTGTTGACAATGTTTTTGTTTTTTGCACTAGCCACAACCATGGAACTCCTAACTTCCATAGAACGGATGAATAAGTGTGTGTGTGTGTGTTCACATTTGTCAGTCTGCAGTGCTTCTATCATGCAGTCGTCTCCGTGTGGGACCGTATGTGGCTCTGTAAATACAGTTCATGTTGCTGAATGGGACTGAATATGTGCAGGGTGCCAGAGAATGCAGATCAGAGGCACTAATAAATGATGTAAAATATTGTGGGTTTTACATCCAAGCACCTACTGTATTAAAAATGCATTTTGATCTACCTGCTGTATGCTTTTTTTTATTTGTATTTATAGACAATGAGACGTCTTTCCGCTGAATCTCTAAAACTAATCCATGATCAAATGGATGAAAATTCAGGAAATATAAAGAATACATATACTCAGTGATACGGTCAAAAAATTATTAAAAAGGTTCAAATGTTTTTTAAACTATTATAATTTGTCTAATTTGTAACTGTCAAACTCGAGGTATTCGTCATGGTTCTTTTTACAATAAAGTATGCTCTCAACGTTAATTGTTAATTGATACATTAATAAAGTCAAAATGAATACTAAAAAATGATGTCATTGATGTAGATCCGTCTAAATCTACAAAGTTAGCTAATGATAACATAAAACCGGATGTTGACATTCTATCTTCAAATTAAAGGCTGACATAATTGTGAAGGAATGTACCCGTGTTCAGCATATTCTCATATACAGAATCAACTAATTAGAAAGACCAATTAGTTGGTAATACATTTAAATTAATTACAAATAACCGAACGAGTAAAATAAATTATGGTGTAGATTTATCACAAAAAAATATGCATTATAGTTTTATACATGCAGGCATGTGCACAGACATTTTGGGGGGCAGTTGCTCGAACCAAAACAAAAGGGCTCCCATCGCCAAAATTATTCATGAAATTAAAAATACTAATTAGTAAAATAAATAAAACACAGGATATTTTACCTGTCCTTCTTTTGGAGTCTCTCTTTTCTTTCAATTCAACTAATTCTATTTTGTAGCGCCCAAAATTGCAATTTATCCTCTGAGTGCTTTACCGTCTGTACACATACGACATCCTCCCGTCCCGAAACGCTCACAGCGGCCCAGGAAATGAAAACCCTGCCATGGGGGGAAAAAGGGCAGAAGCCTTAGTGAGAACGTCAGAGGAGGATTCCTCCCCCGGGGGGGACAGACTACAATGGAGGTCATCTGTACAGAATGAACAATGTAAAAGATGTATAACACATTCAATTCCTATAACAGACATGATTCAAATAATTGTGAGAAGTAAGCAGCAGGTGCAGGGACCACCACCATCAGATAGAACCACCATCCAGAAGCCTGTGGGTGGTGCTGCAAATGTTTTATGTTGTGCATAATAATCAAAAGCTGACAACACACACACACACACACACACACACACACACTGTGTGCACTGTTTTCTGTTGAAGCATAAGCAGCATTACACTAATACTATACCATAACATCCCTCACCAGACGGTCATGTAGCTCAACTTAAGACCTACCTTTCATTTCAACAGTTGTAAACAAAACTAGTGAACTAGTGACTGTGTCTAATCTGTAGAACAGTAAAACTGTCTTTATATTATCTGCCTGTCTGTCTGCATCTCTCTCTTCATTAAACATGATAAACGTCAGTAAACAGCTGGACAATAAGGCTTTAAAATCACGGATTTGGTGACTTTTTGGTTTGTTTATTTTTTAGGACACGTCGGACAGTTGCAACGTAATGTTTTCAGCGGCGCAAATGTTGTGGTTAATTTATCACTAAACAACGTCGGGGTTTTGCACAAACACCGTCATCACGTGTGTCCGATGCTGCGGCCGTTTGGCGCTCAGCACTGAGGAGGAGGATGAGGAGGAGGAGGAGGCGGAGGGGCGGGGCTTGTGAGCGCCGCGGAGCATGTCCGCAAATTAAGAACTCAAATAAATGCCGGTCAGATATCAAAACATATTTGGGGGGAATTGATGGCAGAGAGAGTAATGGTTATTCTTAAAGATGAATGAAGAAACAATTGTGCTCCAGCAGAAGGGGCACTTTTCTTTCCAGGGCGAAAGTGCAGGTGCTTGAGCACCACTACAGGTAGCTGGTTAGCTTAGCTTAAAAACTGGAGGCAACAGGTCTCAAAAGAGGTGTTAAAAATCCAGATTAAAGAGTTTACACATTTCTGACTTGATGAAACAATGGACAAGAATCAAAAATCGTTCTTTATTTATTCTTTAAAGCTTCGCTTTCAAGATCAAGATGAACGGGTCATAGAAAAAGAAACGGTACAGCAAAGTGTTTTATGCACCATGTGAAGTGGATGAGCTCCATCAATACAAATACACCGTCCACACACACGTTTACTTTAAAGGCTCATTTCTATATTCTAGATAGCTTCACTGTAAACATAGACAGGTGACATCAGGATTTCTCCATGTTCCGTGTTCCATGTTCCGTGTTCCATGTTCCATGCTCCATGTTCCATGCTCCATGTTCCGTGTTCTATGCTCCATGTTCCGTGTTCTATGCTCCATTCACCACAGCATTAGAAACACAGTCTGAGGCACATTTAGTCAGTTAGTTTCAAACTTCACATCTACACACACTGAAGTTTTCCGGACAGAAACCTGCAGAAAGCGATCGTGACGCCTCAGGAGTCTGAAGAGGAGATGAAGACGCGTTCTGCTGCACTCAACAGAGCTCGAGGTGAGTGAGGAATCCAGACAGACTGCAGCCGTACTGCTGTGAATCATGTGTTTGTACTATCGGGTAACGGAAGCTGTGACGTAGAGTTAGTACCTCCAGATAAACCTCTGATTCCTGCTGTTATCATGTACATGTACACAGAGACACTCACGTATAAAGGTATTTACACAGAGACACTAGCGTATAAAGGTATTTACACAGAGACACTCACGTATAAAAGTACTTACACAGAGACACTAGCGTATAAAAGGACTTACACAGAGACACTAGCGTATAAAAGTACTTACACAGAGACACTAGCGTATAAAGGGACTTACACAGAGACACTAGCGTATAAAGGTACTTACACAGACACTAACGTTTAAAAGTACTTACACAGAGACACTCACGTATAAAGGTACTTACACAGAGACACTCACGTTTAAAAGTACTTACACAGAGACACTAGCGTATAAAAGGACTTACACAGAGACACTAGCGTATAAAAGTACTTACACAGAGACACTAGCGTATAAAGGGACTTACACAGAGACACTAGCGTATAAAGGTACTTACACAGACACTAACGTTTAAAAGTACTTACACAGAGACACTCACGTATAAAGGTACTTACACAGAGACACTAGCGTATAAAAGGACTTACACAGAGACACTCACGTTTAAAAGTACTTACACAGAGACACTAGCGTATAAACGAGACTTACACAGAGACACTAGCGTATAAAGGGACTTACACAGAGACACTAACGTTTAAAAGTACTTACAGAGACACACACACACATATATAAAAGTACTTACACAGAGACACACACACACATACATAAAAGTACTTACACAGAGACACACACACTCACATATAAAAGTACTTACACAGAGACACACACACAGGGTTGTCGGTTCGATCCCAGGCCCGGCTAACCCGCATGTCGTTGTGTCCTTGGGCAAGACACTTAACCCAACATTGCTCCTGTAGCTGCGACTACAGTGTGTGAATGTTAGTTACTGATGGCAGGTGTCCACTGTGTGTGGTTCTCCTGTCCATCAGTGGTATGATGGGTGTGAATGGGGTGAATGATGTCATGTAGTGTTAAAAGCCGCTTTGAGTGGTCAGAAGACTAGAAAAGCGCCATACAAGTAAAGTCCATTTACCATATAAAAGTACTTACTAAGAGACGCACACACATACAAAAGTACATATAACACACTTACACTGTGTTGGTATTGACTCACTAAACATGAAAAGCATACACAGAAATACACCTTAAAAACCACAAATATATAATGTACACTTACACACACAAATACAAACATGAAAGAATTTTGAAAAGGTTTATCAAATTAAAATAATTGGATTCATGAATGTTGTCTCACATCCTGATGCTCCTCCTCACGTCTCTTCTCCTTGTCTCTGTAGACCAACAGGACGCCATCAGGACGCCATCAGGACGCCATCAGGACGTCATCAGGACGCCATCAGGACGCCATGTCATCAGGACGCCATCAGGACGCCATCAGGACGCCATGTCATCAGGACGCCATCAGGGCGCCATCAGGACGCCATCAGGACGCCATCAGGACGCCATCAGGACGTCATCAGGACGCCATCAGGACGCCATGTCATCAGGACGCCATCAGGACGCCATCAGGACGTGCTGAGAGTCGCCCCCTCAGGAGCAGCTCCAGATCTACGCATGACTCAGATAAGCGGACAACACACACACACACACACACACACACACGTACTCAGAGACAAACTAACATGTAGATGTACACAAAGACACACTAATCTGTAGATGCTAAGCAAACGCTTTAAGCCACTGAGGCATTTTGTCCAGAAACCCTCGTTGACGCGCCGCTGTTGTCTCATGACGGATGAATGAGAGTCCTGTAGCCTTTGTGTTGTTGTAAACAAGTCCACTTATTTGCCAATTTTACACATATGTATACATACATATATATACATATGTACACATATACAGATTAATATTTAGATGTACACATAGACACATTAATATTGAGATGTACACATAGATCATTAATATTGAGATGTACACATAGATCATTAATATTGAGATGTACACATATACACATTAATATTGAGATGTACACATATACACATTCATATTTAGATGTATACATAGACACATTAATATTGAGATGTATGCATAGATCATTAATATTGAGATGTACACATAGATCATTAATATTGAGATGTACACATAGACACATTAACATTTAGATGTACACATAGATCATTAATATTGAGATGTACACATAGACACATTAATATTGAGATGTACACATAGACACATTAATATTGAGATGTACACATAGATAATTAATATTGAGATGTACACATATACACATTAATATTGAGATGTACACATAGATCATTAATATTGAGATGTACACATAGATCATTAATATTGAGATGTACACATAGACACATTAACATTTAGATGTACACATAGACACATTAATATTGAGATGTACACATAGATCATTAATATTGAGATGTACACATAGATAATTAATATTGAGATGTACACATAGACA